AGAAAAGGGGGAAGAAAAGAAACCTGGGAAGGAGACGGATCCAATCGACGCACATAGGTTATCTGGCAGCATCTCGTCCGGGAAAAGAGCCTCCCATACCTTCCGGACCTTGTCGTGAATAGGGACATTGTTCTTCCCGCGCCAGTCGAGCTTGCGGTACCGCTCGTGCTGCGCCGGCGTCATGATTTCGGGTCGGAACCCGCAAGGCGGGGCGGGAGGGGGGTGTTTCCTGCGGCACTCGGCGTGTTTCTGTTGGAACTTGGCGACGCTGTCGTCCCGGCCCTGGTGGCGCGCACCGCACTCGCAGTTGTAGCGGGGGTCGTGCGTTCTTTTGACATGGTCCCTGGCGAAGAGGGGGAGTTAGTTTCAGGCTTTTCAGCACCTCTCAGTCTCGAGTTCTGCCTCTGGCACAGACTGCCAGCTGTCCATGTCGGAGTACTTCGAAGTGGGTTGGAAGCAAAAGGGGTGGGTGAGAAAAGGGGTAAGTGAAAACGGGCGGCAAGCCTGTTGTGGTTCGTACCGCCAGCTGGACAAGTCCTCATATGCACTCGCGGAACAGGCCCATGGAGGGTCTTGTGCATATAAATACGGTGATCTCTCGGCGAAGGGACATTTGAGGTGAAGGCTTGCGGGTTTCTGCTTAGGGGCTCGGGCCGGATGAGCCTTGGAGCCATGTCGTCGTTTTCGAGGCACGGCGTGTTTAGATCTCCCAGTACGCTGTCTTCCCTCCCCTGAATCCCTTATTATAAAATCAAGATGAGCTGCTTCCATGTTTCTTTTCTGGGTTGTTTAAGAACAAGGCAGAAGGACGGTCTATAATTCGAATGATGTGATTCCCTTGATTTCTTGCATTATTGGTTCTTTTTATCCTTCCTCTGAGGACTTGGTGAGGTTGAAGTAGCTGTTCTCGGCGGGATTCCCGGGATAAGAGGCAACTGGCGAGCATGAAAGACGGCAGACGGGGCCGGGAATTGGGCTTTTGGGATTCGGCAAATTCTCTCTCGGACCTGCAGCAGGCAGCTGGTTAGCAAGGCGTTTTCTTTGGAGTTTTCTTTTTTCTTTTTTCCTTTTGGAAAAGTCATCGAGCGAAAGGAGGTGGGTAATGGTATTAACTTGTTGAACGACAATAGTCGTTACAAGCCGCTTCAGATGTCCATCAATCACGTGGTTATCCTTTTGCCCTGTCGACTCGCACTTGGACTTGGAGATGAAGGCGATGTTTGACCTGAGACTCGAGTGATGAGGGGCGACGGAGCTCGAGAAATCGCCGGGAATGTAAGGGGTCTTCCCCTCCGAGTCAAGCAAAGGTAAATCATGGAAGCTACTTACAACAGGGATGAGGGATGATAGAAAACCGTCTCAAGCAGACATGCATCGAAGCTCAGAGATGTGAAGACAAATCACAGGGAAATGTGATCTCCAGGGCTTGGTCTCTTGACTACGCGTTTTTATAGACAGTCCCAAAACCGCGTCGCGGTTTTGGCCTGACGCTTGACCATCTAGTACTGTCTGCCTCAATGTAGATACCCAATGGATGGCGCCCACATCATCCATCCCAGCCGGCTGTGCTGCGTTGTAGCTCCCGTGACCTGGGAGATGGGGGCGGAAAAAAACTCTTGAGGAGCGGCACTCCGTAGTCGACATGCGGCTACATGTCCGCTATAGCAGGCCAAGCGAAGGACTCCCCAAAGATTCTACCCGTGCACCCCCTTTTTTTTTCTCTCTCTTTCCATCGCATGGTAGTATTGGGTAGAACAGCTCTGGAAGATGATATCAAAAGAATCCTGCTTTGCGTATCGACGTCGAAGGGAACACTCGAAGAAGGTGCGGTGATGATATCCTGCTATCTGCTGTGGTGAAGAAGAATTCTCGTTTTGTTTTTGCATCCATGTTTCTCACTGGAGGGGCGAATATATGCATTGATAGTCAAACAAGAATTGAACTTGTGTCGTATAATTCATGATCGGACGTCTAGTGTAGTCGAGGAGTCGTGAACGGTGACATGAAGCGGTGTGGATTCCAGTCGTTCCCAATGATACCATTGATAAGAGACCGACGACGCCCCCAGAATAGTGGTCATGCCGTCAACGCATGCAATGACGGGCATGCGGCCAGAACCAGTGAGAGAGTGTGTGGCCAAGACGGGCGACGGATCCCTTTTGACGCATTGAACCCCTATTGGGACTTGGAATACACGGAAAACATCAGTCGTTTCCGTCCACCGCAGATTCCTGGTAGCTGACGAACGGGTGGGACGAGAGACGAATCCGATGGACAGGTGGTATGTGACACATTCCCTCGGACCACTGGTTCCCCTGCTGTTCTTATCTGTACCTACAGTAGGGACTGTAACACCGTAACACCACTTCGAATATATCCAGTCATAACGCCGTCGCTCAATCATGAGAAATGCAAAAGAAATCATGCCACCAATAGGAGAAACCACCGCCACGCAGCCCACGCTCGTCAGTCGCCGCCATGCGTCAGGCTTCAGCAAACCCCCTGCAAAGGTCAGAGTCATTCCATGCAGCTTTACTTGCTTTCTTCCCCTGCCGCCGCCGCCCCGACCGCGCGCGAGATCTCAGCGAGCATGCGCTTCAGCTCCTCGACCTCGGCGCGAAGCTGGCGCACTTCCTGCACGGCCGGCTCGACCTCGATGTCCGACTTGGCCGCCTCGCACACCTTATCCCACCCTTCCGCTTCGAAATCGACCTGCGTCTCGGGCGCGCAGGCCACCCGCTCCCACTCGTGGTCGACGACATCGTCGTAGTCGTCGCCGGACCCGCCTCGGGCGCGGTTCCGATGGATGGCGCGGGCCACGTTCGACTCGTAGGCCGCCGCGGCCACCATGACGGGCGCGTAGCAGCACGACATGACGGCGTCGTTCAGCTGCTCAAAGCGACCCGCCGGCATCCACCAACCGAACAGGGCGATGAGGACAATTTCGACCAGGTTGAAGGGCGGGATGTAAACGTTTTCGTCTGGTGCGCGCACGAACTGCAGCGTCTTGTGGGCGAACAGAGCCAAGAACTCGGCGTCGGCGTTCTGGTAGATGTCTTCGTACGCCGAGTTGTATAGCGCGATGAGGACGTTGAGCAAGATGACCTGGTACAAGTCGCGTGAGCCTTTTTTTTTTTTTTTTTTTGCGTCAAAGTCAAGGAAGGACAAGCGTTGTACGTACCATGACAATAAAGGTAAAGAAGTAGTAGAGAAGGGTTCCGAACGGGGGCGAAAACCTGCCAAAGGTATCGAATTCGGGGCTCTGCATGACGGCGTTGGCCATGGCCTTGATGATGACGCCGTACTCGTCCACAGCCATGTCGTCCACGATGTCCAAGCCGATGAAGGCCTGTAGAAACCCGACAATGACTACGGCCAATAGGGCGAAGAAGATCAGGGACTCCTTCATCATCACCTTGAGCACGACCAGCATGGCGCCGAAGAAGCGGAAGGTGTCGAGATACAGCAGGAGGCGACACCAAAACAGCGGCGCGCTGAAAGCGAGAAAATTGTAGCTCAAGGTTCGGTAAAACTCTCGATGGTGCGCGGGGTCCTCGTGGCCATGGTCCAGCGGTTGCCCCAAGCCGACCATGCGCAGCACGAAGGAAGCGGTGATGAGGGTGTAGAGGACACCGTTGACGGCGTTCCAGAAGCCCAGGATGCGGTAACCGGCCTTGTAGACTTTCGTGACCTCATTGCAGATGAAACCAAGAGTGAAGAGGTAGAGCAGCACCTCGGCCACGTCGAGCCGGCCGGAAGGGTTCGGGGTGTTGACGGCAACGGTGAAGAGGACGAGGAAGGCGATGGTGACGAGGAGCTGGGTGGCGTTCTGGTACCGGGGGACACGGATTCGGTCGGGGTCGAGGTGGGTGAAGAAGCTGATCTTGTCCCGGTTGGCGTAGTCGACGAAGGTGGTGGGGTTGTCCTCGTCCTGCACCAACCACCCGCGCCAAAGGTGGTCGACGCACTTTTGGTAGCCAGAGGAGGTGATGACGTCGACGGCGTGGAGGTCGACGGCCCGTTCAATGGCGTTGGCGGGATAGGTGGGTTCGCCGTCAACGAGGATGGAGTAGCGCTGAAGCAAGATGTTGTGTAGGAGGAAGGACGTGTCGTCTTCGGTCTCGATTCTGTTTCCCTATTCGTTAGCCAGGAAGAGAAGAGGGGGCGGGGAGGGAAGAAAGAAAAGAAGAAAAAAAAAAACTCGTACAGTTTCTTTGCAATGACCTCGCAGGCGACCTCCCTTCCGCGGTGCAGATCGGCATCCCACAACTCGACGACAGATTGTTGCCTGAACCAGGCCTTGCAAATGAGGAGACAGAAGACGACACAGGCGCGATACTCTGACCCTCCAGCCTCTTTAGCCGCCTGCACGACCTCGGGGGTGATGATACTGCTGTGCGCCCTGGTGATCTCGGATTCATCCAGGTCGCAGGGGACGGCCGACTCGACGAGGTGGCGCAACTTCAGAGCGACCTTGGTTACCTGGGCGGCGGGGATGGTAGACACGACGTGACGGTCGGTGTGGGAATGGGTTGGGAGGACTAAACAGCCAACAACACCATGTTTGCGTCCCGTCAGAAGACGCCATCATGCAAACAAGGGAATGACATGGAACTGACGGTGCTGGCGGTCTCCATGCAACCAAGCTGGTTGTTCACGGCGGGGACGATCCCAGCCCACGACCCGGGACACCCAGTTAGACCTGGGCATGTTTTTGTTGCCGGTCAAAAAAATTGCCAATTGGTTTGGCCGGATGACAGTCTGTCGAACGAAGAACCAGAATAAATAGGGATTAGAGAAAGGGGAGGAGAAATTTGGTTTAGGGGGGAGGGGGGACAAAAGGGGAGGCGGGGGAAGACGAGTAGGAAAAGAAACGACATTATCACCTGGAGGAGGTCTCGCCTGGAGAGAGAGCTGAAAGCTGGAGCTGGGGAGCTACTGTACCTGCCTTACCTGCGTTACAGTGTCCCGGGTACGGAATACAGCACTCGGGAGCATCGCCATGGTCCAATCATAGGATGGAATTGTTCCTTTTGGGGGCTGGACAAATCATGACGTATGATCTGATCATCGCTTGGCATTCAGTGACTATGGAGAGCAGGAGCAGGAGAGAAGTACCTGCCTTCTGTCCATAAAAAGTGATTAGGAAGTAACCGTAATGTAGGCAACCACGGAATTTATTTGGGTGAATAACGTCGACGATGTCCGAGTCCTGTGGGTAATTTGAGAGGATCTCGGGGAATATCCACGCTGTGAGCTCACCTGATCAATCACGTGATATAATCCCCCCAGTCATGATGGTGACGGAAGACCAAGGTGACCCTGATGGCTGAATCAGGTTAGCGCCCGATCTAAATGTTAACCCATATCATATTGTACCCGTGTCCTCCTGCTAGCAAAAGCCCAAACATGCGTACGTCCCTGAAGGTTCGCACAGTGTACTCCATTTTCGGCACTCTCGTCGTATTTTGGTATTTTGGGGAGGAGAAGCGATGGTGGGTCCTCCCCGGCCGAAGAGCACCAGTCAATTTTCCCAACCTAACCCTTTTGATTTTTTTCCCCTTCTCAAAAAAGCTTCCCTTTATTTTTTTTTTCTCTTTTTGACGACTTCCAACCACCACGTCACTTGTCGCCGTCACGCCCACAACATCTTCCCAGTCGTAAACTATTCGTACTTTACGATCAATCAAGACACCCTCCCGAACGCCACTGAACGAAAGACACGTCTACGCAATTAAGCCAGCAGGCCAAACAGCGATTTATCTATCCATTTCCCCCCCCGTCAAGCCGATCCCGTTTCTTCGTCTCTTCGGCCACCGCAATTGCCTTCGAGCCTCGCATCTTCTCGCGAACCAAAACCTGAACATAGTTCACTCGCTCTAGATATTCCCTGTCTTGCCGACGCTCATCCCGCCGCCTCCCAGGAATCATCTAGTTTGCCTGACGCTGTCCCATCACCAACCACATTGCTCAATCGTTCAAAGACGTCTATCGTCCTTATTCCAAAACACCACCCCCAATATGCCTAATCTTCCGTCGAGCTTTGCCTCGGCCGCTGCCGGCCAAAATGCCAACCGTGACGTGAGAGGGAATCGTGGAGATTCACGCGGAGGAGGTGGAGATTGGTATGTGCCTTATTTCCCCTTCCCTCTTCTCCCGTTTTCTTCTTTCTGTCATGTCACCTTTGTCCTCGATCATATCACCCCCCATCGCCGCTGCCTTTTGTCCCCTTGAGCCTAGACCTTCGTGCACTGGTCACCTGTCTTGTCCAGCGCACGTCTCCTTCCCGTGTTCTCTTGTTCTTTTTTACCTTTGCACACGCCCTTCCTCGACCGAAGACGCCATCTTGCCGTATTCTTCCCCGACACGGTCTGCCTGGACATCGTCCTCGACACCTGTCAACTGGGTCTCTCTCTCTCCCCCCCTCTCTCTTTCTCTCTCTCTTTCTCCCTCTCTCTCTCTCCCTCTCTCTTGCCCATTTCTCCTCGACATCCCCCCCTTTATCCTCAGATAAGATGGCCTTGTGTGAATAGTCCAACTAACCTTCAAACCCCAACATCTGTAGGACTCGACGAGAAGGACGAGCCAACGGTACTCTGACTTTCCGCCGAACCTCCACTACTCCTGGTCAATCATCTCAGTCTGCCCACCCGTCTGAACAAACCTTGCAAGCGAACGCATCGAATGCCGAGTCCACTTCTGCCGCGGTCGGTTCTAGCGTAGCGAGTGAGGACTTCGCACCTCAGTCCACCACCTACCCAAAGCAAACCATTCTAGACATCTTCCGCGACATGCCCGCTGAGACCGACTCTTCCGATATCCGCGAGCCCGGTTGGGTCCCTGGACAGGTGAACGGGAATTCGTCTCGGGGACGGGGTAAATCCGGGCATGTGCAGCCAAACCAAGACCCCAACAGCTGCTGGATTCCCGCTGCCACCAATTCCCCTGTTAGTTCCCGCAGTCTCACCGCCGAAGAGAAGGAGGTATGCGCCACCACGTGACCAGAAGAGAGAGAGAGAGCGAGTGAGAGATGCATGCATTCGGTGGCTAACCGTTGGTTTTCCTTCGTTTCCTTTTCTTTATAGACCCTCGCATCCGACGTGAATTCGCCCTTGAAACCACCGAATCAAAAGGACGGAAACGCCCAGGGTGGTGGTGGTGCCGTGAACGGCCGCAAGGCTTCGTTGTCTCACGGCGCAGGATCCGCCTTCGGCCTAACGTCACCCACCTCGGCCTCGAGGCCCGGTACGCGACGCCGAGAAACGATCGACTCGAATCCTTTCACGACCGGGGGCCTATCCTCTCCAGCCAGTACAGGCCGCTTCCCTCGCGACGACCCTGGTTTCTTACTTGGTCGCAGAGGCACCGAACAGAAGGAACAGGAGGGGGAAGAAGAGGGCGGCGCCCCGACACGGGAGACGCCTGCTCGGGAGACTCCTGTTCCTCAAAGCCGCCCTGGCTTTGGCAGCTTGTCCCGTATCAATACGACCGGCACCATGGGAGGCTCTAATATCAGCTCCCTGTGGGGCCAGACCGCCTCCGCCCAACCTCAGCCTTCCTCGGCAGTGGGCAGCTTTGGTCAGTTCTCCCTAGCCACGCCCACCAGCTTGAGCAGCGCGACGCGGGGTGGCAGCAGGTTCGCGAACCTCATTCCCAAGGAGGGCTCTGAGGGTATGGCCGGTAAGTCCGGCGAATCCGCGGCCGCCACCACGAACCCGGACCTCAGCCTCCCTTGGCGGCCGCGTCCCAGAACCGACACGGATCCTTTCGGCGACGACGGACCCTCCGGCAGCGCTGCCCTCGGTGGCGCCAAGGACACCAGCCCGCCCCCAATGCCGAATTACATTGCGAACATTGGCGTCTTCGAGACCCCTGTCAAGGGCTCGGCTGGCGACTTTGGCATGTCGGGCCTCACTGTCGGCGATCTCGGTGGCCATGGAGGCCACCAGGGAGATCATCACGACCAGGGCCCTGTGAGTCCATCCGAGACGAACCCTTACCGAAGCCCGCCTGCAGCCGCCGACCGGGGAGACGAGGAACATGACGACCCCGGCGAAAAGCGTCAGGGGAGCGCCGCCGGCTCTGAGCAAGCTTCTACTTTCGGCACATTGTCGCGCGGATTTCCTTCCCACAACCCCCATGCCCATGCCGCCTTTGATGGGAGCGACCGCAGCCAGACGTCGAGCGCCGGACCGAAGGGATACCCGTCGCTTTCGGGCTTGAGCGGCTGGCCGGCGCCCGGGCCTTCGGGAACGACGCCGGATCGAGAACGTCAGAGCTTCGCGTCCGCTTTCGGAAACTCGTTTTTCAGCCCCATGGGAGGTGATGTGCAGCAGTCTCCCGGTTTGTCGATGGGTGGTGGCGGAGTCGGCGGGGTCGGTGGCATCTTCGGTCCGCCCAGCGCCGGACCTATCGGCGGGACCGGATCCATGGGACGCAGTAAGCTCGGGTCGCTTTTCCCGGCCGCCATGCAGGCCCAGATGCACGCCCACGACCAGCAACAGCAACAACACGATCACCTGAGCGATTCGCTACCCGATGTACGGCAGGCCCAGGGCCATAATCCCGTGGCTCCGATCGGCAGGAACACCTTCACGCCGCAGCACCGCGATACGGGGAGTCCGATGCGCGCGGGACGCGGCGCGTTTGACGACTTGTTCTCGCCTCCGGGCGACCACCGGGCGTTGAACATGTTCGGCAGTGCGGCCCCAGACACGTCGCATCACGGTGCCACACCTGGCGCGCAAACGCCGTCCTACCCGGGCCCCTCATCTAGTGCCGATCTCCCCACGTCCCAAGTCCGTCAGATGGTCATGCCTGATCGGATGAGATGGGTGTACCTTGATCCGCAAGGTCAGGTGCAGGGTCCCTTTACGGGGCTCGAGATGAACGACTGGTACAAGGCGAATTTCTTCACGGCCGATCTCCGGGTCAAGAAGGTGGAGGATCCCGAGTTTGAGCCGCTGGGCCAGCTAATCCGTCGGATCGGCAACTCGCGCGAACCGTTCCTCGTCCCCCAGATTGGCGTTGCTCACGGGCCCCCGCCGAACCAGCCCGGGCCCTTCTCGGCGGGGACACCGGGCGGCGTGATACCGCCCCTTAGCGGCGTGTTCCCTAGCTACGGCAGGACGCTCACGGCGGAGGAACAGAACAACCTGGAGCGGCGCAAGCAAGAGGAACAGTTCGCCATGGCGCAGCAGCGCGAGCTGATGATGCGGCAGCAGGCGATCGGGAGGATGCAGCCGGGGGCGGGGCTCCAGACGTCGCTGCACCACCATTCCAGCACGCACAGCCTCCAGAACCAAGCTAGTTTTGGGAGCATCTCGTCGCCCATCGGCGGTTCTCATCAGCAAGTCCCCGTAAGCGCCGGAGGCATGGCGCCCGGGGCTCCCTTCTTCGACGGCGTGGTGGCACCACCGAGTGGCTCGCGGGGCCCTTTGGGGCCGAGCCTTGATGCGTTTCGCGAAGACGACTTGGCGACACTGAACGCTACGGAGCGGCAAATGCTGGCTAACGTCCAGGGCGGGGCCAGCGGTAGCTTCTTCCCCCCTCAACCGATCGGACCGGCGGGAAACGAGGGCCAGCTGCGTTCCAACCTCCCTGGGACGGAGCAACTGGCCGATGATGAGGAGGGATTTCGCGAGCGTTTGCAAGAATTTGAGAAGTTTCGGGCCGAGCACGAGCGTGAAGTAGAGCAGGAGGCACAAGTCGACGACGACAACAACAACAACATTGGTGCCTCTCAACTGAGCGGCAGGGAAAAAAAAGACGATACTACCAGCACGACGGCTGGGGCGCACACACAGTCCCAGAAGGAAGAGGCGCAGGCGCAGGGGCACCAGCACCAGCACCAGTCGGAACAAGACAACAACAACACCACTAGGATGCTGCTGGAGAAGGCGCGGGAGACGCAGTTGCTCTCGTTGACTCAACAGGTCCAACAGACGCAAGCTGCGGCGGCGGCGGCGGCGGCGGGTCTCCCGATGCCTTTCCCGCCCCCTCCTTCTCAGTCGGGAACACCGCTTCCGGCACCGACGGCGCAGAGGATCCGGTCCAATCTTCCGGAGCAGTACAGCCGGTCGCAGTCGGGCACGCCAGACGCGTCCTCGGGCAGCGAACCTCCCCCCCTGGCGCCGTGGGCTAAGGATTCGGGTTCCGGGTCGCGCAAGGGGCCTAGTCTCAAGGAGATTCAGGAAATCGAGGCGCGCAACGCTGCCAAGGCGGAAGAGGCGGCGACGGCGGCTCGTCGGGCGCAGCTGGAACAAGAAGCGGCGTTGCTCCGGGAACGCGAGAAGGTGGCGGCTTCGACGCCGGGCCTGCCGACAACCAGCACGTGGGGCAGCGCGTCGCCGGTCCCGGTCGGGAGCCCCTGGGCCAAGCCGAGCGCGGTGAAGGTGGCACCGGGTGCGGCCAGCACCACCAAGCATAAGACGCTGGCGGATATCCAGCGTGAGGAGGAAGCGCGCAAGGAGAAGGCCAGAGCAGCTGCGGCACAGAGCGGAGCGGTTCCCATCAATACGGTGGGGGCAAAACGGTACGCCGACCTGGCGCCCCGATCTGGCGGTGGCGCCGGCAGCGGCAGCGGCAGCAACAACAGCAACCCGCCCGGATTCCCGCAGGTTCCAAGTGGGGTTCCGGCGGCGGTCGGCAGCGGCTGGGCGACGGTCGGGGCGGGCGGCAAGGTGAAGGCGCCACCGACGGGACCTGCGGCTCAGACGCCCAGCCGAACGGTCAGCATCAATAACGGCAAGGCGGCTACGCCGGTCAAGGCGATAAGCAAGCCGGCCATGTCGACGCCAGGGACGGGGTCCAAGACGGATGCGGCGATGGACGAGTTTAGCAAGTGGCTGCACCGCGAGCTGTCGCGGGGTATTACGGGAGTTGACAGTACGCAGTCTACCCTCGCCTCCCCCCTTCTCTCCTTCTCTCTCGTGTAATGTGCTAACCGAGATCAACAGTCGAGACGTTTGCGGCCACTTTGGTGATCCTTCCGCTGGACCCGACGCTGATCGCCGACGCGGTGTACGCCAACAGCAAGACGATGAACGGGCAGCACTTTGCGGAGGAGTTTGTGCGGCGCAAGAGGCGGGCGGAGCAGGGCATTGTGGAGAAGCAGCCGGGCGGTGGCGAGAGCAACGGCGGGACGGGCGGGTGGAATGAGGTGGCCAAGAAGGGATCTCACCGGGAGTCGGCGACGTCGGAGGCGGCGATTCAGGGGGCGGGATTCAAGGTGGTGCCGGGTCGCAAGAAGGGCGGCAAGAAGAACTAGGGCTCGTGTGGTCCTGCACGCAGCGTTATCAGCGTCATGGATGATGTAGCTTACGTATCCTCTTACCATAAGGTAGCGTATCAATGAGCAGTGGCATGTATCAGTTCATCTGATCTCCTCTCTTGTTTCGAGTGTGTGTCATGTGTGTTTTTTTGTGAGATGGTGATGGGACAGAATGTTATCGGTGAGGACGGTGGTCGGTGAGGACGGAGGTCGGTGATGTCGGTGAGTGGAGGGGTAGCTGGATTAGTCATTCGGTGACAAATACGAAAATTTACCCCGCCCCCACCATGATTTTGGGAAATCGCCGACTTTTGCTTCTGAGCTTCTTCTTTTTTTGTTTTCCTTTCGCATTATATTCTGGCTTGTCATGCCAGCACAATAACCACAACAATTCCCAACGTCCCGAGTCCTGCGTCCCGAGTCTGACCTTCGAAAGCCTCACGCAGACTTCAAACTTGACCCGAGTCTTTGCCTGTTCGCGGCATTGGATCGTTGGCCGTTGCTGTCACTCCAGGGCAGGGCTTTCGATTCTTTTCAACTATATCAACCGTTCGAGGTACAACACAAGCAAATGGCGAGCTCATCAGACTCCCTACTCGCCAGGGTAGAGGCTGGTGCATACATAGAAACACTCCTTGAGCCATCAGCAAGAACCCTCGTCCAGTCTTTCACCACGACACTCCTCGGCTCCAATACCGTCCCACAAGGCCCTCGAACCGAAGACGAGAAGGAGAAGGAGAAGGAAGAGAAAGAAACTGGGGGAAGCGAGCCCCCAGCAGCCGAAGATGAACTCGCCATAGGCCTCGCAGCCTTCAACGCCTTCCTCCAAATCAACGTCACGGGTCCCGCCCTCGAACCCGCCGCGAAATCCAACCTCACATCGTCCCTCTTTGCCTCGACCGCCGCGGAATCGAAGCGCCTCCGCGCGTCGTGCATCGCCTCGCTCGAAGTCGACGGCGTCTCCCCTTACCCTTACATCCCGCACATCGAGCTCTTCGCCTTTGCGCGCCACGTCGTCCGCCGCTCGACCGCTCCCGTGTCCCGACCCATCGGCGGCGGCCGCGTCTCCCTGGCCTGGCTGCGCCTCCGCGTCCTCGTGTGGCATTTCCGCCTGCTGGCGCAGCCTTCGCTTTCGGGGACGCACTTTTCCAAGGCGGCGCAGTGGATCGACGTGCCCTCGCTCGCCGAGGAGATTGTCGACGCGCTGGGGGTGGTCAGGGCGCAGCTTTTCGGAGAGGGGGAGGGGGAGGGGGAGGATGTTTGGGATTTGACGGGCGATGCGGCGGGGGTGTGGTCCCGCGAGGAGAAGGTGCGGTTTTTGCTGGAGGCGGCGAATGTGCATGTCATGCTGGGGCGGGATGATCGGGCCCGGGAGGCGGTTGCGGAGGCGGCTAGGCTGAATGGCTTCGCTTACGCACTGTCGGGTGCGCTGGGGAAGCGGACGAGGTGGCAGGAGAAGAGTACCAGCCAGTTGGTGGTGTTGGCCAAGAGTGGAGTTGGTGACGAGGGGACGGACGAAAACGACGAGGAAGAAGAAGAGGCAGAGGCTAGACCGGAAGCGCTGCTTCTGAACGACGACACCTTGCTCGAGAACATCGAGTTTAGTAACAAGGGGACCAACGGGACGAACGGCCATGGCTCGGGAGGAGAGTCGACGTTGCCTCCCGTTCTGGCCGACTTGAGTCCCGACAACCAGCCGCAGCTCTCGCCGCTGGATCAGATCATCCTCTTGACCGAAGCGACCATCAAGGACTCGTTCTCACCGGTCGATACGCTGACATCCGAGGAGGTTCTGCCGTATGCCGTCCGCGTCATCACCGACAAGTCGACCAACTGGCAGGTCTATACCCAGGCATTGCTGGTGAGATCGCGAATCGAGGTGCATCGCAGCCGCACCATCGAAAGGGGTGTGCTCCAGATGCAGGCCGTTGTGGACCAGGTCATTGTCGACACCGACACCGAGCAGGCTTCCCAGTCGTCTTCCTCGTCGTCTTCCTCTGATCCCGCCACGACCAGCGGTTCTGACGAAACGAAGGAGGCAGACGTGCCAGCTATTGCCATCACCGCGCCGGACCAGCGCGAACAGCCCAAGCCGGCCGTTGATTCTTCTTCTTCTACCGACACCGACAAACCAACGTCCTTCTTCCCGGCGCCACAACCCACCGAATCTGCTCCCGCTCACGTCCGTCTCGACTACATCCACGCCCTCGCCTCCCCACCCCGCTGGCACCTCGAGTCCGAGCTCGCGTACTCCTGGGTAGGCGTCGGCTCGCTCGTCTCCGCCCTCGAGATCTTCAAGCGCCTTCGTCTATGGGCCGAAGTGGCCGTTTGTCTTGCCAGTGCCGCCAACACTGCCGAGGCCGACGGCTCGGGTCGCGGCAGCGGCGGAGAAGAAAAAGCCAAGGGAATTATACGATGGCGCCTCTTCCACCGAACCGGCACGCAGCCAGGCGAAAACACCACCCATGCGGACCCGGACGCCGAAGTCCTTCCCGACGACCCTACCCGTCTCGACCCCTCCCTCTTCTCCGGCCCGGAACGCAACCCCCTTCCGCCCAACGCGCCGCGTCTGTTCTGCATCCTGGGTGACCTCGAATCCGACCCTTCGCACTACGAACGTGCCTGGTCCGTTTCCAACCAGAGATACGCCCGTGCCCAAAAATCCCTAGGCGAGCACTACCTCTCCCAGAAGACACCGGGAGGCCTCGAGAAGGCCCGCGAGGCCTATGCCGCCGCCACAAGATGCAACCGACTGAGTCCGGAGCTCTGGTCTCGTTTTGGCGACATCTCGCTCCGTTTGGGTCTTTTCGACGACGCCGCCGACGCCTACAGCCGCGCCATCGCCTCGGCCGGCGACCCTATCGCCGGCGAGGACGCCAGGACCTGGAGCAACCTCGGCAGCGCCCTCTGGAGCCTGCACCTCGAATCCGTCAAGCTGGCCGCGGCGCAGGGGACACCGAACCTGAAACCGAAACCGAAACCGAAGCGCGACCCGGCCAAACTCCTCGCCCAGTCCCTCTCGGCCTACAAGCGCGGCGCCACCCTCGCCTCCAGCAACTGGCGCATCTGGGACAACGTCCTCACCCTGGCCTCCCGCGCCCGCCCGCCCGCCTACGCCGACATGGTCCACGCCCTGCGCAGCATCCTGCGCATCCGCGCCTCCGAGACCGCCATCGACATTGACCTCCTCCGCGCCCTGGTCCAAGACACCGTCCTCGCGCGCGGCGCCGAGAACGGGGCGGCAGCGGCGGCGGCGGCAAACGCGACAGCAACAACAACAACAACAACACCGTACGAACCCCCGCGCGGCAGCATCGAGCGCGCCGTCCTCTCCCTCCTCGAAGACGTCGTCGCCCCGCTCATCACCGCGCGGTCGGACCTGTGGGCCCTGGTCTCCCGCGCGCGCGTCTGGAGGGGGGACTACAAGGGCGGCATCGACGCCGCGGAGAAGGCGTGGCGCGCTGCGATGGGGACTGCGTCTGCGTCTTCGGGCTTGTTGGCCGGGTCGTCCTCCTCTTCGACCCCCGCTGGCGGCGCGGAGGCGGAGGGCGGGGCGAGGAAGAGTTGGCTTGAGGATGCCGAGGCGTGGGATGAGGTCGTGAGCCGGACGGCGGAATTGGTGGGCGTGCTGGAGAATTTTGGGGAGGGGGTCGATGGCGTTGGGAGTCGGTGGAAGAGCAAGGGCCGGAGTGCGGTGCGCAGTGTGATGAGCAAGGCGAGGGATCCGTGGGAGGGCAGCGAGGGGTGGAAGGTGTTGGAAGGGTTGATGGAGGGGTTGGAGAAGTGAGTTGTCGTGGGCCATGGGGTGTGGCAGGACAGGGGACGAGGTCAATACGGTTATAGATAAAAACAAGTCCGCGATATAGAGTTGCAAGACTTGACTCGGATATAGACGAAGAAAAAGAAACTGATAATCAAATCGGGAGCCTATTCTATCTGCATCTCATGTCTATCTACTCGTCTATGAAAGAACGCGGCCTTCCCCCCTTATTTTTTCGCAGATTTCTCCGTAGACAGCGGCGTCAACACGCGGACTTTCTTCCGCCTATGCGAAACCTCCTCCTCAGTACCCTCTGCCATCGACACAACACGGCGTCGTTTCGCTCGACGTACCACCGCAGGGGGTCGAATGGACTCCTCCTCGACCGCCGAGACCAGCGCCATGTGAGCAACAGCGACGGGTTCCTCCTCACAGACCAAACTCCCCACGACGACCTTGCTCTTGCCCTTCTTCTTCTCCGCAGCAGCCGCTTGTTCCGCCGCCTTCTTAGCGAGGGCGTTCATCCTGCGGAAATGGGGGAAGCGGCGCGCCTTTGCCAGATCGGCCTCCAGTCCCCTCTGATGGTCCTCTATCCTCTTCAGCGCCATTTCCATCTCCTGGCTGTGAGGGCCCCACGGTTCCGGCGGCGTTGGGTCTACCGGTAACGTCCCGTCGGAACCCCGGTATCGAGCGTAGAAGGCGTCCAAGTCCTCGCGCGGGCTGCGTCTCGGCTCCGGGGCGAAGTGGTGAGGTCGGTTGGCGGGCGGGCACGGCTCGGAGATGTCCCAGTCGTGAATGCCTCGCGCTAGTTCCTCCATCGTTTCGTCGACGAATAGCGCCCTTTCGTAACTCTCGCCTTCTTCTACGAAGCCCTTTTGGAACGGGTCCTCGGCGTTGTTTTCAGGATGCGTGGGCGGCGGGTTGAGCGGATGTGGCTCTTGGGGATGCGGGAACGCCTGGCTGTAGACGATAGGCCCTGATGGTTCAAGGGCTAGTATGTCTGCGTCTATTAGTTTGTCAGCTCGCGTCGCGTTGGACGGTTGAAAGAAGGATAAAAAATAAAACGGCAACATACCTGTTAAATTGCGAATGGGGTTCCAATCCACTTGGTTCGCCTTTGCTTTCTGCTTGCTCTTCCCTTCGGCCAGCCGTGCGACGATATAGACGTCAAACGTCTCCCGAACCCAGGCCGCCGTCTCCTCGTCTTCAATGATATTCCCCATCCAGGGGCTCAACCGGGTTCGTTCAAACTCCGAACCAAACCGCATCACATCTGCCACTCACTGTCAGTGCTTCGCCCGAATGACTGAAGTTCTGAACGCTCCCATTAACGACAATACGGGATAATATCCGAGAGACTCACTTGTGACATCGTAGACCAGACACTTGCTGCCATCCACGCTGTCGACTCCCACAAAAGCTTGCCTGTAAGTCTTCTCGAAAACGTCCATGTCAAAGTAGAACTCGGCTAGTTGCTCCGCCGTTATATATGGCATCGCACGATCCGCAAACTGCCACCTTTTGCCCACAATGGCTTCTCGTCTCTGCACGAGCATCGTGGCAAGCTCGTGCTCCGCGTTCTCCTTGGCATGCGTTCGTTTCGATTCCGGGTTGAGAGCCTTGCCCTCGAAAGGCAGTAGCCTCTGTCCTAGGCCAGATGTCGCCTCCTCCTTCAACAGGGCTGTATACGTCACAAACCCCCATCCGGTCAGCATGAGGGCTCTGGTCCCCAAGAGACAGAGAAGGAGAAGAACGGGGTCTCACAGTGGATGTTATAGATGTTGTCGTGCAGCCTGACGCATCCAGGGGGGATCAGCTGATCGGGGTGGTATTCCTCCACTATGCGCCCAATCCGCAGATAGTCCATGCGCTTCAAGAGACCGTCGGGGTCCTGGTGCATTTTTTCAAAAGCCTTCGTGGCATCCCGGCCCCCGAAATCTTGTAGATGATCGATCCCTCCGGGGTGAAAGCTGCTATAGTCTGTTCCCTCAGTGTCAATAGCCGGCCGCGGAAAAAAAAAGGGGGGCCAAGGGAGGGGAGGGGTGGCTTGATAAAGGCCTTGCTTTACCTTTGATGTCGTATACGTTGTTCCGTATGATGATATAAAATCCAGTGTGCGCCTTTCTGTGCCTGTGCCACTTGACGTCTTTCCTGGTGAACACTTGATCGCTCTGCACTGGAGTCACCCTCTGCTGTATAACCGCCACCTTGTACTGTTCAAGCATGTCGACAACCGCATCAATATTGACACCAGCCCTCAAAAGATCCTGTTGGGGGTTGCCGCCCGCGATTTTCCGCATGATTCTGCCCAGCTCTCTTTCAGAGTGTGTAGACTCGCCAAATTTGATGTCTATACGCCAGCCATGTTAGTGCTCAGCATGACGGACAATCAAAAACGACAAACAAGTCATGGTTCGGGGGCGGCAGGGGGGCCCCTACCTGTGATATTGTATACATATCCGAGGATCGTGACAAACGTCGACTCGGTCGTCCTAGTCCACAACGCCGGGTCTTCCTCCCGCACCACCCGGATCAGTCGGCCGACGGGTTGCGGGCGAGACGCGGCGTCCAGGGCCAGAAACATCGTTGCGTCGGACGCTCTCAGAAACCGGCCCTCCTGGGTCCACGTAGTGAGAGCCCAGGGCTCCGTGGCGTCAAGTCCGAGACAACGGGCGACCTCCGGCCAAGTGTACACCGCGGTCCAGCTGACCCTGTCGACGAGGACCATGGGGCGCCCGACCGACTCCCCGTAGTCGTACACCTCGGCAACCGAAAACTGGCGCATAGTAAACAGATTCAGCGGTGCCTCCTCCTGCGGGCTGCTCGCCGTTCCCGCGAAAGCCCAGGCGGGCAACTCCCCGACGTTGTCCGGCTCGAGAACGACCTGGCCGAACGTGTCATCGTCGGCCGCTTCCCGCAGCTCGTATGCCTCGTCGAACCCGAATACCCTGGTCGTTCCTAGCTCGCCATACGGCGGGAGCCGGAAGGGGAAGTCCAGCCACGAATCGGTCGCCAAATTGTCCGCGGCATCGTGGGCCGCGTGGCGTTCGATTTGCTGCAGAAGCTGCTCGCAGGTGTTGGAGAAGGCCGTCTTCAGGCCGCGAGGCACCACAGTCATGTGAAGCTCGTAGTTTCGCCAGTAGACCTTCGCAATCTGGACCAGGCGAGTCCGGTATTCTTTGAGCCCCATGGGTAGGTATGGCTCGAGGCCGTATGCGGGATAGTGCAGCTCCATTTGCTGCCCGGCACGCCCGCGCATGGTCATGCACTCCACCACGGCTGTTTGACGAGCCCCCAGTTCCTCCAGGGAAAAGAAATGCGGACCCGTCCTCATGGACCAGGGCACACCGACTGGGTAGTGCGGCGTCACGTAGGCTCGGAGCGGTTCCGGGTGCGTAGGGATGGCGGCGGCGATGAGCATCGCGAGCGCCCGGTAGAACCAGTCCGTCCTCCTGTAGTCCTCCACGTCTCTGCCTTCGGGCCGGTTCACCAATAGCCGGCTACTCGGCCAGTGATACGGCTCCATCCAGTCGGTACATATGGTGACCATGTACCGCTCGTCCATCGGCGTGCGCCCCGTCATGAGCGTGGTGAGGATAAAGTCGAGCTGGGTCCGCTTGCGTCCGTCGCTGTAGGGCGTCAGCTGCCACCTCGCCAAGGAGTCCTTGTACCACGGCTCGCGCCATTCCTGCCACTTCAGTCGCGCCTGGTGCAGCAGCCTCGCCAACCGCTTGAGGGGCGGCGCCAAAGGCGACGCGCCCACCCCGGGATCCTGGTCCCAGCCAGCAACGGAGTAGCCCTCGTCGTATTCGGAGTGGAGCATCCGGGGAATGCGCAGAGCGTCCAGGCCGTACTTGTCCACTACGTTGTGCCAAAACGGCATGGACATGAGCCAAAAGTGATAAATGGACGGTACTGGTGCGCGTTCCGATTGGGGCAGCTGATGGCGATGTATTCCGTACGACTTGTAGAAGCAAGAACGGGTTGGCCAGTTCAAGGCTCCCAGCAGGAACAAAACCCGGCTGCGATAACGCGGTCCAACCCAGGAAGAGGAATGCGGTCGTCCGGCCTCGTTGAAGCGGTGGCCGAAGATGGATTTCTCAAAGGACTCGCCCAATTCATAAACATTCTCATTGTAATCATACTACCCAAGGTCGGAGAGAGTGGACATTGTTAGTCGGTTTCCTTTGCGACGAGTTCGGAGCGGCAGGGGAAGCTCAGAGTCCCAGACTCGGTCTCACAGTTTCATAGTACCAACGGGGCGTGGGATAGGGCCGAACTGGGAGCCTCATATGGCGTCTCAGCTGCTCCAAGAAAACCGCATGCTGTAAAGAGAAAGGGGGTATATCAGCTTCGAGTTTTGCTGTACGGCAATAGAGAATAGGGGAGTCGGAAGAAGACGAACCATGAGCTCGTGCGCGAGCTATGTAGATATGAAATATGCAATGTCAGCAGACGGGGTCCTGCAAGTGGGTAGTATAACGGGCAGATGTTGTTACCGTGATGCCCAATACCACTTGCGTTGTGCGCCGAGTATGAGCAGGAAGACTATTATCGAGAAGTGGCTGGATCAGTTCGACGTTGACTATGATTTGACTCCGTGACGGTTCTGTCAAGACGGGACCGTTGAAGTTCTCCGGGTACGGGGACGGGAAAGTGTAGGCATCCACGACATCTGTTGGATCTTGGGTGTTATGTTGGTCGAAGAATCCAAAGCGCGCAGTCCCGAGCAATCCGTTGAGCATATTCAGGGTGTCTGCGGGCGACAGGAGACACCGGGGATCCACGTCCAGCATTTTCCAAATGTTTCCCTTACGGCCTGCTGGGTTTTGAAGCGGCAGCTCAACATCCCCTAGGGCGGCGACGTGGTTGGGGTTGATGAGTGTTGCCATCCTTGAAGCAGCTGCTGGTTAGCCTGGAGAAGAAGAACAAGGTAGCAAGACAAGACACCCAAAGGAGCGAGCGGGTGAACGTTACCATTTGTGGTAGCAAGCCGCCTTGAGGAGGCGATTCGCCAAGTCGATGGACGGCCGCATGGCATGCCAGATTTTAGGGTCGTCCACCGACCATCGCATGCCCACCTCTGGGTTCGTAAAATCAAGATTCCAGCGCTCTTTGTGGAAGAAGCTCATCCATTCCGACTCGTTGATGAGCGTACAGGACCTCTTCGGCTCCAGGTCGAGGTCTCGTCCCAAGGTGTGCTCGTCGGTAGGCTCCATGTAAGGGTTCATGGAGGTCAGGACGGCGGCTTCCCAGGTTCGGAGGGCGTATGTGCGGCTTTGGAGCTGCTCCGACAGGAACAGGGAGTCCATATCTTGGGGTTCGGGGCAGGGGAACTTCTCGCCCGGGCCGGGGGCATTGGTCGGTTGGAGCGTGTCGACGTCGAGGGACGGATACTGAGGATCCATCCAGCACAGGCCTTGTCCCACGGAGGGCACCTGTGTCGGGATGTTGTACCGGCGAGACCATTGCGATTGGGGCAATGGGGGAGGAGATCCCTGACTGGCATCCGAAGAGTCTTCCATTTCTCTCAAGTCACCGTGACGAGCGAGGAAATCCGTGGGCCGTGATGACAGTCTTCGTCGAGTTCGTGATCTAAGATATAAGATGCAGTGGCAGTGCCGTAATGAGCGAGGCAAATGGTAAAGGTGGTCGGGCGTCGTAAGTTGAATGAACAGTAACGTAGCCTATCCGTCGGTCCCTCGATGAAGACTTGGGAAAAGTAATGCAACACGGAACAGATCGCCTTCGATAATGATGGGCAAGAATCAAGAAGAGAAGATGATAGTGCGAAAGAGAGCAGAGGAGACGAATCGGAGAAAGTCCAAGTCAATCTTTGCTCCTTGTCTGGAGCTTCTGGCCTCGACAGCTCGGTTCCAATTCAGGAACAAAGGCGTTGGGTGGCATGGGTAGATGATAGATCCAACTTGGGGAACAATGAACCAGGGAGAACAAAGACTCCGTCAATGTGGTCCTTGGAATGTTGGCAGTGTCATCCGGAAGCGGCTTTTTCTTTTAGTCTTGGAAGACTGGAATCCGAATAAACAAAGAAGCTGAATCCCTGGGAATGTGCTCGCCAGGACGCCCTCATCGGGCTCGCATCGGCCCATGGGCCATAGCCCCTGAACAAGGGGCCAAGGGCCAAGGCTTCCCTAGTCGGGACACATAGTTTTGAGACCACTTGGTCAAATAACGGCACGGTGAAGGTGCAGACAGACAATCTCAGTTGATTACACCGGTTTGATGCCCTCATTCTGAGATTAGACGATGGAGGTGACGTCTAGACGGCTCGGTCGCTTGGTCGCTTGGTCGCTTGGAGTCTCTAGACTCTCAGTCCGGATGGGCCACAGATGGTGGTTGAGATCCCATTGCAGCGCGAAGCCGCGAACTGATGAGCCAAGACAAAAGGTGGGAAGAGTTATCGAGGGAGAAATTGACGACAGGTGCCATGGATGAACGTGGAAAAAGTGAAGAGGAGGCAGGGGGAGGGGAGAGAAGACAAAGGAGGGATGAGAAATCATGAGATCAGGGGCATCTAATGTCACAAAGAAGCACCGGAAGAATTATCGGTCCGCGTAACTTGTACCTAATCAATTAACTTTGCGATTACTAACCACGTAAGTGGATTATCAAATCCGAATGATTCCCCTGGAAGCCCCTGAGCCCCTGAGCCCCTGAGCCCCTGAACCCCCGAGACCCCGAGCCCCCTGAAGGCACTCCCGTCCCCCAACTTCTAACTTCATAATCAACTGGGTCTGGACAGCTTCCATCTACCTACATATCCATATACACCCTTACGACATACTCAATGACTCTATAGTAGTAAAACGCCAATGCTCCAAATGCTGAATTCCGGGCTGATGACCAGCCTGGCTGCCTATCCCGGATTCCGACCCTGTTCCAACTTCGGTCACTTACACGATGGCGCAAAAACATTGCCAAAGAACCCCGGCTTCACCTCCCCAAGTCGATTCAACCCTTCCTCTATGCCTCTCCTCCTACGAGCTCTCCGGACCTCCATCTCGTCTATCAGATCAAGCTCGCTGCCCGCTCGTTTTCTTTCCCTCCTCCTCGCTTCGTCCCAAGAATCCGATTCGACCACATCAGTTCCTCCGAGCACCACCTTTTCCAATGCCCGCTTGCTCTCCAGTTCCCCTCTAAGAAGGAGGCTTTGCACGTCTTGTTTCGTGATTGTGGTGTTCAGCTTCTCCACGGGGCCAATAGTGGCGTCACGAGCGTCCTCTAGATCGTCCGAGATCGGCACGTCGTGATCCCATTCCTGCCTTCCCCGGTCCATTTGTGACAGTGGCTGCGTAAAAAGAGCGGGAAGCGTGGGCGTGTTGCACACGGATGCTACTATCGGGTCGGTTGGAGTTTCATTTCGTTCCTCAAGAACCCGACCAACGACGAGATCTTTCCGTCGACTGAGCTGGAATAGGGGATGGCCAGTATCCAAATCCAACCTTGCACTTGCATCGCGCCGTCGCTTTCGGAGCTCCTCGGTAGCGTCAGATCCCGCGTAAGCTTCGAGATTATCCCGGAGCTTCTGCTCCAATTCGTCACCACTGAGCCGTCCTGTGCCCAACATGTCAGCCAGGGGCGGGGGCATGTGAGAGAATCCGACGCCTGGGGAATACAAGACAAGCACTCACCGATATCGTACACGTTTTGCATAATGAGAATCTCCGTAGAAGTCAGGGACTCTGCCGTCCAGCTCTTCACGATGCGTCCAACCCGGAAGTGCCTAATTTGTTTCAGCACCTCATCTTCTTCGTGTCCGTGGTATTGCATGAATTTCTCCGTAGCATCTCGGAACGCAACCTCTCGGAGAATGTTGGCGCCACCAGGATGGAAGTCCACATAGTCTGCATTGAAAACTCGTCAGTCTCAGTGCCCCGGTACAGTTCCTGGCGGGGAGATCCCAGGGTGAGGACGAGCCTACCTCTTAGGGAATACACTCCATCGTGGATGATAATGTAGAGAGCCGTCTCATCCAACCCCATTGCTGCCACCTCTTCCGCCGTGAAGACGTCGTTGACGACACTGTGTGATGGCACGACCGGCTGTAGCACCCTATTCCTGCAGGGCGCCAGCAACTCTGCCACTTCAACGCACTCATGTCCTTCTGCTTGGAGGGCTAGGACAGCTGTTCCCCCTGCGTGCTTCAGAAGGAGTTCTCTCAACTTTTGTTCCCCCTCAAAGAAGTCGAAATCTATCATGTTGTTCTTCCAGTCAGAAAGAAATCTGCAGTTTACTATTTTTCTGTTTTGCCTACTGATGGGGAATAGGGGTAGTTTCTTTCTTACCTGTGATATCAAAGACGTCCCCTCCGATAATTGTCCATGCCGGCCGACCATCCAGACCATCACGCAAGGTCACATCCTCGCGACGCGCGTACTTCAACGTACGGCCAATGGGCCGAAGTCCTCGGATCATCCCAGCCAGCTCCTTCGAAACGGTCGACAGCTCTGTATCCTCAGAAAGCAATCGCAGTGACATATGCGGGCGACCCGTCCTCCTCGCAACACTCCGCTTCACAGTCGCGTCAGACAGATGCAACTCCCGAACAACATCCGAGACATCATAAACGTCAAACTCGTCGTCCCCATTCTCCTTCACAACCCACCAGTCACCGCTCTCCTTGCCAGGCTGGTGGTCACCCACCTCCCCCCACGTAAAGTACCGCGTCCCCATCCGCCGTCGCGGTTCCTCAAGGGACTCCGAAACCACGACGGCAGCGAGAGCAGACAGCGCCGGCGCTTCCCGCATGTTGACGTCCAGGGGAGACGCAGGCGGCGTCCCGTGCACGCCGCGCCAATGCAGCTTCGCCTCGGCGACCCCGTCCTGGATCTCGCAGGGATCGAACGGAGGCAGCTGGAACTCAAAGTCCAACCACTCACCGTCGGGCTTTTGCGCGGCCTGCGCCCGCAGCCTCGTCCACAGCGCCCCGATGGCCAGTTCACAGGATCGGGGCAAGGGCACCGGACAGCTCGCTGCGTACCACTCCGCCTGCCTCGCCGCCTGCGCGAAACACTCCTCCCGCGTGATGCCGACCTCGTACACCGCCGGCGGGTTCTCCTGTTTCACAATGTTCTGAAAGAAGACGTGGCTGTACTCGATCTGTTCCGTCTGGAAGCTTCGTTCCTCCTTGTCCGGGTGGGTGGACTTCCATACGTTCGGGTAGCCGGGCGTCGGGTACTGGAACGTCATGGGATGCGTATAATGCGGGATAGCCGCCATAATCAAGAAGCCGAGAACCCGCCAAAAGGCCAATGGCCAGGCGTTTTCGTCCTCGCTGGCCGCGGGGTAAGGATAAGGCCGTACGAAGCTCAGCGCCTTGCCGAATAACGTGGATGCGGCCCGGAGGTCGCGGGCCTGAAACAAAGCCGCCACGCCGTCCTGGAACATCTCGCGGTAGGGCGCAATGCTGTGCGGGCTGAACTTCCACTTGGCGTAGGCCTCGTCGTACCACGGGGATCGCCACTGCGACCAGAGTCGCCGCCGCGCCTCGAGGCTGGTAAGCAGTCTCTGGAAGCTCCCTTCGATTTCGCGCGGGACCTTGCTATGCAGGGTCGCGGCGATGGGCCTGGCGGGATCGAAAGCATGGTACCAGGATGTCCCTCCTGGGATCGAGTAGTGGAACACCTGCGTGACCAGGAGCCCTGGGACCATTAGACCTGATGCGCCGTATTTGCCGACGCGAGACGTCCAAAAAGCTTCCGAGAGGTGTGCGTTGCTCCATAGAGTCGGTTGCGGACGGCAGAAGTCGCGGATCTTTCTAGGCCATAGACGAGGCGCATCTATGCCGTACGTGAGCCCATTTTGATTCATGTAGTTGGTCGGGAAGGGCTGGCCCGTCAGGATGACCAGCCAGTCGTGGAGATCAAGACTCGAGTCGGGAGATGTGCCGAAGACGTGGTGGGAGTAGGAGGCGCCAGCTTCACACATCCATTCCTTTTCGAAGAACTAGAACACAGTGTTCGTGTTAACAGGCAGACGACGTCTGGAAACAAATATGGACATGGAGAGACCAGAAAAACAAAAGAAAAAAAAACACAGCACAAGTGTTATACCCACAGGTTCCCGCATATTACGCCGATAGCGCTCAGTCACTTCTGGGGGAATCGGCCCCTTGAGAAGAGCCGCTCGAGCAACAGGAGTGGTCACAGCGTGCTGCAAGGCGTGATATAAATGTTAGATAAATGAACCAGAGGTTGATACGCGGGAAGGAATGCTCACCATGAACTCGTGGACAAGCTAGGGGAAGAATGTCAGCACTGGTGGATATTCCCGCAAGAGACGCAAAAACAAAAGTGAGGCGCGCCAGAGATCTTCCGGACACACTTACCACCACTGCTGCATGGTAGGCCGCCATAGCCCGCTTGATCCGCCGTCGTTCCGGGGACAGCCCCTCATTCATCGACCTGTCGAAGATCTCGCGAAGCAGCCTCACGTCAAGACTTGCCCAAGCCGTGTGCTCGTCCACATGGAAGCAGTACGCCACCGCCCTGCCAACCGCAATAGAATGGTGCTCGTCATGAAGAGCCCACAACAGGCGATCACGCAGCGCGGCGTCGATGGTTCTCATGCCCTCAGCCCCGGTGACCCTGTTCTCACGCGCCATGACCCTGAATCGCTGCATGTCATATTTCTTCCCGTTGCAAAGGAAGATGTCCCGTATAAACTCGATGCTGTCGGGGTGGAGCAGCGAGCCGAGCCAGTAGTGGCTGGTCGTAGCGACGATGATCCGATTTGCCAGCTCCAGCACCGGACGAAGCAGCGCCCAGACTTGGTCGTCCGAGGCACGCCAGAACTTGCCCGGCCAGCCGGAAATGGGCCTCTCGAAATCGGTCCATCGGTCGCGACGCAGACACGTGAGCCACGTGTTTTCGTTCACCGTGATCGAGTCCAGGTCGAACCAGAATAGCGGCGAGGCCTCGATCCCTTGATTCCCGTCTGTCGTCCCCGCAGGAGTGTACGCCTCGGGTTGGCTGAGGACTTTGGCCTCCCACGTGCGCAGCCCGGCGAAGAGTTTCGTCAGTTGTAGTTTCTCGCTGGCGAAGAGCCGGTCAAGTAATGGTCCGTCGGGGATCCATTGACTGCCCGGATGATCCTGAATGCGCTCGCCACCGGTAGCTGGGTCCAGTAGGATAGCCGGTAGTAAGGGCTGCACCCATTCGTGGGCTCCGTTTCTGAGGTCGCGAGCCGAGGGGTCAAACTGAGAGAGATTGAACATGAATTGCTCGCCGGCCTTGGTTGCCATGATTTCAATTTGGCGTCTGAACCTGGTCTCTGCTCGCACGGGTGGGTTGTTGATGGCTGAGGGTTGCTTTACCAGGAAACGGGTGGTGAGTGAGCTAGACGAGGTGGTGGCCTTCGTCCATTCTCAGGCCATCAAAGGAGCGTCTCCGGAGTCCGGACTCAGGCGGTCAAGGGCCTCAAACAGACAAACGGATCCGGAGACGTTTCATGGGTACCGACACTTGAACGAAGATTGGAATGAGTTCCAAGGGTCTAGATGTAATAAAGCTCTCCCTTGCCTTTGTTCTTGGTGTGTCCCAAGTTCAAATTGTTCTCCTGTCAAAGATAGAGTGCAACACGGGATTGTCGAAAGTCCCAACCTATAATAATAGAATTACCAAGTACAGCCCGTGACACCGTCGAACAAAGAAGCCATGCACCCTGCCAACCCCTTTCTTTCTTCGGTCCATGACCCACGTTCGACGTTTTGTTCTTAAAACAGCTACATGAGAATGGGAGAACAAGGTTGAATGAAGGGAGGATGAACGTGTCCGCTCTCCAAGTATCACGAAGATCCATAAGTCGCCGACGTTCAGTTAGACATCACGTGATATGATCGGCGTAATCTGAAGGCACGTCGGCACAATGGCACAGAATCGAAGAGTGGAAGAAACTGGTGCATACCTATCAATGGCTTGGTATTGCCGTCTATCTATCATCATCCGCATTTTGTATTCCAGATTCCCAGCCTTAGGAATCTATAGTCCACGCGTCCACAGGATCCTCCAATCCCATGGCGAAGACGATATTCTTTACTCGTCAAGGGGGGAATCTCATGGATGCTCATCAGAAAGTCAAGGAAATTAAGACGTTGATAAGAGGAAAGAAAAAAAAAAAAAGGAATCCCGCAACCATGCAAAACCCAATAACCGGGATCGACTTTTCGTGTAAGGCTCATAAACAAAGGAAAAAAAGAAAAGGTAGGTAGGCGATGTTCGTGAGAGTCGCGGGCGCGTTGTGAAGGCGGCATCTCGTATGAAGCGAAGCCGTTTAGTCATCCTCATCAGAGAAGACCTCCTCACCACGCTTCCGGCGGGCCATACGCTCTGTGGACACCGAGTCAGTACACGTGGGGAATTCAAGGGGGTATCGTATCGGGTGTAGACAAGAAACTTAAGAAACTTACCCTTCTTCTTCTTCCGCGCCTCGGAAGAGGTCAGCTTGGCCTTCTTCTTGGTGCTAACAATCTTGTTGCCCATAGCATCAAACTTCTCTTCCTCTTCCTCGCCCTCTTGCAGACGAGGTCCGGAGCCCTGGCCCTGCACCCAGTTGTGACCCGAGGGCGTCATCTTGCCGTCCATGACGGCCCAGACTTCCTCGGTCAGATCCTTGGTGAACTCGGCGCTGTGCGTAATGATGATGACACCACCGCCGAACTTCTTCAGCGCCTTGGACAGAGCACCGAGCGAGTCACGATCCAGGTAGTTGGTGGGCTCGTCGAGGACGATCAGATGGGGACGCTGCCACGAGCAGGCCGCGAGGACCACCTTGACACGCTGACCGCCGGACAGACCACGCATGCGCGAGTGAGACACCAGCTCGGCGTCGATGCCGAAGTTGGCGCAGTGGGACTCGATCTCCTTGCGGACCAGAGGGCGGAACTGACCGGAGGCGAGCGCCTCCTTCATGTCGACCTCGGCCACCAGCTTCTGGTGGGAAGCGAGGAGCTCGTTACGAGGCAGCCACACGTTATCCGCAGTCATCATGGGCGTCCAGCGCTCGTTCTTCATGCCAATGTTCTCGCCGAGAGCAAAAGAGCACTCGTACTCGTAGCTGTTCTTGAACTTACGGCGGGAGTGGATGCCAATGATGCGACGCTGGCTGCCCTCAATCCGGAAGACCTTGTCCATGGCCTTCTCGTCGGCGTCGGTGATGATCTTGTTGGCGCGATCCATCGTCTCACGATCCTCGCCAGTCTGGAAACGCCACTGGATGTACTCGGACGGGGTCTTGTCGAGGTGGTTATCAATATGCGCGAAAGCGTGCTGCTTGATGTAGGCGATACGGATGTTCTCGTGCTGGTAGATCTCGCCCTCGGTGGGGATAAGCTCGCCAGTGAGCACGTTGATCAGCGTAGACTTGCCGGCGCCGTTGGGGCCGATGACGGCAATACGAGAGCCCAGCGAGCACTGGAAGCTGATGTCGGTGATCTGGGGCTTATCGGTACCCGGGTACTGGAAGCTCATCCTGCTGGCACGGAGAATGGCCTTGGCCTTGGTCTTGACACCCTCAAGGAAGCCGGGTTCGGGGAAGGAGAACTCCATCTCCGAGGCGCCCAGCTCGTAGTAAGACTTGGCCTGGGGGCACTTGCGAACGAACTCCTGGAGGTTGCCGCGGTAGCGCTTGAGCTTGAAGCGCTCGTAGTGGACCACGTGCTGGACCACGTGGTCAAGGAAGGTGGTGTCGTGCGAGACGATGATCGACGTGCACGGCGAGTTCATGAGGTAGTCCTCGAGCCACTTGACGTTCTTCACGTCCAAATGATTGGTGGGCTCGTCGAGGAGCAGGATGTCGGGCGCCTCGAACACGGCACGGCAGAGAGCCAGCTTCATCTTCCAACCACCGGACAGCGCAGTGATCTCGCCCGAAATCATGGTCGGGCTGAAGCCGAACTCGTCGAGCTTGGCCTTGACATCCTCCTCGGAGGTCTGGATGCCAGCCTCCTGCAGCTTCTTCATGGTCCACTCAATCGTGGTCATCTCGGTATCGGCGGCATCGAGGTCGTGCTCGACGAAGACCGTCTTGACCTCGCTCTGCTTGGGGAAGCCCTCGACCTGCTCGTTGTTGATGGCACGCATCAGGGTCGACTTGCCAGAGCCGTTGGGGCCGCAGAGGCCGTAGCGCTGGCCACGCTTGAGCCGGAGATGGGTCTGGTTGAGCAGGATCTTGGCACCGTAGGCAAGGGAGAAGGTGCAGTTGCAGAGGTCCTCGCCCTCCTCGTCGTCCTCCTCGCCATCGACCTCGTCGGCGGCGCCGGGGGAAGCACGCTTGCGGAAAGCCTCGACAACGCTCTGCGCCTCGGCATCGCCAACAACGACGATGATGTAGGGTTTGAGGGCTTCGGTCCAGATCATGCTCTCGGTAACCTTCTCGTCGATGAGCTGGCCACCAATAGCAGCGATGTGGGCAAGGACGGGCTCCATCTTCTGGGCGCTGGCGTACTTGGAGCCAAGAACAGCCTTGAGCTTCTCAAGGACAATGGGAACATGGCCAAAGTTGCTGGCCTCGGGAATGACGCCGTTCTGGACGTTGCCGACACGGGTGAGAGTGTCCAAGGCCTGGCGGGTCTTCTCGCGGGCCTCGGGATCAGCCAGGTTGTCGAAGTTCTTCTGCAGGGCGGGCATCATCTTGGGAAGGAAGGGAGCAACGATGTTGGGATCGTCGACGAGCTTGCACATGTTGTCGACAATGACGGCCGATTTACGCTTGATGGCAGTGTCACGCTCGGCGAGACCACGGTCAAGCAGGGGCACCATGAGGGCCAGAGTGGGCTCCGTCACTTCGGTGACGAAGGTAGTGGCACCGAGCAGGTGGACGGTCTCCGGGACGAACTCAGGCTTGGCAATGCACTTGATGACTTCGGGGATGAAGCGCTCAATATCCCTGTTGACGATGAGCTGGCAGAGCTGCTCCATTGTCTTGTAGGCACGCTCCTTGACTTCCTTCTTGGTGTCCCACATCGACTCGGAGATGACAGGAATGAGATCCGCAACGCGGAAAGCGGTCTGGGCAGGAGCAGTGCGAACAATGATGTCGATGATGTCGAGAGCAGCCATCTTCTCGGGCCACTTCTGAGCACTGGTGATGGAGTGCATGACGGGAGGAAGGATGGCCTTGACGGCATTGGGGTTGATAGCCTCGCCGATGGCCTGGGTAGCAGCCGTGGCAGCAGTCTTCACGGCGGTGATCTTGTCGCCGACCGCGGCGAGGACGATGGGGAGGAGCTCAATGAGGTAGGGCTCAACGTGCGCGGAGACTTCGGAATGTTGAGCAATGGCAGCGACGGCCAGAGCTGCCTTCTCACGGGCACCGGCATCCTTCTTGTTTGCAAACTGCTTCTTGATGGCATCGATGGTCCTGCGAGTAATTAGGTCAGCTACAATTTTTCCTCGGAAGTCCGGAGTGGATGCAAAATCGGCGGCTTTGGGCCGATATGGGGCTCCTTGTGGATACGCTAACCCTCTGGTTGGGCGCCAAGAAGCATGTGTACTGAAAAGGTGGCGGAGGGAGTGCCGAAAAAAAATTGCCCGTGGCAACTATCGGGGGGAGGGACCAAAAAAAAACTCACTTAGTGGGGACATCCTGGTCCTCGATGCGACCGTTGATGAAAGAAGCGAGGGCGGTAGAGGCTTCCTTGGTCTCAGCGGCGTCCTTGGAAATGGTGAGCTTCTTCATGAGCTCGTCAAGAATCTTGACGGACTGCGCGTTCTCGGCCATGTTGACGGTTGGGGTGGGTGAGGATAAAGGGGTTTCGGGTTTCTGGTGTATTGTGAAGTTTGATCTTCGGTTTCCTGCTGCCGATGGATAGTTGTTCCGGCGACTGAAGAAAGCGCTGGAGCGTCCCGATTCTATGCTCTATCGCAATGAAAGGACGAAGAGAAGGTGGGAAGGTGAGGCCCGCAGAAGAACGATGGAGGAGTCGTTTTCTGCTCTATCGCGGCACTCGAAAATTGGCTGAACCACCACACGAAGGAGATGGATCAAAGACCAAGAAAAGGAGAGCGGAGATACGTCTGGAGGAAGACGAATAACCGACAGGAAAAGGAATGGAGAAGAGAGTTTAGAGGGAGGGGAGAGAGTTGGAAGAGGGAAAGAAGAGGACGAGGAAAGGGCGGCATGGCAGGATTTTTATCTGGACTTTCTTATCGGTGGCCAAAACCCCTCCCCCTCAACTTTTTTTTTTTTGCCCTCCTCCATGGTTTAAGTGGGGCCCTGTACTATAGCAAGGTACGTAGGCGACACTAGCGTTGCGGCAAGGGTCAGGGCAAGGTTTGAGCCCCACCACGAAAAAAAAAATCAGCGCCGATGTCCCCACTCCTATTCGTCGGAGGAATTGTGTACCTCAAGCCATGGCCCGTGCCATTTCCTCCGTTCAGATTCACACTTTTCGATTTTGCCCCTTCGTTTCGTGTCCAGACACCCTTTCTGCACCCTGAGAATCCTACCCTCGCACACCGCCTTCCTGCAGGGAGCGACGCTTGGTATCAAGCGGAATGGAGGGTAGCCTCAGATGCGACGACCTCACGAACTTTCAAAACACTGCCCAGCAGTTTTGTCTGTTCTTTTCTGTTTTTCCCGGCGCCACCCCCACAACGTTAATTCTATTCCCATCTTCTTTCGCGACGAGAGATCTCTCTCTATGCAAACAGACCCCTGGCATTCTATTACTCCGGGGCCCCGTGGGAACACTCACCTACCCCATCAGTAATGCACCTACTTCGTACTGTAGCTATTCGTCCTGCCTGGTGGCACCTATCGGTAGTGTGGCAGACACGAAGGATCCCAACCCGAGGTTCAGTACCCTGCTACTGGCTCCCGGCTCTGTTAGTGGATGATGGCGTTGCGGCCTGAGAAATATTCACGTAAATGGCATGTGTACATATGTATGCGAATGCCGTATTGTAAAGCCATTGTGGGTGATGGACCTCGGAGAAGGTTCAACCTTCCGTGATGCCTATTAGAGCAACCGATACACCAGTCAAGTCGCATACGGTAAACAATGTTGGGGCCTACCTAGGGAATGCTAAATAGGATGAAGCAAAAGCCAGGCGTTGTTGATAGCAAAGGTAACAGGAAAATAGGACCAACCGAATAACTAGGTAGAAACTCCAGGGCGTGTTGCCGGTAATGTATGAAACGGATGTCGAGACTGGTTTCCAAGGGCCAAAAAAATTCCTGAGACAAAAATTGTCCCCGGTGAGGATCGAACTCACGACCTTCAGATATCCAAATCTTATGATTCAGTCATATGAAAATATGAGACTGACGCGCCACCGATTGCGCCACGGAGACTTTGCTTGTTGTGGAAAGCTAATTTTGTAAAGGCTAAATAGGTAGACCGAGTCTCCATATCATCCGATTCTCGTCCACCAAGCAAAACTTAACCCAGCAGATCTCGTAAACCTACGTAAACTCTAACAGGGAGCTTTATAGTATAGCCAAATATGCTGATATTTCAGTAATTATATCCTGCTAAATCGACGTCTAATGCTGTGTACGTTGTACGAAGATGCAAAGTCAGGGGCTGTCTTTGTACAGAGTACCTCTGTTACTTTCTAATAATAGTATCCTTAACTCTGTAAAAACCGTGGCTGACCAGCCATTGAAAGTCAGGTCTTAGGTACAGAGTACGAAGTAATATGTGATGCTCCAGGAGTACCTAAGGTATAGCGTAAGTGGTTTATTTTCGGCAGGTAGATGTACAGATACGGAGTTTACCAGTGGCGCATCAATCCCCGAGAGCAATGCACGACACCAAGCCACAGTCCCCAGGCCTTGCATGCAGCTCGGCAGGCGGTGAGTGACTCGAAACCGTTAACCTAGAGCCTACCTTACGAACCCACGAGGGACGGATAACAACTGACCAAGCCAGGATCGCATGTCGGAATAATAGGTAATGATAAGTACGGATACGGAGGGACATGTGGCATTGAAATCTGACAAGCTGGAAGGGGATCTAAATCCAACTATTGTCTCAAAATGGCACACAGAGAGAAAGGTCGTGGCGAGACGACACTGTACAGCAACCCACGGAGAATGGGGGGGATGCGAAGAAATGGTGTTCTTCTAGCGGACTCTTAATGGTCCCAGTCCCGTGGCCTTACTAACGGACCGGCCGATGGTTCGAACTCGAGTCAGCGTTCGAGACTTATACGAGGCTTTTATTTACCCTTCTCCCAATGCCTCCCAATTGCCATTCGTTCCTCAGCCTTGTATATATCCCGTGAGCGTGGAGCGGTTGGAACATGGTGGGGAGGGCATCGGCCATTCCAAAGGCAACCGCTCGTCCACGTTGCGGCCGGTGGTTTTTCTTAGTGGCCGCCGATCACCTATCTGCTGTGGTCAGTCTACTCGACTCACAAGGTGTGCATTGGTATTGTCCACCTTACATGATCGATGCAAAGCTTCTTTCAAGCTTCTGTTTTCAGGCTCACTGTTGATATAAAAGTGGATTGCTCCGATCTCCCCACCCTGTTCTGTGTGTGGCGGGTCATAGAGTTTCGTGCGGGAAACGAACTCTCGTTAGGTACGGAGTAAGTGGTGATGATTACTAATGACTGCTAAAATTGTGAAGTCGGATCAGCTTTGTGGGGCCGTCTTAAGTCATGTGAAGGTACCTTAACAGAGTAAGAGATACATAGATACTTAATTACATCTCGATTGCACTGGTGTATCACCACCTTCGCCGGTTCTCCTGCTTGCCTTCGCACATGCAGCCATCATTCTTCCTATGTCCGGCGTAAAGAGTCATCGGCGTATACGTCACACTGTTGTGCAAATACCTTACTCCAAGTATCGGTACCTCACGAACCCCGACGGCGAGCTGACCTAGTTGACTACCTAAGAGGAAAGGCGGACGAGAGCCACCACCCACCACCCACTCCCGGTCGGCTGGTTTCCATGTCGTGACATTATGCTGATAGGGCCCTCAATATCATCCAGATTTGTGTATTGAGCCTCATTTCCCGTCGCATCGTCGGACGAGATGGCCCGCGAGAGTCGAGACCTTAGACCTTCCGAAAGCCTTCACTCGATCAGCTGCCCTGACCTCGTCGAAAACAAACCGCCGCAAGCCGAACTGGCCTGCTACCTAGTTCATGATCTTGCTTCAGCTCAACCGATTCAATCCGTCTCCTGATGGAGGATGCCAAGATGTGCGTGGCCTTGCCGATGGCAAAGCCCGTCACCGCCTCGACCGGCAGCCTGGCCTCCCAGCCCGCGTGGTGACTTGCCACGACATGGCCAATATAGCTGCACTCTAGAGTGACCCCCATCTCACAAGAACGGGGCGATGCGAATGCCGGATGCCTCCTGTGGCAATTGGACATCCCTAGTTGGTTGTCACAAAGTTGCCTATTTGCATGAGCATTTGGAACGGCATAGGATTGCCATTGCTATGTCCTCGACGCTTTGCACCACGTCTTTCGAACGACGCGAGGTTTCCCTCCTGGGCTGATACGCATTGAGCCCTTGCAAAAACCCCTTTCAACGCGGTGTGCCAAGTGGCTTCACCATGTCATCCCTTGGTTGGGACTGATCCCACAAGCGGCGACAAGTTTCCAGCGAGCGAGTAAATACGACGCAGTATTCGAAGGACGGCGATCACATCGCATTGTGAAGACCGACAGTTCCCTTCTCATATGATTGAGTGTTCCGATGGCTCGTTTCCGACACCAAAGTTTCCGGATCCGGGATCCCTTTCTCCTCTTTGTTGGAAGCATTCCATTAAGGCGTTGATCAATGAGACTCGTTCTTTGTCCCATCAACCAATATGGCCTTGGCCTTTTGCTACCCCAAAATAGGTTCTTTTCTTTCTTTCTTTTCCTGGCCCTCTCGTTTCTCAATTGAGCCTCGCAGTAACGGAACCATCTCTGGAGTGCGCAGCAGAGGTCAGAGGCAGGGATTCAACTCTCGGCAGGGATGCTTCAGTTGAAACCACCCGGGTCAACTACAACGTTTCCTTTCAGCCATGTCTCTTTTTGACAAAGTCCTGTTGCGCTTCGTAGCGCGTGGCTGCAGTGCTTCGTACCATCTCTACATCCTGCGTCGATTCTCTTTGGCAAAGTCGGGCTCAAAACCACTGGTCATCCGCTTAGTGCTCCTCGCTTTGTGCGCCTTTGCCCACCCTATGTCTTCTTCCGGATACCATATAACTGTGTCAGATCACCCATAGCACATCACCTACTGATGATTGGTAGTATTCTCCGCTCCATCCCCGTACAAAATTTGCGAATCCAATCTCGCGACGACTCTCATCTCACACTAGCACATCACAAGACTGCCCATCGAGGAGATGGAGCTCGACTATGACTGGTGGCGGAATAACACGGAGGAGTGCCCCCCGGCCTCGGAGCAACAAACACAGGACAAGGACGTCTTGTCCCACCAACCTTCCGCCCACGCCGGGTTCGAGAACGACGAGGGCACCTATTTCAAGTTTCGGAAGGAGTTTGCTTGCGACAGGCTCGACTTGGACAACATTGACCCGCCCATCAAAAAGAAAAAGAAGTTTCCCGAATGGCGATACATTCAGTACATACCGGAGTGGACAGATCCGGCTTGGCAAGATCCGAGCTTGTATGAAAGCGCCTTGATAAATCAGAAGAAACACGGAGAGGCGGGGGAGAAGAAGAGCGCGAAGGATGGGGACAAAGATGAGGACAAGGATAAGGACAAGGATGAGGGCAAGGAGAAGGGCAAGGAGAAGGAGAAGGGGGAGAAGAAGGGCGACGAAGGGGGGAAGAAAGGAGAGGGTCGGCCTATACGCCACATCGATATATTGCGCGCCATCAGACCGGCTCAACTCGCGAAAGATGCCGCACGCAACCCGACCCCGTTCGCCAGACGATTTGGCATTCACCCTGAAAGAACGGATGGACGGTCTCAACTATCACCGACGAGCGATGTTAGGAGACAGCTTCCCCTCCCCGAGGGCTCAAACCGGCCGCCTATGTTTGTGAAAGCGACGGCCGCCCTGGAGCAGCTCAAGGCCTTGGCCCGAGAGCACGGCCGAGATCCAGAGGAGCTCCTACAGGAACTCACCGAGCCTGCTACCTTTGCCAGGCTAGGGAAAAACGACCAATTCATGGTTCAGTTTCTCCAAGGGATCTACGATGATTATGACTGGCAGTCGATTATATTCGGCACCTTGACGACTGATGAAGTACGTAGGATTCTTCTGCAGCGCACAGTCACCCGAGCACCCACCCAGGATCCCATCACCACTGCTTGCTAACCACCGAGATAGATGATGCGCGACGGCATCTTCACCATTGACAACCAATTCCCGGGGCCGAATATTGATGTGCCTCTACACAAGTGGGTTTTGCAATCTCAAGTCTTTCATTTCACGGATCATCATGGATCATCGTGTCCCCACGTTGGTTGAACGAGCCAAGTTGATTAACTTGGGTCCCCAGACTGGTCCAGCGGCAGCGATGGCAACGTCTTGTCGCGCCTGGCATGTCCATGCCTTACCCACAGTACATGTACAATATCGGGGGCCGAAAAGGTGTAATAGATCCGGGAGTATGTTCACCACGGCGCCGGCAGGCATCTTTTCTTTGGCTTTCGTGTGCGATCTGACATGGCGACAGACCGACGATTTTGTATGGGAACGCTTACAACCGGCCCTGAGACTGGTGACCAAGATTCTGAACGAATGTCTCGCGAGCAACAACCAATGGCGTGCTTTTATGAACGTGTTCTGTCGGGAACGGATTAACATGGAGCGAGATACTCGTCCCTACGGACAGATCATGAAGCGCCCGGCATGGAGCTTCAGCACGAATAAAATAGACCCAGACAACCTACCGGGCTTCACCGAAGAGGTCGCCCCTTATATCGATGCAATGTGGGAAACTTGGATCACCATGCACCGGTCCTTGATCATTATGGTCAAGAGCGCATTTCACAAGGAGGGATACGCCCAACAACCACGTACAACGGATCATATCGCGGGTCTCATGTCGTTCAGACCGGAATATCCACCCCGCACTCTCAACATGAGCATAAGTGCCGATATCATATATCCCTTACTTGCCAAGGGCTACAGCGTGAGCGAGCAGGTCGATTGTCAATTCAGATTCGTCAACGTATTCCTTCATGAACTCGCGGTTAGTCTTTGTTCTTGCAAGCTCTTCTCCCCCCCCCCCCCCCTCGGGGAACTTCCACTGACTTGCTTGCCCACTGGCGGGGGATGAAATTCACACAGCATTCGGTGACTTTTTCGCATATGATGTGGACTCTCTGCCCAGGTCCCAGAAGCCACGGGCCGTTCAAGGCCAGACAGCCTTTCAAAGAGGACACAATGGACAATTTGGAGCGGTTTGGGAAAGCTATGTGGGGAGAGGGGGAGCCGTTTGCTGAGCCCTATACAGAGGCATTTGGCGACGACCTTCCCGTAACCGAGGCCGGGTCTTGGATGGAGAGAATGGTGAGTGGGATTCAAGCTGATTTAGGCGTCGCCCTATCATTTTCTTTGTTTGGTGATTCCAGCGGGCAACAAATTAACAATAACTGACGTGGCACCTTCAACTTGTTTCCAGCTCTTTGGCGGATCCAGTTGGACCACTTCCAGCCTTGGCCATTCTACCCGGTTTCTGAAGCAAGTCCCATGCGGTGTAGTTCTCTATCACTATCCGTACGGATATCACTATTACGCGGCGTGGTCAGCACTGGTGGAAAAAGACGCCAGGAAAAATGTTCTCGCCAGCCCGCCTTTGTCGATGGACCAATATAACACGACCGTACGGTCGTCTCAGCTGCAAGCCTTCTTCAATCAGAAACTTCTGGACCGCAGAAGTTGCCAGATATGGCTTCTCGGCCCTTCTCCTTCGCACCGCGCGCAACGCCAAGGTCTACCCCAGGGACATCAGTGCGTCTGCGGCGCACATCATTGTGCAACGTGGAGTATACAGATTGCCCCTCCACGAATGGTCCAATGTCTTGGATCGGACCCCGACTGTCAAGATATTTGTGGCGATGCTCGTGGCGGAGATTGTGGAGGCGTCTGTGATGATCGAGAGATGGCGCCACGACGTGGGCACGATTTCTTCCCGGGACAAGGCCTTCGAGGCCCTGCTTATCGAGACTCGCATGTATGCTCTAGAGCTGAGAACGATCCATCTGGACGCCGAAAACTCCCAGCTATCTCCCGAGGCACGCGACACATGGCGCAGCGAACAGTACCACAACTTTGTGGACGCAGCGGCGAGGTGGGAATGGAAGGCCGACCAGGATTTGGAGGGGATCCTAGTACGCTGGTCTCTCATCTTGGAGTATTTGGACGGCCGTTTTATGGAGTTTTGGCGGGCCATCCAGCGCCACGCCAAGTCTACCCCGGCACATCTCGACTATCGGTTGCGCAAGGCCCAGACCAACTTGATGAGAGAAGTGGCTATTTACCAGACGTACGCGAGCGAACAGTGGCGGATGAACGACAACATCCGAGATGAACTCAATCTCGACTCTCTCGACGATATCAACGATCACATCCAGAAATGGCTGACGAAGCTCGAGAAGCACTGCGATGAATTCCGCAAGATCAGCTCTTTGCCCCATGTGCAAACGGCGGTCACGCCCATGACGCACGAGTTCGCCCACGCCCTTGAGAAGATCCGGTGCGTGAAGGAATGGACGGCCGACATTCACGATCTTCCTCTGCCTAAGGATTGGGGCGAGATCTTATCCCTAGTGCCCAACGTGGGGCAGTCGAGGAGACCGGCATCGATGCGCTGGCTTCGTACGGCCCAGAAGGAGATCAAACTGCTCACCAGAGAGCAAATCGAGAACGTCGACAAGATACTCCAGACGTTGCGTATGAGATCCGACCTGGTTCCCACGCTGGCGCTCATCGACTCTAAGATGACGGATCCTCTCGAAGCCATCGAGCAGCTCGCCCAACACTGGTCGTCGTCCGAGTACACTTTCTTGGATAAGCAGGAGCCGTTTCCCTCGAATTTCATCATTCCCAACCCTAATGCCTCGACTTCGGAGCCCCAGGGTTCAGATCCTCAGGGGTCAGGCCCACCTCCTGTTCCGCCTCCTCCGAGTTTGCCTGCTCCAGGGACACCGACATCTGCCCCGAGTCAATTGCCTTCGAGCACCTCTTCGCCAGACTCACCTTCTCCGGATGCTGCTGCTGAGAACCCATCGGCTCCAAGCACCACTGTCCCGAATCCCACTGCCCAGAATCCCACAGCTCCAGACCCCGCTGCTGAGAATACGTCTCCTCCAGACAGTCTCCATCTGCCTGCAGGGCAAAAGAAATTCTTCAAACTAAAGGCCCACGTTGAGAAGCTTCCAGGTCTCAATCACCCAACACTGCCGCACGCGCAGCCCTTCTCCTTCGGCCCTACAGCCCCGGAACATCCCCAGCCGACGTACCCCCAACTCCCAAGCGGCATTACCGGTAAATGGTCAGGCCCCCCGAGCCAACCGGTCCCCATTCCGCCTACGGTGAAGAGTCCCTGGCTAGAGTACGGGTCCAACATTCCCGCAATGCGGGGGTTCTTCCCTCATCCGTATGCCCTCAGCGCCAGCGTGACCGAAGATCTTGCGAACCAGGTCGCGCTGGTTGTGTATGGTGGTCAGGATTCGTGGAAAGCGTATGAGGATGACCCGGCGTTCCATACACTGCAGGGTGGTCAAGACGACGCGAGCATTTCGAGTAGCACTTTGAGTTTGGATTCGGACAGCGACTCGGATGACGGCGAGGATGACGGCGAGGATGACGGCGAGGATAACAGCTCCGACTCCGACTCCGACGCCGACTCAGACCAGGACGAGGACGAGGATGATGGAGGAGATGAAGGGGCTACCACTGGTGAAGGGTCAGGTGAGAACCAAGGGGGAAAGAAGCCCGATGACGATGACGACGGAGGAGACGGAGGGGCTCCCACTGGCGAGGGCTCAGGTGAGAATCAAGGGGGGGAGAAACGAAAGCGCGATGACGATGACGACCAAGATCCGGCCGGGGGGGAGAAGCAAAAAGAAGACAACCCCAGCAGCAAGAAACAGAAGCTTGACAAAGATGACGAGCCGGCGGGGGAGAAGAAGCAAGACGCCAGCCCCAGCAAGAAACGGAAGCGTGATGATGATGATGGTGACAACTTGCCGGCTGGCAAAAAGAAGAAAACCACCGGCATGGATCTGATCTTAGATGCAGGTTGGCCTTTCAAGTGGTCACTAAAGAACGAGAAAAGCTAGCGTGCCTGTGATCGGAACAGAAAACAACATTGAAGAAAAGAACAGAATAGAGAAAGGAAGGGAGGAGTTTGGGGGCAGAGGTTCTCAGCTTGGGCGTTTTGCATACTACTCTTTGTTGTTTCCCTCGTGGATACAACGCATCAGAGGCGGGATTTGGCCCCTGTAGTTGTCCCCATTTCTACGTTGGGCTTCCACTGTGTGGCTAGTCGAAGTGGATGGTTGGGTTCGGTGGAGGCTGGAATTGCTTGCGAGATGCATCGGAGGGAAACTTTTTGGATGTGAGGAGATACCTGCAAATGTAGGGAGCAACGGACTTGTGAGTCTGCCCGGGCCATTCCACCGAAGGTTTATAAGGTAGTTGAGAGCGCTGGCCGGCACTTGAAAATACAAGGCCAAGTTGCCCCTGCGCCCCTGCGCCCCTGAGCCCCTGAGCCCCTGAATTTCTGGATGCGTAATCTCTCAACCTAAATCCCCGCAACCATTGAGATCAATGATTGACTGTCCATGGTCGGCACGAGGACAGGAGCCAAAACTCAATATTGTGGCATGCGGCACTTGAGGTCTCGTCAGAAATTAGGTCCTCCTCTGCTCAAACTAGATGCATTCTAGATGCTTATGTCATGGGGTTAACCTTTCCCATGTGGACTAAAACGCGATGCGAGGCCCTAGTAGTCCGGCCCGTATACCGCCAACGCCATGCTAAAAAAAAAAAAAAAATCAAACTCGTGCCTACTCATGGTATTGAAGACTCGGAGGGTTCGCTCTTGGGCACACTGGGTAGCTCGGCAGCAACTGCCTTTGCCTGTTCGGTCTCCTTCTTCTCTTCCGCCTTGGTCGTCTCGTCAGGTCCGGCAGCAGCCTCGGCAGGCGGAAAGTATTTCCTATTACCAACAAAAGTCAATACGACAGTCAATACGACAGCAGCCTACTCCAGCAGATGTCCCCATAGAAGGGAAAGTGTTGGGGCAGAAAAGACCCACGGTAAAGTCTTGTTGTAAGCCTTCACATCCTTCACCTCAAAAGTGCAGAACACAATCCTGTCCATCTTATCCCCGTCAGGACCGTCCAGGAACTTCCTCGCCGCAGCAACGGCCACAGGCGCCGCTTCGTCGCTAGGGTACCCGTAGACGCCGGTGCTGATGGCACTGAACGCAATGGTCCGGCACCCGTTGTCGACGGCGAGCTCGAGGCTCTTCGTGTAGCAGCCCTCCAGGGCGGCGCGGGCGCGTTCGGGGGACAGGGTGTCGTAGACGGGGCCGACGGCGTGGATGACGCGGTCGCAGGGGAGGTCGTAGGCGGAGGTGATCTTGGCGGAACCGGTGGTGCAGCGGCCCAGGGTGCGGCATTCGGCGAGGAGGCCGGGGCCGGCGGCGCGGTGGATGGCGCCGTCCACGCCGCCGCCGCCCAGGAGGGAGTTGTTGGCGGCGTTGACGATGGCGCCGACGCGGAGGTGGGTGATGTCGGCGCGGATGAGGCCGACGCGGTCGTTGTGGGAGGCGTTCGGGGCGTGGAAGGGCTTTGTCGTGGGAGCTGTGAGCTGGCCCAGTTTGTAGAGGAGGCTGAGGGAAGGGATTTCGGAGAGGCAGATGGCTCCCATTCTGGCGGCGCGGGGGAGGCCCGGGAGGGTCATTCAAGGAGAAGGGGGTCGCGATGGGGGGGCTTTTGAAGTGCGAGGTGCAATCTTGTGAAGGATTACGAGAATGGAAGAGACAAAGACGGGACAGTCGATAAATGAGAGGTTGGTAACGGTGGAATGGAGGGAGTTGCTGAGGAGAGTTGGAGGCTGGAGCACATTTCTAAGAAATGGCATTGACCGTTGACGAACTTGGACGGTCTGACGAAATGAACCCGTAACGGGGCGGTGGTCCGGTCAGCCACGATGTGGCGCAGTTGGCAGGTACGGTACTGTGGCTTGATTCTTGACACTCAACGGAGCTTCACGGAGAGGAGGAGCTACGGAGCCAAAGGTGGCCCAAGCTCCTCCCTGAAAATGCCAAGGTACTCGAGTGACTCAGCCTGCCCCGCCATGTACCTAGTACCTTATCTTTACCTCGCCCCGTTGTGACCCCTCCATTTCCTCATCTCTCAACGGTGCAAACAAAAGTCAATTGCGCTCGCCAGTTCTGCCCCTATCCGCCTCTTCATCCGCCTACCGAACCCGTATATTTCCACTTCAAGAGACCAACGAACAAAACACCCTCTCAACATAGCCCAGCCAGTCCACGTACATCATATGATGGCTGACATGGGAGCTGTGGCCGAGCAGACGGCCAAGCTCCATCTCGACGAGGAGACGGGAGAGCTGGTCAGCAAAGGCGAGCTGAAGAAGCGCCAGGCCAAACGCGCCAAAAAAGCGGCCACCGCGAAGGCAAAGGAGGCAAAGGCTGCCGTCGCTGCGGCCGTGGGGGGGAACGACAAGAAGCCGGCTCCCAAGCCAAAGGAAGAGGAGGTGGTCATCGACTCCGAGGCCATGTTCAAGCAGGGATTCCTCGACGACGTTTTCAAGGAGCGCCCCATGAAGCCCGTTGTCACTCGGTTCCCGCCCGAGCCCAACGGTTTCCTCCATATTGGCCACGCCAAGGCGATCGCTGTCAACTTTGGCTTTGCGAAATACCACGGTGGTGTCTGGTGCGGATACCCGATCTCTAACTCCCCTAATTTCCCTCTTCACTAACACGGCTCTTCCGTATTAGCTACCTTCGATACGATGACACGAATCCCGAGAAAGAGGAGGAGAAGTACTTCACGGCCATCCAGGACATGGTGCACTGGTTGGGCTTCACCCCGTACAAGATCACCCACTCCAGTGACAACTTCCAGAAGCTGTACGACCTGGCCGAGAAGCTGATCACCTTGGAGAAGGCCTACGTCTGCCATTGCGATGGTCAGTCTCCCACGTTTCTTCTTCTTTTTCTCTCCCCTTCCCGGAATGAATGACGTGATGGCTAAGTCCCCATCGCACCGCAGACACCGAAATCAAGCTCCAGCGAGGTGGTGAAAAGGGCGCGACACCACGATACCGCTGCGAACACGCCAGCCAAACAGTCGAGGCGAACTTGAAAAAGTTCAGGGACATGCGGGACGGGGTGTACAAGCCCAGGGAGGCGTTCCTGCGCATGAAGATGGACATGGAAGACGGGAACCCCCAGATGTGGGACCTGGCCGCGTACCGGATCAAGTCGGACACGCCACACCATCGGACCGGCTGGGATTGGAAGATCTATCCCACCTACGACTTCACCCACGGCCTCTGCGACTCGTTCGAGAAGATTACCCACAGCCTCTGCACCACCGAGTTCATCAACTCGCGTCAGTCTTACGAGTGGCTCAACAAGGTGTTGGGCGTTTACGAACCCATGCAGCGGGAGTACGGTCGCTTGTAAGTTTCTCTCGGGTCTCGTCTCTTCCTCCATGCCGCTGACCGCTTCGGAAAGGAACATTACTGGTACCGTGCTCTCCAAGCGTAAGATTCAGAAGCTGGTCGACGACGGCCACGTCCGCGACTGGGACGATCCGCGGTTGTTCACACTTGTGTCTCTGAGGAGGAGAGGTGTACCGCCTCAGGCCATTCTCGACTTTATTTCTGAACTGGGCGTGGTAGGTCACAGATGTTCCTGTCGCCCCTTGCTGTTGATTTTGGGTGAGAAAAGGGCAAAAAGAAGGGGGAAAAAACACGAAAGACAAAGGCTAACTGCTCGTAAGACGCCCTCGACGACGACGATCCAGATCAAGCGATTTGAACAGAGCATCCGGAAATACCTTGAGCGCACCGTCCCCCGCCTGATGATGGTCCTGGACCCCATTCCCGTGACGATAGAAGACGCGACCGAGACCCTCGACCTCGAGCTCCCCTTCTCCCCCAAGGATCCCGCCATGGGCTCTCACACGGTCAAGTTCACGCCGACGGTCTACATCGACCGGTCCGACTTCCGCGAGGTCGACAGCAAGGACTATTTCCGGCTCGCGCCCGGCAAGACGGTGGGGCTGATGAACGCGCCGTACCCCATCAAGGCGACGTCGTTCGGCAAGGACGAAGCGACGGGCAAGGTCACCGAGGTGCGGGCCGTGTTCGACAAGGAAGGGAAGAAGCCCAAGGCGTTCATCACGTGGGTGGGCACGGAGGGCTCCCAGCGGGTCGAGGCGCGGGTGCACAACTCGCTGTTCAAGAGCGAACGGCCGGACGACGCCGAGGGCGGGTTCCTCAACGATATTCACCCGGAGAGCGAGGTCGTCTATCCGGATGCGGTTATCGAGAGCGGCATCGACGAGGTGAAACGACGGGCGCCGTGGCCTGAGGCTGCTGGCGAGAGCGAACGGGGCAAGAGCGGACCCGAGGGTGTGCGGTTCCAGGCCATGCGCCTTGCGTACTTTGTAAGTTTCCTGTGGTGTCCGTTTATTGATGAGTTGTCATTACTGGGGGTGGAAACTAACAAGAGTGCAAACTAGGCCATGGATTCGGACTCGAAGGACGACAAGATTGTTCTCAACAAGATTGTTTCCTTGAAGGAGGATGCTGGGAAGAATTAAGGGCCGGTATAGAGGGCTCAGAGTCTAGAGTTCCCATGGGCATTAAGAGATATCTGTACATGAGCATGAAGATGGTACGAGAGAAGAAGACGATGATGATGCAAGATGATAGCGATGATGGGGGGAGGGAGTAAGGGAGTCGGTATGCAGGTCTGGGAAAATAAACAAATATTCATTCCTCTTGGTTGAGGTGGTTGAAAGGGCATATTCACACTTTCAGGCTGCACGCATAACTGGGCAGAGCTCACGACTTACAAGAAGACGGCACAAAGTGAACACCTCGGCTTTTATACACTCAATGACATGAATACAAACGGAGAGCCCGTGTGATACTGTCTTTGTATCCCTAGGGGCAAGGAGGAATTATACTGTACCTTATCTTTCTCCCTCCATTCCCATATGCTGGTACATTCAATACTCAACGTGACGAGTCGTTCAGGGGAAGGATTCCGCGGGATTCCGCCACATACCTGCTGGGCAAGGCCGCAAGGGCAAGCAAGGGCAACTCTGTCCGCAGAGGCAATAACTAGAGCGCGGTAAACACTTTCTTCCTCTTATCCTTGCAGTCTTTTTCTGTTAGAGTGGCTTCCTCCGAGTCTTCTCTCCGAGAAGAAGCCAAGAAAGCCAAACAAACCTCGAGGCAGGTCAAGATGCGCGTCTTCCAGGGCTTCAGTCTCTTCGGGGTCCCCTGGGTGCAGTGGTTGGCCACGATGGGCCCGAGCATGGGACCTCAGCTCGCCCACGACCCGGTGCCGACTCGCCCGAACCCCTTTCCGACCAGGCTTTTAATCCGGCCGAGGTGGCTTCGTTTGACAGGCAAGCCGTTCTCGATGGCCTCGAGCCCGTTCCCACCAAGGGTCTGCCTTGGTTCGGGATGCTCTCCTTTTTTGCGAGCCCGCCCAGGATTCCGAGACTGTAGACCATCCTCTTGTGAAGAAGGATAATGAGCTCGCCTGTCCTACGTATACCGGTAGGGTTTTTTCTTCTTTTGTTTTCTTCTTTTTCTTCTTCTTTTTTTTCTTCTTTTTTTTCTTCTTTTTTTTCTTCTTTTTTTTCTTCTTTTTTTTTCTTCTTTTTTTTTTCTTCTTTTTCTTCTTCTTTTTCTTCTTCTTTTTTTTTCTTCTTCTTTTTTTTCCATTATTCTCTTCTTAAAAACAACCAAGCTGACTGTCCTACCTAGTCAATTGCAACCCCCTCCACGACCACTGCTGCCCCCTGACCACAACCTGCTGCAACAACGGCTGCTGCCCCCGCGGCCACTCCATCTGCGAAAAGGGCGGCTTCTGCCCAAAGGGCCACCAATGCGTCCAAGGCAGCCACTGCTGCCCCCGGGGCACGACCTACTGCGGAGGCGCCTGCGTCACGGGCGCCTGCTGCAGCGCCGACTTCTTCTGCCGCGGGCCCGGCGAGACGTGCTGCGGCGGACCGGCCCACTACGTCCCCGAGCCGAACTGGCGCTACGGCCCCTGGCGCACGGAGTACGGCGTCTGTTTCGGACGCGATCAGGTCAACTCGCCTCTCGTCAGGACGGGCGGGTGGCGCTGCTGCAGTGGGAGCCAGGTCTGCGGGGAGGGGAACGAGTGTCGTTGGAGCCCCAGGAGGTTTTTTGCGTCCGCGTTGGGAGACGGCGCCCTTTGACGGAGGAAGAGATTGGCTGGGCTGGGGGTTGTGCTTGTCTTGCTTCTGTAGAGCCGTCTTCACTTTTCGCCTTTAATGTCTGAAACCTGGGGACTTTGCTGGGAGTTGCGACTGAAGACTGGATCCCGGGATCAGCTTCCCACCCTGGCTTGTCCATTCGGTACTGTGGGAGAGAGAAAAAGAAAAAAAAAAAACCCCCACCCAAACTCAATCATCTGCGAGTTGTAACTTACAAGTCGTTGGAACTTGGAACTCGTGGCTTGTCCCCTACACGTACACCTATAAATTGTGCTGTAGTTATTACTAAGCACTTTTTACGGTCTTGATGACGTCACAAGCTGTGTGACCTTATACTTATCTTATCGCCTCGACTTGGATGTCATCATGTCACTTCATCTGGGCAACGACACTGAAATTCCTTCTTAACGAGTTAACCTAACGGATATCACGCAAAATTCAAATAGTACCTTATTTACGACGTGTTATTAAGGTAATTGGTCTTCTCGGCTCATCAGGTTATGCAGAAAAGGCAGAAAATGTCTATACGTCCATCATAGTCCATTCCCAGCTCATTCTCCAACACGTCTCAAGACTTACACTCATCATACTCTCTCCACTCCACCAACACAGACACCGATAATCTCTCTTATTATCTTTCAGATGAAGCGCCTGGCATTGAGAAGAGCAACAGTCACCAATGGCCTCCGGGCGACGAACCCCCGTCCATGGGGCTTCCACGCAGCGCCACTTACGGCTCAAGCTTCCACCCGCATGGCACACGACGGCCAGGGGGAAAGCTCCCGGGATCACCAAGCTACGAAGCAGGGCCAAACTCACCCGCCGAAAGCGGAATCACAAAGCAAAGGGAAAGGGAAAACCATGGCAGAGCTGGACGAGGAGCTAAAGGCCAAATTGGAAGGACTGGCGGGTGAAGGGGGTGCGGCCGGGGTGGAATACGAGAATGGGAAAGCTGAAGGGCTCAGAAGGGGTGTCAAGTCGAATATGTTTCGAGTGATTTAGTATGCGATGATGGAATGGAAGAATAGGCGAAGTGGCTCTACGTGACTGGGGGAGATGATTGCTTCGGTCTCAGGGGTTCAGGGGTTCAGGGGTTCAGGGGCTCGGCTGCCAGACTTGATTTAAATGGTACTGGCAATTCCCACTCCAGTAAAGTTCTCATTGTATAGTTTCCTGGGGAAGAATGGCATATATTGGTACAATGAAACGAGTGTCAAAGAAAGGTGCTAGCCTCTAAGACAGGCTTCAAGGTCGCATTGCTGTCGTGAGTCCAGTCGTATTTCATCCACCCAAGTCTTTGATATTATCATACTTCGCGCCTTGGGGGTATGTTTGTGGTGGAAAATAAAATTGATTTTTTATTATATAAATCTGTAAATATATACACTATAAGAGCGTCAGGAACAGGGACAAAGGGTTGTGTGGCGATATTTAGGGTCATCCATGGGCCCATGGCTAAGCAGCATGGGTTATGATATCAGAATTACAGCAATGGACAATCTGCCACGCAACACCTAGTAACAGGTAAGAAACATCAGGCCATTTCATAATACCCAACAAGAGTATCACAAGACCATCATCTTCATTGCTTATCATGGGTTTACACCTTCCTCATCTTTCAGTTCCTGCTGCCACCTTACACTTATTCCGGACACCAAGAAGACTCCGCAACATCTCGAGCCAGATAACGACACTTGATCGAATCGAAAACCATCGACCACACTCGCAGCGCGGCATCTTGTCCAAAATGACATCGTCAAGGTCCCGCCGGGGCAACCCAAAGGCAGAACAGGACGAATCCGCCGCCGAACTCCTCCGAACCCACGTGACCCCGTTCCCCTCCGCCACCGAAACCGAAGCCGCCTTCTCCCGCGTTTTCGACAGCTTCGGGGACTGCAAGGTGCTCCTCATCGGCGACGGCTCCCACGGCACCTCCGAGTTCTACACCGCCCGCGCCGCCCTGACCAAGTACATGATCGAGCGGCACGGCTTCAACATCGTCGCCGTCGAAGCCGATTGGCCCGACGCCGAAGCCGTGGACCGCTACGTCCGCCGCCGCCCCGCCCCGGGCCCCCGCGCCAGCGTGCAACCCGTCGCAGAGGCCGAAAAGGCCGGTCGCGAGCCGGCCTTCATGCGCTTCCCCACCTGGATGTGGCGGAACACGGAGGTCCAGGGCTTCGTCGAGTGGCTGCGCGCCTGGAACTACGACAAGGACCCCAAGGCGCCCGACTCGGTCGGCTTTTACGGGCTGGACCTCTACTCGCTCCTTACCTCCATGCATGAGGTCATCCGCTACTTTGAGCACGCTGACCCGGCCATGGCCCATGTGGCGAGGCATCGCTACGGGAAGCTCATGATGTGGGGGGAGGACCCGCACGAGTACGGCCTCGAGGCCCTCGTGAGGGGGTTCAAGGGGTACGAAGAGGAAGTCGTCGCCATGCTGACCGACTTGCTGTCCAAGCGACTCGAGTATTCGTCGGCGCACTGGAATGGGGACGACTTTCACAGCGCAGAGCAGAATGCCAGGCTGGTCATCGGTTTGTTTTCCCCTTTTGCTTTCTATTCCGCTTCCTTCTCCTTCCCTCTCCCCCCTCTCCCCCCACGACACAGACACACTGACCACCAAAACAGACGCAGAGAAATACTACAAGTCAATGTACTACGGCCGCAACGAGTCCTGGAACCTCCGCGACACCCACATGTTCCAAACCCTCACCCGCCTCCTCAAGCACCGCGGGCCCGGCGCCAAAGCCATCGTCTGGGCCCACAACAGCCACGTCGGCGACGCCCGCGCCACCAGCATGGGCGCCGCCCGCGACGAGCTCAACATCGGCCAGCTCTGCAAGGAGACCTACGGCGACGACGCCGCCCTGCTGGTCGGCTGCGGCTCCTACACCGGCACCGTGGCCGCCGCCCACCGCTGGGACACCGACATGCAGGTCATGAACGTCACGCCCGCCCTGCGCAGCAGCTACGAGGACCTCATGCACGAGAGCGGCGTGAAGAACTTCGCCCTCGACCTGAGGAAGGGCCGCTGCGACGAGACGCTCCGCAGGGCGCTCATGAGGCAGCGCCTGCAGCGGTTCATCGGGGTTATCTACAGGCCGGATACCGAGTTGCAGTCGCATTACTCGAAAGCCTGTCTTCCCCAGCAGTTTGATGGCTTTGTCTTCTTTGACGAGTCGAAACATGTCGGTGCTTTGGAGGTTCACCAGCCTCATACGGATGTTGAGTACGATGAAACTTGGCCCTTTGGCCTGTGAGATTGTCCATTGGACGAAGGTATGGAAGATTGGAATGACCTCCCTGCCGTGGGGGGGAGGGGGGGTGTATTTTCGCGTTCAGGAGGTATCTGCTGTATCTCTTGATCTATAAGGCCACTGCAGTTTGACACGTCGGACGAGCCGGAGTCCGGACAATGTAATCTATTATATTAATCCATTCATCCATGGCACCGGATTCGGAAAGTATACTTCTTCCCCGTCGGAGCCGGCATTGACGTTCAGCAGCCCCACACAGCGGCCCCGCGTCGGCCCCGCAGCGGCGCCGTTCTTGACAGTGGAGCGGCCCGCCTCACCTCCCATGAAGACGACCACCCTTGACGTCTCATTTCTCTAGACATACTCAACCAGGCCCGACTACAAGCTGGTTAATTTGCATACAAGACTTTCGTGGTTCGCAATCTCCAAGGTTTTACCTAACCAGTAGTGGGCAGTGGCATCGTATGGGCAAGACTTGCGTCCATCGGCCCGCAGAATTCACCTCTTACCTGCTATCTACGTTTCTGTTTTCTTCATGTTGTCGAAGAACACTGAAAGAACTTGGAAGATTATGCTTCGCCTCGAATGTCACACCGATATCATGAAGAATTAGACATTAGATATTACCGTTGACTCGCAGCTCCTATACTGATCTGCCTCAACTTACCCTGGGAACCACTCCCTAACAAAGCAACATACAACGTAGACACCCCCAAAATAAATTCCGTGACCCTCAACTTGGCAGAGCACTCGCCAACCCCCTTCCCCCCCCCGGCACCGCGACATCATTTGCTCGCAGAGCCCGAATCTCCAGCTCCAGAGCCCCAGGAAGTCGAACTCGAGGGCTCATCCCAGACTGTGCGTGGGACATCAGAAGAAGCGTCCGCTCCATCCAGCTGCACACCGCTAAACTTATGCACAAGATCCTTCATGTTCTCAACGTCCTTCTCCACGCCCACAAAACCTTCCTCACCAGCTGTTTCATGTTGGCCAATACCGACAATGTCATTGTGATCCAGGTGGTCCCAGTCACTCTCGTCGTCACTGTCCTCTTCATCGTCATCGTTCGTGTTATCGGTAGGGCCGCGAGAAAGAGCCTGTGCCCCAAAGTCCTGCGAGTTCGCCGTCGTGGAAAAGAAGGTGTGGTCCTCTGGCAGCCGTCGGCGCTGGCATATAAAGCCCATGGGTGTGTGCATAATGTCGTCCGTTTGACGACGATGCGTCAGCCACTCCAACAGAAACTTGAGCGGCTCTTTGATAGCAAGGCCGCAAGGCGATAGCAACGTGGACGATGTGGAGGCCGTGGAGCTCGCCGACTCTGACTCAACCACGCTCGTGTCGTCACTCGACGTAGACTCGGTGCTCCCCCCGTCTTCCCCCTGGCTAACGCCCAACCAAGTGAGGAGGGGTCCATACTCGCTGTAGTCGAAGTACAGTCGACCGGCGAGGACACCAACCTCGATGCCGAGCCAACTTGGGAACTTGAACTTCCTCTTCCCGGAAGGGACTATGAAGTAGCCGAAACTGTTGAAGATTCGCATCGACTTGGTAACCGGCGCGGCGTAGCTCAACAGCCACACTTGCGGCTTCTCCATTCTCCGGAGACGGGGCAGAAGGAGCTCGGCTTCTTCCGGAATCACTACGACGGCTATCTCGAACACAGGACTCCACAGAATCCATTCCACCGGTCGCTGTGAGGTGAGGGTTTACATGTTAGCTTATAGAGTGACTACCACAAACTGATGCTTTGTTTTTGGAGGGAGAAACAGAAAACCAAGACAAAAAGGAGAAGAGGCAAAAAAGGGTGGAACGTACCATGATGCTCCTTTCGGTCCTGGATTTGTCGGGGATAATTGTTTTGCAAAACTCTTGCGTTACAAAGAGTCTCGACGACGTTTTCTCGACTCCAAACTTGCGCCCGATCTTCGTATCTCCCAGGTACTCAAACGCCTGAACAAAGGACCCATTGGAGTCCAAGAAGCCCGTTTTGACGAAGCCTTTCAGCGAATCACTGAGGCCGGGGAATACATGAGGCAAGAAGGAGACCGGCTTCTGATTCTCACGGACCTGTTCGACTTCGAACTCAACTTCCCGCTCCTGCTCCACCTCCTCAAAAGCCGACGAGTGGGCAACCCTGCCGTCGGAGAGCAAAGCCCGCTTCTGCTGCAGCAGGTTGGTGACGAAAGCCTGCAGCCGGGGAAAGTCAGCCTGTATCGACTGTGGCTCGCCGGTTGACGAAGAAGCCGGCATCCTATGCTTGGGGCCGTATAGCTGTTCCAGCGTTTGTTCTTCTCGTTGCCGGATCACGTCCAGCAGCTTTGCTCGATCCTGGCCATCCGCGAGGAACATGGAGTGCTTCCACAGCGCGTTAGTACGTCGGCAAAAGTCAAAGCCCTGTGCGATATGCAGGGACATCATGTGCTCATTTGCCTGGCAGCTCTGTTCCAGTAACCACCGGACCACGTCAACCGAAGTCACAGGCGGCGGGCGCTTGAGGTTCGGCGACGACATGGGATTCATGTTCCCTTTGCTAGGCCGCAAGTCGAGCACGCTCCGATAAACCTCTGGAGGCGCCACGAAGGCTACTGACTGGGTCGAACCCAGCTGTCTCAATCTCATCGCAGCTACAGCTTCCGAGTTAGTTCTGGTGGCCACAGTTAGACGAGACGGAGTATATCACCCACCTTGCACCGTTTGATCTTTTGTCTGCCCCAAGCCGAGGGTGACAGCGCCCCTTGCGTTGGGAGGAAGTTTCAGATCAGTGCCCCGCGTGTGTGCCTCGTCGATATAAACAACACACGTCTCAAGACTGTCGGCAAAGGGACTTGCTAGAAGAGGCAATGCCCCTTTCTGATAACGAGCCCGGACCATAATCTGACTGTTGCGGCCCAAGTACACGGCCCCTTGCGCTTCAGTATCGATATCAAGCCATTGCTGCGCGAGGTCTTCGTTTTTTTGCTCGAGAATGTGGGCACCAGCGTCTATGAGGATGCGTATTTTCTCCTTGTGGAGAAGCTCCAGAAGCCCTTTCTCCGTCAGATGGCGGCCGTCCCTGTCGACGGCTTGAATGCACCTGCTGTTTCGCGGCTCCAAGAGGGAGCTAAGAACTTCGGCGTTGGTCTGAAGCAGGCTCGGCAAGTCGTCCTGTTTGATGTTCTGGGGCAGCATCCCCTTGTTGTCATTCGTACCGCTAAAGCCCGTCGTCAGAGCTCGTCGCGGCCCTGTGCTGAACAGCGGGATGTCCCAGCCCGAAGCCTGGAGCTTGATGCTGAACTGCTTCGCGTGGGCAGGAAAAACAAAGTTGTTCATGTAGTGATTCAAAACAATTCTGTCGAACCGCAAATGCTGCCACAGCTCATCTACCTGGGCCTCGTCGTCGGCGTTGACGAGATGCCAATGGCGAAGCGTGACGGGTAAGGTGTCGGACCCGTTTATCCACCGTTCGTATCGCGCAGCCGGGTCGTCCGATTTGATGACATGCTGCAGGCTTTGTGAGATTTGACCCTTGGTGACGCCGGTTTGGTAGAAGGCGAGGCATGTCAACACAAGCGCCGTGTCAGGATGGCCGTACTCCGCGGTCTGAGAGGGGATTCCTTTGGCCTCAAACGGCACGGCAATGGGGGCTCGGTCGGGATGAAGGCCGTACTGGACGTTCCAACGCTTCTTCAGGCAAAGGAGCAAGATGCGCTGAGAGATCAGACCTCGGAGAAGATAAAGATTTTTCAGCCCAAAGACGTCGTCAGTCAATGACTCGGCGGCCTCTATCCAGGTAGCCTCGGGAACATCAACGCCGACAATGATCGTCTCAATGATCTTCCTGGCCGCCTCCGAATCCGTATTCTTGAGCTGAACCCCAGACAAGCGACCCGCGCAAACATCAGCCACTAGTAGATCGTTGAGGGCATCCTCAGCTGCAGTGTGAAGGAAATGGATAATGGGATAACCCTGATGTCGCCGCACAACCTCGATGCCACGGGGAAACCGTGACCGGAGAAGGGATGTGTGGCCTTCGACGAGAGACAAGACCTCCTCAATCACTAGCCAACGGTGAGGATGACCATCGACCGCGGTTTGGGGTCCGCTAGGATAGATCAGTTGGGTCTTCGCAGACAGAGTAAAGTCGGACTCGTCGAGAACATCGCGGCACGACGCATTCAACCATCTTTGGATTTCGACCATTTTCGTGGCGGCTTCTAGGCGACGGTCGGCTAGAAGCTGTAGGCCGCTCAGCTTGAATGACATGATATGCTCAGGAAGACAAAGCATGACGCCCCCAGAGCCGAGAGTATCCCGATGGATGGTCTGGTAAAGGTTTAGGACGTCCGGTTGGGAAGAAGACCGACGTGAATATGGGATATGCCGGACGACACGTCCAACAAGGCCACCGAGACGGCTCTGAATGACCTGGGCCGTCTGCAAAAGCAGAGCCCTTGGGACAATAAGCCGACAAAGTTGAGTCTTGTCCGCAAGCATTACGACTGCCATGGGCATGATGCAAGACGTTTTTCCTGGAATAAAGGTCAGTTTAGATCTGTAAAAACCAGAACCAGAAGAGGGGAGGCGCCCATTTCAACGCACCTTGACCCATGTTCATCTGAAGCACAGAATTGTTCCCCGATGCTGGCGATATGATGGCCCTCGCTACATCAACCTGAGGTTTTCGTATGAGAATGTCATTGTCAATCTCTAGGAGAAGCCACTCCGGATGGTCGGCAGGATTCCAGTTCGAGTGGCCCTCATGGCGTTGTTCTTCGAGGAAACGCTTGCTATTGTGGCAGAGCTGTGCATCCCTCATTCGAATAAGACGCTGTAGTTTCGTGACAAGGAACCCGTAAGTCACCAAAGCCTCCTTCATACCAGGTCCCAGATACGGCGTGGTGTCATTGCGAAGCTGCTCTAGGAGTGCGACTGGGGAGAGACAGGGCCAAAGGTTACCCGCGCTGAGCCAACCAAAACCACCACTGCCACGGGACAGCGCTTTCTGGATGCTTTCGCTGTGGTCGCGCAAGGCTTTGCGAGCCATGGCTATATCAACCTCCGTATTGACCAAAAAAGGGAGAGCTTTCTCTAGCGGCCGAGGTGTCATGCGATCGCGAATCAGGGCCAAGAGCGACTCCTGCAAGTCCTTCCCGTATTGTTTCCTCGTGGGATTTGCCGAAGAAGAAAATCCGTCCACAATCCCCCTGAGAATGGACAACTCTGGAGGAAGTGACGAGAGGGCTTTGTGAACATCCCCATCCCCCCAATGACCCGGTTGGTGCGACTGAAGTTGCATATCTTCTGGGCGAGGAGTGAGGAGGACAGAATGCCTGATCGGTTGATCGTACGACTTTAGCGTCAAGTCGGCCGTGAGTCGCGGTATCATGAAAGAAGGAATATCATGCGGCAGCGTAAGCGCTGTAGTTGGCGCTTTCAAGATGGTTGGTTTCGAGGACCAGATATCGCACCGCACCAAATTCACTTCTCCACCCTGCTCGTTCAACACCTCTTCCACTGTCGTCTCAAGTTGCTGCAAGTATCGGCTCAGATCCAAATTATTCAACAACCTTTGCAGTTCGACGCTCAAGAAAGTCCAGGCTATCTGATGGTCAATAAAGCACCCGAGCGACTGATCCTTGAGTAGCCTCTCAAAGTCGTTGGCCGAACGAGGCACTTGAGGCCACTTATCAACGAGAAGAGACGCAATCTCGGATGCTTCATCGCCCATTTTGGATACGTACTTTTTGCGGGCTTCACTTTTCTTCCCCTTTTTGGCCGTGGGAAGATTGTGGTTATTCCGGTCCATCTGTTCGATCAACAATAACGCCCTCAGAGAATCCACGCAAGGCTCCTCAAAGGGGCGGAATCCGTTCAATGTGGGATGCTCCGGTGGTTCAATGTCACGCAGACGGGCGTTTTGGGAGAGCTCCACGAGCCAACGTACAAGCCCCATGTCGGTCTTCTCTCCGTACGCCAGGAACGCAAGCCGGAACACGACACTGCTACGGCTGTCCCGGATGCCCAGTTGTCTGCATGACTGAACCAGAGGGGGCCAAATAACCGAAATGTCGCCATCTAGAAGCAGGGGAATGTCCACAGCGGGCAAGCCGTGACTGAAACCGCCGATGGTGTTCCATGTCTGCAAAAGAGGTGTCAACTTTGGCAGCGAGGGCGTTACTCCGGCGTTTGCCCCCAATGCTTTCACCGTCTGGTACACTTGACAACTCTGCTTCGATGCGCACGCGCGATCTTCAGGAGCGTAGACCGTAACTTGTGCAGCTTTGACGAGGATGTCATGTTCCGAGGGGGAATTGATTCGCTCATAGATCTGTCGCCGGATGAGACCACGAAGAACCAAGTGATTATCTGCGTGTTTATCTTCGGGTCTTGGGGTGTCAGGGGCTTGTGTCGGAACGCCGGTCGTCATTCGGAAAACGTCCAGCCTTCGTGACTGTTCGAGGATGCTGGATGCAAGACTGGCCAGGCCTTCGTGTTGCACAGTGGCCGTGAGGCGATCATTCCATGCCACCTTCTGGTAGATCTTTGAGCCCGCTGGGTAATATACTCTTTTCGGCGACAGTGACTGCAGCCTGGTCAACATGCTTCGGGGTCCGATGTTCAAGGGTGTCCATGGTTGACTGGAAGCCGACCTCAGGCAGTGAAAAGCTTCTTCCGTTCCCGTACGTCCAGTGAGCCCATCGGGAAGTGGAAAGGATGTGACAGCGTGCAAAAGTGCCTTGAGGTACAAATGAAGTGGCTCAGGAGCGCATCTGAGTCGGCCTAGGACTTCGTCGACGGAAAAACGGGCATATGAGCCATTGTTTGCGACTCTGACCGCGACATGCATCCCTTGCTTCTTCCAGAAGAACTCGGGGCCAATGGGAACAAGAATGCTTCGACGGAGAGCGTTCGCGACGTTCTGTAACACAAGCTTACTCGTGAGGCCGTAGAAGGTACCGGCGTCCTGATTCTCTGCAATCTCGGACTTGAGCTCGGAACATTGGAGCCGCTTTTGGTTATTGACATGGAAGCGAATTTCGAGGCGCTTCATCTCCACCGACAGCCGGCCTTGTGGTGTTTGGTAAATCGTCAATTTGTCGGTGTCTTCAAAGTCTCGGAAGATGTCGGCGATTTGTTTTCCGACCCCTGAACGGGGCTCAACGAGGTAGGATCCCAACTTTTCAGTCTTGAGTATGGCAGGCCCCATTCCTCGGAAACCCCGAGTTCTGCTGCTCTGGTTTCTCACGGCCAGACGCTTGCGTACGTCAAGGACCCAGTTTCCCGGCCTCTGCGCCCATACCCGCGGTTTTCGTCGCATCTCGAGCTTGCCCGTCTGGAGATTGAGCCAATGCACGCAGTCATCCACGAGCCCGGAGGGCAGGTCCAGGTCCCGCTGCGGCCCCTTCAGTCCATTGCCAAAATTCGTACGGGGAACAAGTTCGAGAATGGAACCTTTGTACACTGCCCGCACAACGACCTGGTTGTCCCTGAAACCGAAATGGATCTGGTGACCGAAGACGCTGTTGACAAGCTGATACTCCATCCCTGCCAGGTTTGACGATCGTGTGAGTAAATGCTGACTTGGAAACAGCTCCTGGATGCCGGGATCCTCCCTCATCTGCAGAGGAAGCCTCCCAAGGGGCTTCCCGTCCACGAGGAGGTGTCCCTGCAGAAGGTGATAGTGGACGGCTTGTGAAGCTGCGAACTTCGTCTTCTGCGTCCGCGAGACGCGCCACCAGCTATCACATGGCATGTAAGATGCCGGCTGCCACAAACCGAACGACCGTTTGCTTAACCCTCCAACGTCGGTCCAAGTCTCGTTGATGGCGTCTTCAAGAGCCGCGTAGCCCGTACTAAACCATTTGCTGATCCGACGTCGCATGGCATGGGACGTAGAAAGGTCCCTGATGAGCATCTGTCTGAGGGTCGGGGCGAGCTCCTGGAGATTGACGAGGAGATTTTCTTGGAGAGCAATAGATGCACGAAAGAAACAAAGCAAGTCAGTGCTATCTAGATCAGCCTGATCATCAGTTGCATGGTGATAGATAGCAAAGGTCTGCCGACAGAGCAAGGCGGCCCAGAACGCATAGGTCGCTGCTTTGCGTACCGCTTCGGCGTCGTTGTTCAACCTGACCTCGCTTCGAAGGTGGGTAAGCCAATCGGCGGTAATTTGTCGGGTCCTGGAAAGCAATCCATATGCCGTCTCTTGGAAGACGGCAGGGCAGAGATAGTAGAGCCGTAGGCTCAGGGTGATGATCGTGCTCATACAATACACCTCGCGCCAGCTCGAGACCAGGGCGTCCAGCCGGCAGTGAAGCGTGCCACAGAGCCTTGCACAAAAAGTAGGGTCCCGGAACACTACATGGGCCTCGCGAAGTACTCCGCCTTCCTGTACGGCTGGGCCCGCTTGGAGGGACAGCCTATGAAATAGTGCCATGGTGGTCTCGCTGCTGAAGTTGATATTGGTTGCGCCGAGTTCGACGAGGAGTACCAGCCATCGTCGGCCTCTCGCAGAGACGGCTCGGCGAAAGGCGTTGAACTCGTGGCAAGACATATCAGAGGGCACGTCATGTTCATCTGCGGCAATTTCGTACGACGTAGGGGCGTACACGTCTCTCTGCATGGCAAGAGCGGAGTTCTCATAGGGATCGGAGATACCCCGGGGTAGCCAAGTTCCCAGCAAGTGCTGGTACCAAGGCACACCAAGAAGCTCAGAAGCCCAGACGCCGGATCCCGAATCGTAATAAGAGAATTTGGGTCCGAATGGCAAAGAGATTGCTCCCAAGGTTGTTGGAAGCTTCTGTTCTTTGTAATGAGTCTGGAGAAACGACTTGGTCTCTGACCCAAGAGTGAGTGACAGACGGTTGCTGCGTTGATCCCAGAAAGACCTAAGCTGGCCAAACGCGTTCAGCAGCAGTACAGGCTTATTACCTCTGCGGTCAAGGACATCTCGGCATCCCAGAATTTGTAGTTTCCACGTTGCCATGCGGTACCCGGCCAAGTATGCTGGAATGGCGAGCTCGAAGAGAACGGCAGCCCGGTGGGCTTTGGCCTTCTTTGTGGATGGCGGGAGAAAGTCCTCGTGCGCGGTGATCTTCAGCTTCTTCCGGCTGCGCCATTTCCAGCATTTGGTGCAGCCTCGGACGTCCCTCCCGCCGTTAGCATAGAAGGTGCAGGTGCAGACGCCAACGCGGATGTCCTCTGTGAGCTGATTATACTGGTCCGTGAGGTCGCTCAGCTCGGAATGCTTTGCATCGGCTGATCTCATGGAGGCCGAGTCTATGGTATGGCCTAAAGTCTCGATGTCCTTGCCATGCTGGGTCGAGTGAACGTACTGCATAGGGAAGGCCATCCGACTCTTCGGGTCGCTGAGGATGGTGTTATGGCTCGTGCTGCAAGACTCAATACGGCTGGCGAGGTATGTCTGAACGTCTCTAAGACGGCACATTTCATCTGCAGTGGCCAGGCAGAGTACGTCCAAGGCGGCCGGTACGAAGATTGGGTGATACTGGCAAAGGAGGGGGCATGCTGTGGTGGCAGCTTGGTCCATGGCTACCCAGAGCTCAAATAGTTTGAGAAGGTAGGCACTCATGAGTGTCGCGTCATCGTTGTATGCCGTGTCAACCTCCAGAAGATACTTTTGGATGGATTCTGCGAGTTTTTCGCATTTCTTCTCGGCAAAGACCACGGACGCGTCATCCTTTTCCGTAATCACCGTGGACTCGAAGTCAATAAGCGCGGAGTACTTGGTCGCCAAATGGTTGACTTGAGAGACGGTGCCTTCTCCCAAAGACGGCATATCGAGGGTCACCTTGTGGGTGGGTGCGGCGGTACCCTGCGATGCCAGACGCTGGAGATGCGCACCACTGTAGGGTAGGCTCAAGACCAGGTCACTGTCAGGAGCGCGGAGTGGGAGGGGCGGAATATGACGGATGGTCTTTTGTTTGTGATTCTCCCACGCAGAGGAAATCATCTTCCTGGTCTTTTCGACAATGCCCTCGAAATAGACAGATGTGGCTGTGAAAAAGTCATCGTATGACGCGCGAAGCGGTCCAGAAGCAGACGACCTCTCCGAATCCAATTTGGCAAGGCGGCGGCAAAGCTTTGCCTGAAGCATAAGGATCTTTTCGGGATGCAGAAGACCAACGGACTCATTGAGGAAGTCAGCCAACACGCGGCACATGATGAACTTGAAGTATACCCGGGCCACGCGACCGTCGCTGTGGCTGAGCAGGGTAGCGAGGAGTCGACAGAGGGCAACGCGGAGCACGAGCCAGTAGGGCGATCGCCTCCATGGAATCTCTGCAGAGGCCAGGACGACGTCGTCCCGAACCTTTTTGCATATTTTATGGATACGATCATCGACGGGCTGGCCCATTCCCTCCAGCAGGGACATGAGCATCTCGCTAATGAGGGCTGGGTTGGCAAAATCGCGAGATTCGACGACGGACTTTCCTCCTTTCATTGCTCGCGAGGCAAACCGGTCGAACGACTCGGAACTGGCTTGTTCGAGAAACTGGATCAAAGTGTCCATGAAGGTGCCGTCCGAGAAGGTGCCTGGGGGTATGGCCACTGCACGGTCGGGGAAAGTCCGTACGAGGGCATGGTTGGCCTCGAGAACTGTAGGAGCCGGGGCTGCAACCCGGAAAGCCTCGAAAACGATGCAGTCATTGCTAATGAAAACGGGGTCAGAGTCAGATGAAAAAGGCTTCGGGCAACAGCTGGGGGATGATGTGTGTGCGGCCTACCTTGGGGCCCGATGAATGAGAATCGCAGCATTCTGTTGGATGACATGAACAGCGAGCCACTCTACGGCACCATCATGTGTGAGAAGACTGAGGGCGTGAAGTATCCGTATATCACCACTGGCTAGCGCATTGTGGTTCAGCGACCGAGTGGCTTTCAAGGAGACTTCGACGGTATCCCAGACTCTCGTGTCTCCCGCATGGCGAAGGGAGGCACAGGCTGCTTGAAGGCGTTCTCCCAAATTCCGTGTCAGGGCAGTATCGTTGCCGTCAAAAGCACCAGGCAACTGGGGTGGTAGAACGAGATGCTCGAAGACGGCTTCGAGGAGCTTGGTTGCGCTGGCATCCATCGCTCTATTCCCCCGGGGGGCCTCAGGTGCTGGTGGTAAGGGCAAGGAAGGTGCAGAGCAGAGAAGAAGAGCGGTAGACTCAGATGAGACAAGGTAAACAAGATAGTGGAGGACAGAAAAAGCTAGGATAGAAGGCTGATTTGTAGGGAGATGAGAGAAGAAATCGAGGTGAGAGGAGGGGGGAAAAAAGGTGGAAGAGAAGAGGCTTTCAGGGAGAAAAAGCTTTCAGGAAGAAAAAGCTTTCAGTCTCAGACCTCATAAGGTACCTTGGGTGACTAGTCGTAAGGCAAAGCAGGCAGGTGCAGGAAAGAGATGAGTGGAAGGAAAGAGCTGAAGCAAGAAGCATGCCTGCCTATAAGGACAGCACCTTTCTAATCTTCCCCGCTGGTGGGCACGATTCGCTATCGCCAGACTCTAGTAGTCGTGACGATCTTGTTCTAATCTGCAGGTAAATAGTAGGCCTCCCGCATAGGCAGTGGGTAGTGAATGTTCTCTCGTCCTATAGTGGTCAGCCATGGTCAACCAACGAGACGAGAACATCTGTTACTGTTATTACTTACCTACCTAACTTTACTGTTCTTTCTTCTTTGATAGGACGAAAGGCAGAGAAGGAGAAGGCATATAAGATGTAGTCAACGAGGGCTTAGCAGATATGTTGTTGATCCTACTATGGTGCATGTGCATGCATGCATGAAGTGGAATAAAGGGCCGAGCAAGAACAGGCCCGTAATCTGAATCGGTGGCCTTCAGATGTCATAGGCATGTCCGTGGTAGCAAGATTGACACCGGTCTGTAGGACTCCGTTTGACTCCGTCATTAGGTGCCTGCCTGGATGAATGACACTAGACGATTGAGAGCGTAGAAGACTGTCTGACAACATTAAATCCGGAGCTGAGGAGGAAATAAAATTTTAGGATTAATTACGAAGCACTTGACAGCTTGAGACAGGGTCCAGGGTCCAGGGTCAGAGGTCTTGGGCTTCATGTGATTTGGGAAGGGATTTCCATGGGAGGGGACCTGGAAGGGGACGTGCATCTTATCAGCGATTCGGGCAGGCCATTAATGGGTCGCTCCTGTCCATCATTGATGGTGCTTGTATCACCAAGGTAATAAGGTACCTAGACTTTGATAACCTAGGTACCGTAGGTTCCATCTGCCGTTCTATGTTTCGCCGAGATATAATTGTATTCGGATCATCATCTTCAACAACATTTGACTAATTGCATCTCTCTATCACTCATAGGTCGGGTAGCCAAGTTAGGTGCGCGGCACGACCCGAATGACATGGGACGTGAGGAGCCAGGTTCCGTATCTCTGGTACCCGCTGTCGGGGCCGGCTCGGAGCCGGAGGGGCCATAAACTAGAGCCTAGGGACGTCCAAGTACAGGTAGATTCCTCGTTCTGTTTTACGATCTCGTAGAAGCGTCTCCAAAGTCGAAGACGAGTAGAAGTGTATCTTGAATAGGAGAAGAGTAAAAAAAAAAAAGTAAAAAAAAAAAAAAGGAGAACAAGCTAGTCCCGGCGAGGTTTGAACTCGCGCTGTATCGCCGTTAGCTTGATTGCCCTTTTGGGAAACTTGGCTTGTGCGCGACGTGACTCACTCTTGACATATCTTAGCATATTCATTAGGCATAACCCAATAAGTATAAGAGTCAAATCCTAACCACTAGAAGACGGGACTGACTTCGCAGTGCAATGTTGCCAAGTTCCGCCCTTAAGTTCGTTTATGTGGGTCTGGACCTCCCAGTCCCACTTTCCCCCACTCGGCTTCCGCTAGACGCACCACTGACTCGGGGAGTCACAGGTACTCCCAGCACTTCCCAGCACTGTAAACCCCCTGATGATGCCGTCTTGTTAGTGGTCCGTAGACCCTAAATCTCCCTTATCACCCGTCCCTCCCTGACTGATCACCCGCCCTACGCAAAGAGGAGAATAGCAACAACATGTTTATATTCCGATGGTTTTCAGACAGACGGCAGTCGCCTCCTCTTCGTTTGCTTAAACGATGAACAGTATAAACACTTGTCTTGACGGGTCAACTCGCCTCTTGCTAATTAGGTATCAGGACGTAAAATATCGAAACCAACAAACTCCCTTCACCCAACCAACGCCCTCATATACCCCGACATTCCCAGCGTCGCACCGCCAACCCCTTTTCCCCTGAGATTATCCCCAACTCGCCATCTAATCTACGTGTAGATGCTTTCCGTAAACTGGTTCACCTGCAACCCATACTCTGCCATCTCCGCGTCCTTCAAAAAGTCAAGCGGCATCCGGACGAGATGACCTTTAATCTGGCCAATCTTGCGACGCGCATCTTCAGCCGGCATGAACTGGTCGAAAATGTGACCCCTCTTGACGCCAACGGGAGGGAGGTAGCGGTCGTAATCGTCGAAATTTTTGACTGGCGGGCGGTTGTATTAGTTCAGTAGCATGACATGGACATGCACGAGGGTTCGTCAAGGCAACTTACCATGGTCATCCGGGTCGGCGTGGAAGAGGTGCCTGTAGAGCTCCGTGTTCTTCGTCGCATTCCCGATCCACATGTCCCACACATCCTCTCCCAGGGGATCGGCCACGAAATCCCAGCTCTCGTCCTGGTCCTTCGGGTCGTTGGGCGACGTCTCCCCGGGCGGCTGCGCGTTCTGGTCACCCGTGGCATCCACCGGCTGCGCCGGCAACAACCCCAGGTGCTCGCGCCAGAGGTACCGCCGCAGCGTCGCGGCGTGCCACCCGGCCTCGAACGGCTGCCCGTCCATGACGCTGGTGATCGTCTTGGTGTCTTCCATGACGATGCTCAGCTCGCTGTCGTGGCGCCCTAGCTGCGACCGGTCGTTGAGGTTGCTGGACCCGCAGATCACAAGGCGGTCATCCGCAATGAGCAGCTTCGAGTGGATGTAGAGCTCCTCCTGGACCCAGTTCTGGACTTCGGACTCGAGATTGTCGTCATCCCAGGGCTCGTCCATCAGCGATCGCAGGTTGCCGGACATGGCGTGGTGGGCAAGAGACGGCTCGGATTCGATCCTATCCTCGGGCATGGCGGCCTCGAACCTCTTTTTCGCTTCCTGGGCCTCCTCTCGGTCCGGCGTGGGGAGGACGGGGTCCTGGTCACGCCAGCTGCCCATATGGCGGTCGCGGTGCGTGGGACTCTCCATTTCCCTTGTGCCGTGGATCCCACTCGCCATGATCTCCTCGGCTTCGGCTCGCTGGACCTTCTGGTACGGCACCTCGGTTTTCTTTTCCTGCTCGGCGAGGGCAGGAACTCGGCTGAGACGGTCGTAGTTTCGGAGGTTGAAGAAGAAGATGTACTGGGTGGGGTCGACTTCTTGCGCTCTGATCTGTTCGAAAATGGAGTGCTCCCCGCGGCAGATGGACTTGTATTGATAGTCCATGATGGCCCGGGTAGCCGTGGCGGCATCTTCCCGGAGATCGCCCGCAAACCCGGGTACGGCCGGGATCAAGACGATGATGCGAAACTTTCGACCCTCTTTGGCTGCGCGGACAATCGCCTGCACAATGGCCCTGCCGATGGTGTTATTAATCGGGGACTGCTGGTCACCAGTGGCTGTGATGAAGAACTGGTTCTCGATATAGACATAGTGTTCGGCTTCTAGGATCGCTTTGGCGTAGGCGTTTTGGATGGAGTGGTCCAGGAGAATACCGGAGGACCAATCGTCGCTGGACCGCACGATTTGGGCACGAATCGTCCCGCGATTGTCGAGATTCTTTGTTTCCAGGGGCGTCAGCGGGTGGAGGACATAGTCTCCCACCGGATGCTTGGGCCGTTGGACGCCGACAAGGGCCTCGTCTTCGCCAGTGCGGCCACGCATCTGGATCCAATCATACCGATTGTCGCGCTTGTACTTGTCCCGCTTGATGAAGTTCCAGCGCAGAACGAAGTGTTCTGCGATATCGTAGACGCAGGGCCCGATAACGCCCATGGCGACATCGTGCCACGGCATGCGGCCGTAGAGGGACTTGGTCAGCTCATTCTGCTTCCAGTCGTTGACGTTCTTGAAGTCCATGATCCGGTTGTTGTTGAAGTCCTGGCCGGGCCACACCTCGTTGTGGACGCCCCTGGGGTGGACATCGGCCAGGGCATGCGTGCTGGTGTCCCAGCGGCCGAAGCACAGGTCAAGGCCGCCAATGAAGGCCGTGGCGTAATCGATGACGATGAATTTCTCGTGGTGGGCCCAGTAGAAAGTCATGTCTGCGGCGTTCTCGAAGACGTTGTGGTCAGGGTGCCGCATGACCCGAATGTTCCCGTATCCCGGCGAGCCCTTGGGGCAGAGGCCATGGAGGGCATGCTTGGTATGCGCCGAGTTGCAGGTGAGAGCGGCCTCCACCTCGCGGTAGACGATAACGTAGATCTTCACGCCCGCTTCGGCGCGGCGTTTGAGAACCTGGTCGAGACGCCACTCCTGGTTATAGTATGGGGGTCGACGGAGAAAGAGCTCGGGAGAGAGCCACCAATCGGCGATATAGATGGTCTCCTTGGCCTGCTCAAGCGCCTCGGAGACGGCCCAGAAATAGTCGCGTCCGTCGACGTACCACTTGATGAGGTTTCCTTCGCGCTCGGGGAAGTATGAATTGTACCGGTTTTCGCTGGTGATCTTAGAGCGCTTCTCATCGGTAGCCTGCTCGTGTTCCTCGTCATGTCGATGATTACCATTGAACTAGCAGAATTCATAAGTGTCAGAGGGGGGCCGGGAGGGGGGGAGGATATTCCAGGAGAGGCAGAGGTGGTGGGTTATGATGTCGTAAAAAAGGGCTCACTAGATTGCCGAACTTGCCAAGCTGTTGCTTCTTGTGGTGGAGAGAGACCTTGGCATCGTGGAGATGCGTGCCCTCAAGCTTTTCTTCGAGTTCTCGAAAAGGCTTCTTTAGCTTGTCCCGCCAGCTACTGCCGCCGCCGTCGTCCTGGGCTTTGGTCGTCATGGTGGGCTACTACTGGAGACAATGACACGAGCGACGTGAGTTTCTGTTCCTTTCCAAAGCTGCGCTAACTTATCTTTACCCCGTCCCTGCCAATTTCGGTCAAGGTAATCCTTCTGACTGAGGTACGGATAGTGGGGCAACGGCCACCTTGGCGTGACACTGGTAAGGTAGACAGGACGCAATTTGGGTGCGACAGCTGCTTGGTCAAGAGTTGGGGCTCTCAGGAGTGAACGAGAACAACAATTCCGAGAGGTGGTCTCAGACGCCAACCTAACCGAAGCTGAGGTAGTCGAAGAGAGGCGGAGGAGGGGCAAGGAGGATACGCAAATAAGGTCGGTAATCAAAAGCCGTATGTCTCGGCATGTAAAGGGTGGGGTGGGTGTATGTGTAGGTATTGGAATATATCAGTTCGCGCCTGGAAACCACCTTCAGCCAACTTTAAGTCAAAAGACGGAACGTAGACGGAACGGGGACGGAACGGGGACGGAAATAAACTGCCTTGAAATCAGGACCCTTACCCTGGGCATGCAGCCAAGGAGGTTAGAGGCGGCCGACAGTATGCCTCGACTTCACCATCTGACGGCAAGGGAAGGACAACGCTACTTCGTACTCCGTATCCTTGGGTAACGAAGACGCACGACCAGGAACTGGTTAGAGGAACAGAGCAGGTTGCTGACTTGTCCCGGTGCATCAAGGACGGCGGATTGAGGTCTGTCACGCCTAGTCCTCGGTATCAAAAGAGGGATAAAAGGGCATTGGCGAGGTTGGAAGAATAGCTCGTTTGGCTCTCACATGGCGTGCCGAGCCGTAGTCAGTACGTGTACATGTACACGTAGTGCCGGAATAGTTGATGACGGTGGCCCAGACTTTCGATGTGGAAGGCCCAGCGTAAGAAAGGGGGGTAGAAGGCACAGAACACGGAAGAGGCATGGGACATGGGTAAACTGACGGACAGGATAGGTTGGGTCGTGGCTCGTGATCTTCTTGGTACCGAGTACCTAATTTCCACAAGCGTCCAGGAAAATGATGTCACGGTCAGTCGCTGTCAGCCACTCCTCAATGATGACTAATCCACCCCATGCTCTCATCCGTCCGCTTCTCCAGGCATGAATGAAGAATGAGCGTGTTGGTTGGACAAGCGACAGACAACTTGATTTACCTACCCGTACCTGACAGAGGCGACCGACCTTACAATAGGGCTTAAAGATCCGAACTAATATATCGCCGAAGGTTGCACTAAAGCGATTGACCCTCTTCGAGAAAGATGCCGGAAGCATTCCCGCATCTCAACATTCTTTACGCGTCTTTGCGTTCTCCCAGAGACAACGCAAGTCTCTCTCTCTCGCTCCGGCCATGCCCAAAATAACAGGACAAACGGAAAGAAGTAGCGTTAAATAACTGCAGATAGGGTGATTTGCTGTATGGCTGCCCTTGGCCGCTCAGTCGTAAAACAAGAGAGCTCTGACCTCTACGCTCTCTCGCGACGGCTCATCAACAGCTTCAGGGTCAACAAATGCGCAATGCGGCGCCCTCCGTACCACCCCTTCCTCTTCCAACGAGTCAAAGCACTTTATCAGCAGTACTTCATCCGGTTTCTGCTCCCTTTTGAAGAACCACTGGTGCCGCTCCCCTGCCGGCCGCACCGCCCACGTTTGGCTCTTCAGGAGCTCAGCACCCGAGGAGCCGTCCCGGTACATCACCGATGCCTCCGCCAAGTCCGTCTCTTCCACGCTGCGACCGTCCACCACCGCCAACGGGTCTTTACGCACCGTGCGGATGGGTCGCCACGCGTTCACGATCTGCCACCTTCTAGGGCTGTTGCTGCTGCTTCTGCTGCTGCTGCTTCTGCTGCTCCCTTGGTCTCGTCGGGTGAGCGTCTCGGCCTCATCGGCCGGCAAGTGCTGGCGCGCCACGAGCTCGGCACCCGCGTAGGACTGGTCCACGTGTACTCTATGCAGCGGTCCGGGGTTCTTCGCGTTGCCTTCACCTAGCCGGTGCCAGTCGGACGGGCCGCGCCGGACCCGGTGGCCGAAGATGACGACACGAGTAGCGCCTGTGCTATTCGCCCCCAATGCAGGTAAATGTTAGCAGCAAAACGGACATGCAGCGCTGCAGTCAACTCTCCCCCCAGGCTAGCTCACGCTTGCTTATACAGCTGCTCCATCTCGGTGTAATACGCCCCGTTGACACGGAGCTCGTCGACAAAGTCTTTCTCCTGGCTCTCGTGATGCACTAGCTGGAAGCCGTGGCTGTCAAGGTTGTAGTAGTCCTCTCTTCCGGTCATGTCCCGAATGATCACGGACACGGGAACTGTAGGTCGTTCATTGGAGACCTTGCCGCTGGAATGTCACATTCGCCCCCGGCCCTAGTTAGGACTTGTCTCCTATTCATAAGGGAGTTTCAAGATGTCTACGGAGTACGAGCATACCTCCCAACGACCACTGGAATGGGCGCAGACCCGTCCCCGGGATCACGGTAGTAGTTAAGTTGTGTGTAAACATCTCGACCGGTTGACGGAGAAAACGTCTTATCGGATTGTGACGGCTTCTGGTTCGGAGTATCGATGGCCATGGCTGTCGAACCGTTTTCAGGAGCTCATTGACGAAAAAGCAAGGCGGGTGATGTCTCTACCTTGGCGAGGAGCGGGCGTACCGAGGTCATTGTACATGTTATGGTAGTGGACTTTTGCATGTCATTCTTGTGTCAATGGGTGCGACGACGAACGATGAATTTCAAGTCATAACAGCAGCCCCTGAAACATCTAGCGGGGCGCTTGAATTTACCCCACTTCGCACTACACGTACGTAAAGCCACTTGGCCATGGAAGTCTTCCCCGCCATTACAGGGCGCTAGAACCCCCGCCAGGTACGTATTGTGTACCGTACCCCTCGCGACCCCGAAAGCTTGACCGCCTTTAGCCTTCTGTTAGACCACTCAGGTTCAGGTCCCCGAGCTTAACCATCTCCTAAACCATCTCCCCGTATCCTCTTCGTTTCTCCCATCTCCCACTCTGTACTCCCTCTTTCCATTTACCCTCGTGCGAACCGTCAACAATCCCAAACCTACCCACCATGCCTGTCCAGATTCCTCCCGGCGGCACTATTGTCGACACCTTCAAAAAGTCCTTCGTCGATGTCCCCGTCGACGCTGACAACGACAATGCTATTGCTACCTCCGAGTTCCTCGACGCCACCGAGTCTCTCGTAACCATCTTTGGTACAGGCAGCCCCCTGCACCACCGCGTGATACACGCAGTACAACGTCACTTCACTTGGTCCCAACCCACCGTTCTGACAAACGAAACACAGATGTCCTCGGTGCCGTCGCCTTCTCCCCCGTCAAGTCTGACATGCTCGGCAATGTCAAGGTACGCACCTGCCCTCTCTTTCCGTCCTCTTTCCCATAATTCTAATGGGCCGATGTTCTGTTGCTTCATGTTTACGATTCGCTTTCCTGTTCTGTTTCACCCGGTGTTTGCAAATCGCTAACCGGTCCTCTCCCGTCTCTAGAAAATCCGTGACCGCCTCCTTGCCGCCCCCGCCGAATCCATGAACCTCCAAGACCTTGTCCGCAATGAGATCAAGACCAAGAAACACACTGCATCCGAGGGCCTCCTCTGGCTGACCCGGTAAGCCCCAAGACAAACATTCCCCCTTGGTTTTTTTCTTCTTTTTTTCGGGTCTTTCCTCCACGGTGACGTTGCTGACCTCTCTCTTCCAACTCCCAGCGGCCTCGAGTTCACCTGCATCGCCCTGAGCCAGAACGTCGCCAAACCCTCCGAGGAGCTCGCCGACTCCTTCCGCAGCGCCTACGGCACCACCCTCAAGCCCCACCACAGCTTCATCGTCAAGCCCATCTTCAGCGCCGCCATGAGCGCCTGCCCGTACCGAGCCGACTTTTACTCCAAGCTCGGCGACGACCCTGCCAAGGTTGCCGAGCAGCTCCGCGTCTACCTCGTCGCCCTGGAGAAGATTGTCGGAATTCTCAAGGGCTTCCTCAGCAGCAAGGATGCCAAGTGGTAGATGGCGCGCGAGAATAGAGAGAAGGAGTGGGTGGCTCGAGATACAAAGAAAAAGGAAAGACACGCACAATTCGTGGAAGCGATGAGAGACGATCGATTCGAAACGTATAACATACATCTGACCGCGCATCTCGACTAGAGCTAGAGCGATTCATCAGGTTAATAAGAGAATCAAACACGGACCCATTATAATTCCAGTAATCAGTTAACAAATGCTTCAAGAAGTTCAACTCCGTCCGATCTGACCAGGCTGGTCTAATGTTTCCCCATACCATGGCCTCCCGACTGTCGTCACTCTACAGATAATGGAGATGCTCAACCGGCTCCTCTTTAAGCCTATACCCAAATCAGTATGTTGCGGCACTGCGTCGAGGGAAACAAATCTATGGGAGAGAGGGAAAGCGTAAAGCTTATGGTCAAGATCAAACAATACATGTCATTCGACAATAAGAACGACGAGGCCACTGCCGCATCCTTTCATCCATCAATATATGTGCAAGAAGATACGATCCGCCATATCCCCCGGACTACTTCCAAGAGACGGAGACCCGAAGTGGCGTGGCAAAACAGAAGAAGAAAAGAAAAGCAAAAAGTTACGTCCCCTTCCACAACACCCCTTAAGCAACGACGCCAGTGCCACCATTGGCCTCAATGGCTCCGCAAACACAGTCGGCCGGGTCAACGGTGTACGAGTAAGGCACGTCGTTAAGGCTGCCCACCTGGGTGATATCAATATCGGAGTCCACGAAAATGTTATCCCGCTCGACGGCATAACCCTGATCGTTGGCATCGAGGTCAGTGACGATGGCGCGCCGGGTGTTCTCGAAGTAGTTGGACTCGACGAGCACCTGGGCGTTCTCGCGCGTGTTGATGCCCGACGTCGGGTTGTTGAGGTAGCACGAGCTGTAGATGTGGCCCGTGCCGAACCGGATCGAGGGGAGCCGCGAGTTGACGTTGATGAAGCTGTTGTGGTGGTATGTGACGTGCATCGTGCCGGCGTCCTGGCCTCCGTTGCTGCCGGAGTGGCCGATGAGAGTGCCCTTCCACTAGACGAGGGGGGGGGATAACATGTTAGCACATCGCGACTCACGAGAGATACCATTTCAGGAGGTAGGATAAGGGGTAGGTCAATGTAGGGGGGCGGCAGCTGAGAAGAGAAAAAGGAGATGAAAAGCAAAGGAGGGGCATACGTGGTCGTGGAACTTGGTCCAGGAGACGGTGATCCAGTCGGAAGCACGCTTGATATCAAGCAGACCATCATAATGATCCTTGTCGCCGACGATGCCGTCGTTGAACAGGTCGCAGTGGTCAACCCAGACGTTCGTCGACGTCTCGATATCGATCAGGTCGCCGCCCTCAGGGGCCTGGCTGAGCTGCAGATTGCGGAGGATGACATTATCGACATTGTACAGCCGGAAACCGCCGCCAGTGAGACCAGAGCCCGCGTCGACGCCCTGGACGGTCGTGTCGCTCGGAACTCGCAGGATGCCGCACCCATTGATGATGCCGTCGATGTGAACTACGCCACCCGACGACAGGGCATCCCCGAGCGCCCCACAGTCGCTGACGACCACCGGTTGGCCGCTTCCGCCGGTCGTGTCGGCGCCGTAACCCACGAGCTCATCTACCTGGGCGTTGCTGCATTGAGCGTAGGCTGCGCTGACGGCAGCGAGGAGGACTAGAACGCTCTTGCGGGCCATTATGATTTGGGAGAAACAGGAGTTCGACGTGGGTGGAATGGAGGAGCGTCCTGGTAAAGTCGATTCGAATGAGATCGAGATGATTGTCGAAATCTTGATCTGATGTTGGACAAGGCTTCTGGAAAATCGAAAACGAGTAACTCGCTAGGAAGGCAGAGAGCGCGTCCTTATATAGGATTTTGACCAGGTTATCTTCGGCCAGGATCGGTTCGCGTCATGATCTTGTCGTCTTTTTGCAAACCAGCTGAGAGCTTCGGATGATATCCATCACTTTTCCACTGTTGTATCCATTGAGTTCTGTCAAGACCGACAACCGGGGCAATTGTCCACCAGTGAAATGAATTCAATCCCACTCTTTGTCGGCCCTTGAACTCTCGGATGGAGCTCTCCCATCTTTCTAGAGATCGACTACGTGCTCGGGAGACTTGACGTTGACGGTAATTGATGCGACTGCCGTTCCAAAGAGAGTGATGATCGTCATACAGGGTGTAAATCCACGAATGGTGGCACGCCTCAGGGATGGGGATATGGTTAGATGGCGTTGCATACATATTAAGGAGAAACCAGGTTTGCGTCTGCAGTCGCCAGACGTCGGACTTGGTCACCCCCCCTGATGATGGCTAGTTGGATGGATGGGTCGGCACGAACCTGGTTGCTCCCGTTGAGAGGTGAAGATGGTGTTGAGTTTGTAGTCAGATATCCCGCTAGCCTCTCCTATAACTGTCCTTACAGGAGAAAGATCTGCGGTGGACTACCATCCAGGGCACGTCTCACGGGCCGAGAACGGATGCAGAGCATCCCCCGCCAGCATTACCCCGGGTGGTCCTGCAGGTTTGGATCCCGTGGGGTAATTAAGCGCCTCCCGAAGGCTTGCAGTCGTTCATTGACATGATGGTGCTCTGGACTGCGCAATGTTTCGAGGCAATAATTGCTCCGACAAAATCCCACGAATTTCTCTCGTATTTGTTTGTTGAACGTATTTTTTTCCTTAGAGAATCTCTACGATGACGCTGCCGGTGCCTCCTCGGTCTTTGGACCATCAGGTGCCGAAGATGCATCTTCGACTCCGTCTGCACCGGTGCTCGCTGACTTGGACGCCTCCTTTTCTTTGGCCTTGGCTGCCTTTTTCGCCTCAATCTGTCGCAGCTTCTCCAGCTTCTTTAGCTGGTTCTTGGTCAATTTTCCGTCACCTCCACCCTTCTCGTCCCCGTCGGTCTTCGGCCGAACCGCCAGAGTCTTCACGGCTTCCGATCCCCTCCAAACCAGAGGCCGACGTGACATGAACAAATCAACCGTTTCCTCCGTGATCTGGGCTCGCCTCTCCTGGAAATCGGTACAGAACTTGGACAGTTCCTTTGCGCACCTGTAGCATGTGTGAGCAACACGCATTTTTCACATATAATGGTAAAGGGCGTCGCTGCGTACCTCATCTTGATCTCGCCAGTCAACATCTTGCCAGAGCGGTAGTCTTGTTCAATTTGCGCAAGCTCCTCATCGTCCTGGAGTATGAAGTTAACAAAAAAACTGAACCTAGTGACAGGCATCCACGTCGCAAGCTCACCTCCAGGAAAAAGCGCAAGTATTGATAGCTGACATCAACTAGAAACCAGTTAGAACAACATCAGTAGCTTGTCGGATTCCCTACTATACCATCTGGGTTGCCTCCTAGGGCTCTTTGTTCCTCAGCAGTCTCCCTGCCGCCGCTGAAGGCATACTTCTTCATCTTCGTCTCGATCTTCTTGGGGGTATCAGTCATGAAAATAGCAGATGATTCAACCGAGGCCGACATCCTAACCAAGGGGGCATGAGTTAGTCTGCAGTCCGTGGGCTGGCGTTGACAATACGTCGAGATTCCACTCACTTGGAACCAGGGCCACCGAGGGCATCGAGGAATCTGGCATGGATGAGAGACGGCTTGGCATAATGAAGCCCCTGAGCCACATCTCGGGTCAACCGGAAGTACGGGTCTAGGGAGCAATCAGTATAACCAGCAGAGGCGGCCTAGTAGTATATCCACTTTGCAAGAATACGATCATCTGATTCCGCGTTACTTGAAATCACTTGCCTTGGTCAATGGCGCAAGGGATAAGACAAGGGATTTGCGTGGTGACGGCATCATTGTCGCCGAAGATGTGCGGGAACGAGTTGGCAAAGGATGGGGCGGCCTGAATGGCGGCGAATCCCATCTGGAGAAGACAAAGCATTAGCATTCATCCAGAACTCAGAGGGGGGAGAAAAAATAAGTGTTTACCTTGCCAATGTTTGTGGAACCGTCGAATCCGAACACAGCGGAGGCTGCGTTGACAGTAATACGCTTGGCTATTCTGGTGATATTGGCGTAAATGCTTCCACCGATGTAGTCATAGCTGGAGAATTACGATAAGCATGGATCGGGTTGATTCCGACTGTTGTCTTAGGCCGACTCACTCGGAAAACATAAAGGTCCTGAGGTAGAAGAGTCAGCTCTGGCGACGACATTGACGCGAAGAATCATGTAAATGACTTGGGATCACCTACCTCTCAGGATTAAATCCAATGGCCAGAATATCTTTAGCATTAGATCTCGCATAGGCCTTGACCTCCTCGACACTGTCAAATCGAAATGATTAGTTCGGTCGCGCAATTTAGAAAAGGCAAGATAGAAATATCATACGTTCGCTTTTCCGAGAACAGGAACTTCTCATCTGTTGAGCATAAGTTAATGTCCAGTTCAGTGTTCTCGGAGCCGTGACCACGAACCATCTGTGAGCATGATCTAGGAGGTGTAAGCGTCTGAGCAGTATGTATAAAGCCCATTGGTCTCAGGATGGTAATAGAAACGCCGGAGAACATACCACCAGGGGAGCATCGAACACATCCGAGAGCCACTTGGTAAATGTAAAGGGACTATGTCGTCTATTAGGTTCATTCTCGAAAGAAGCCGTGGATCTGCGTACATAACGTGGCCAATGTGCATGCTGTCACTGCTAGGGCCGCGACCTGGAACATAGCGCATTAGTCTCCTATCCAGCACTACACACCATTTCTCCCCCATTGCTGGCGACTGACCTGTGTAGAGGTAGAAAGGTTCCTTGCGCTCGTACCTGTCGAGAATCGCTTCGAAGTCCCGGTGCGAGAAGAACACACCCCGGCGCAGAAGGTGGTGTGGCTTCACCCCTACGACCTTCTCGAAACGCTCCAGCAGCGCATCGTCAATGGGTTTGGTACCGAACTCCTCGATGAGTTTCTGGGTATGCGGTTAACCACGATATTAATAGAGAAGAGGTGAAAGACATCGCTCACGTTGTAGTCAATGGCTTGGACTTTGCCATGTTCGTCGACCTGCGCATGTCAGACTTTCCAGTTCACTTTCGAGGTTCGCTCAACTGCCACGGAGCTCGCAATCACCATGGCCAGTGTACGCCAGCCAGTCCACCATCCAGCGCCGTCCCCCTACAGTTTCAAGCTCCGCCGAAAAAAAGAGCCCATAACACCAATGCTATTCTTTTCAGGCCCTGGGCTTCGTCTTTGCCTCGCATCGGCCACTAAAACACGGGAGGCGCAAATCAGGTGCGTGGGCAGGGAGGCAGGATCACTCACCGCGCCAGCGACGTTCCAAGGATCGACAGTCTGCTTCGAGGCGGCATGTTGGTCTTCTCCCACAGCCTGAGGGAGGATCGTCTGTGTAGGCGCTTCGGGTTCGGCGGCCATGGTGGGAGACGGAATGCGATTCGCAAAACGGCGCGGGGGTTTGTCGGGTTATCGGACGTCGTCACGTCGGGACTCGGCGAGAACAGGGGCTTGATGAGAGTTGAGTATCAGGTGGTTGACTATCTCCCAGACTGTACTGGAGCTTTCTCCTTGTCACTTTGCAAAATCTCCTGCGCAATTAGCAGAAGAAACGGAAGAAGAACACGTCGGGGGAGGATCGATTCGTCTACCCTTCTTGCCCGATTAGTTGAGTCAGTGGCGGGCGGGGACAGCCGGCAAAATTCAAAAGTCCAGGGGTAACCCCGCGGATGACTAAGCCATGCACTTCACTAAAGGTACCCCGCCATCTTGACCGAGAGTACTACCCCTCCTTCACCGAGATGACCGAGATCGCCAACCCCTCTGGATGAGAGGATCTCCTGTAATGTTACAAGACCTATAAGCTAGACTCAAATACAAATGTTAACAGATTTTCCCCCTCTTATCGTATTTACGCAATTTCGGGAATTGTCGCGTTACGTCAACCGATCAGAAACAATCCCGCCCTACCTACATAGACTCACGGAGCACATCAAAGCACAGGCTACAGGACAATCCTCAATTCTGACTGTTCCTAGGCAGGAGATCTCCTTATTACCAGATGCCATCCTCAACTCACTTCTCACCTTAAAAAGTCGTTTTTAGTTTGGGGTATTCCTCCGCTCGAGCCTTCAAGTCCGCGAAGATGGCCTTTGAAATATCTGCCCCGAGGCCTTCCATGCGCTTCACATCCTCATCTTCAAACTCCTCAAGTACTTCCTTCGGCTCTTCCTTACCGTCCGCCTCATCATCTTTCTGGGGCTCCGTGGCCTTTTCCACGCCATGCTCGCCGACCAAAAGCAGCTGAGCGTTTACAAAGTCAAAATGAGCTGGCTTAGAGGGGATCCAGCGCTTTTTCGCAAATTCATCCATTATTCTGTTGATCATGTCAGCCTTACAGTACCTGTCTCCTCTGACAAGGGCAGAGGGCTGGAGGGCCAGGAAAAGGCGAGGACCTACCCTTGGGAGAACTCAGGCTTCTTCGGCAGTTGCGCATTTGCCGGGCCCGGATACGATGGATTCTTTGTGCTGACGATGAAACTCCCTTCTTTCTTGAGACCCAGCTCTTCTTGAACCTCACCCAACTCCTCGGGCAGAGTCAGCATATAGACTAGGTGACTTTCCCGGCCCGTACTTGTAATAGCGTATACACCCTCCGCTGCGGGCGTGGCAGGAGGGACATGACTAGTACCCCTCGTCTTGGTCTCGTACTCGGTGCCCTTCAGAAAGTCATCCTTGAGCTGTTGGAACGAAACCTGGGCCATGTCGACGAAGACCATGAGTCGTTCCCCAGCAGATTTCGGGAGCGCTTTTTTGGGAACGACGAAGAGGCGGCTGTTGCCGTGATCCCCGATGGGTCCCTCGCCTAGTCGCGCATCCGGCGCAATGGGTCTGAGAAGAAGGTAGGTGCGCGCCACATCTTCGACCGATTCCGGGTCTGTGATATTGACACGGGGACGGAAGAAAACGTAGACAATGCCCTTCTCAAGTATATTGGAAGGGACGTCGGGGTCTTGGTGCGGCTTCTCAGCTGTCGCAGTGGCTGATTGCTCCGCCTTGGTATCCTCTTGTGTACCAGGTTCCGAAGTCCCGTCCTTCTCTGGCTGCCTAGCCCCATCCGTCCTTTGCGATTCTGGGGGCTCTTCCTCCACCTTTGGCTGGTGAGATTTGCTAGATTTGGTTGTGGTTTTAGCTCGTTTGGCCGAGAGTGAGGCTGGCTTCTTGTGTTCCAAGTCGTGCTTCTCTCCCACGACGGGGGACTCTTCTCCCTCGAGTCCCTCCTTGGTATCTTGAGCTTTGTCCCGGACGTCTGAAGAGCGTGTGGTGACCATGATTGCGCTGCTTATGTTTTGGTAGATTATTGATGGGTACCAAGCGACTGGCATTTGTGTGCAAGAAGGAAGTTGTAGGAAACTGAGGGTTCTCAAGGAAATCTGAGGTCAATGCACCACAGGAAGTTACAGGAGGGTGACCTCAGAGGCTGAGATTAGGAAAGTGCTAAATGGTGATGTCATGCAATACGGAACCTGGAGATGCGAACCCTTGGGCGCTGCCAAGGCATTTCTCTCACCGACCTTCACCTGGTTGTATCATGTTCCATACCTTTTCGGGCCCTCTCTTTCTGTTAGGTATACGCAAATTGCCAGGCAAGTATTCATAATCGGAACTCGACATGTCATCCCGAGACGGGCCTGGCTCCAAGCCCCAGTGGCTGTCCAGAACAATACCAGTCCTAGAGTGACTATACTGCCTCGTGTCGCCGGGCATGCCAGCATGATGCTGGTCAAGAGCATCCATGCTCCCACGTATCGCATGTGTTTTGGGACGTCATCTTGAAACGGAACAATAGGGTACAGAAATGGCGCCGTCAGCCTGGACTTGCGATAGGTACGTGCATGTAATAGTGGGAGAGCGTTTGTAAGTCTTGCGATTGCGGCCACGGCAAATTCGACAATCAGGATGTAGGACGGTATGTGAATGAGGATTCCCATCTCGTGTCAGAAACGCCGGCTTGCTTAGGTTTTGGTTTATGGTCGAAAAAAAAACAATGCGAGGATTTGGAGTGGACTCGTATAAGATTAGAGTCCCCCCTTTCTCATCATGTTGATGACAGTCGGATTCTTCAGGGAAGCAGAACCCGTGAAGAATCGAAGTGGTGACAGCAAAGCTGAGGCTGTGTCACAGAATGACGTCACTGAATCCGACGATCATCTAAGAATACACTGAAGCTGGCCCACTTTAATTTGCGTAAATTAACAGCCAGCCTTACGTTAGTATTAGTACTACCACCCGGACCCGTTTTTCAGTATTTAGCGGTGTTTTTCGGTGGACTTATGTACACAGTATGTAGCTGTACAATCTGTAAATCTGTCTACTTCCAAAACGTATGTGTTTTTAGCCCGTTTTTCGTATCTTTAGTAACAAAGTCAGTGTGAATCGCCCGTAAATCTAACGTATAGACTGTGCTTCTATGTACTGTACCCTTTTTCCCTAATAGAAAAAAAAATACATAAAAAATACATAAAAATAAATAAAAAATAGAATAAAATAGATAACAAATAGATAACTAAATTAGAGAATATATTAGAAAGATTAAAATAAAACTATAATAGAAAAGTAGAATAAAGTATAATTAGAACTAAGTCTAAAGAACTAATATAAATAATATAAACTATTAGAATAAACTTAGTATAAATATAATAAATAAAATAGATAAGATATAATAAAATAAAGATAAAGAATAGTATATACTTTCTTAAATATATAAAGAAGGTATATCTTAAGTATAATATAAAAAAGCGCTTGATAATAGACTAATTATAAATTTAATATTTAGAGTATATTACTATATTCTACGCTAATTATACTATTTCTAGTAGAATAAAAATAAAATTAAATATAAGTAGAATTTTGTCTAGAAAACTAATAAAAAGATTATTATTATAATTATCCATCTTACTCCGCTATCCTATCTAATCTATAGGAGCCTATTTAGACTATATAGTCTTTCTCGGGTAGCTATAAAGGAGAATACCCGGGTAAATTCTAGGAAAAACCTTTATATACTTCCGTACTAATAAAAGGTATAAGTTCTATTAGAATAAAGTGAATATAAAATAAAATAGAGTAAGGAAATGGATAAGTAAAGGTTAATAACGATAAATCTAAAAAGAACTTAAATATATATCTTCGTAAAAAGTATTTATAGATAATATACTCTATTAAAAGTATAAAAGAAAGAGTAATTTAGATATATAAGGAGCTAAAGAAGAACAAACGATATTAAAAAGTACTTAGATAAAGATAAAGCTAAACTTAAAAGCTATTTTAGTATTATTAAATTATACTTTTATTAGTACTTAAGTATAAAACTATATAAATAAAATATTATATAATACTATTTCTATTATATAATACTCTTTATATTATATCTAAGGTATAATCTCTTTAAATACTTAAAGAAGTATATATATCTATAGGCTTAATAATATAGGAAGTCTTCAATATTTTATATTTTAAAATATTTTAGAAATTATTAGTAATAAGTAGCCTTTATCTATATAATAATAAGACTTATTTATATTAGTTAGTATATATATTTATATAATATAGTTAGATAGTCGGATTATACTAGACACTACGGGGTATAATAACAGTTAATTATTTAAGGCCTTTATTCTATATATAGAGCAGGTTTGATAGGGGGAAAATAGAAAGCTGCTTTATCGTGATAATAAAAAACGTAATAAAACGCGTTATTCTAGCGTGGAAAATAGTAAATAGTAGTAAAATAAAAGAATACGGACGTTTCACGGTTATTTAGTGGTTATAGGGCAGGTTATATAATAAGTTCCCCCCCCATGAATAGCGGGATAGCCCCCCGCAGGGGCGAGTATTAAGGGCTTGCCGTAGGCAAGCAACTAAGCTCGTCTATATATATACTAACGCTGGCCCGCTTTAATTTACAGATAAAACTCTTGGCAGCCTGTGTTATTCGCAGCAGTACTACCGCCCGGCCCTTTTACGGCGTTTTTGCAGTGTTTTTCGTGAGACATGCCTCTATAGTATAGTTGTACAATAGCAAATCTATTAGTACTTTCGTTTTATATGGGTTTTATAGTAGGTTCCGTTATAATTAATTGAGGGATCTTAGTGCGAATTCCCTGTGAACTTGACTTTAGACTGTGCTGCTATGTACTATGTCCCCTGATAGGGTAAAAAATAGGATAAAAAGTAGGATAAAAATAGGATATAAAATAGGATAAAAATAAAATAAAATATTAAAATAGAGGATAAGAAATAAAATAAAATAATAGGATAAAGAATAAGATGTACAGTAAGATAGAAATAGAATATAAAATAGAAGAAGAAGTATAATAAAACCTTAGATAGGAAGTAGGATAAAAAGAGGATATAAAATAAAATATAAAATATAATAAGGTAGGCTAAAAGTAGAATAAAACATACACTAAGAAACTATAGAAAGAAAATTAATACAAGAAAATAGGCTAAGAATAATAGATAATATAAAGTAGAATAAAGTTAGAAGTAACCGATAAGATAAAGATAAATATATAAAAGATAATAGATAAGATAAGATATATTATATAAATAGAAATTATAAGAAATAGCTTAATATATATTTAGTGCTATAAAATAAGTAGAATATAGTATATAGTACTATAATAAGGATAGATTAGATATTATTTAATTATAGAAAATAAGATACTTAATAAGAAATAGTATACTATATAAAGTAAAAAGTAAAAGAGAGATAATAGAATAATATATAAATATGAAAAATATAATAAATAATATACTAAAGAATAAAATATAGTATTAATATAAGAAAATAAAATATTATAAGTATAGAATATAAGAATTATACTCTAAGCTTTAGGTAAACAAAAGTTAATACATATATAATATAAGTGTAATCTAAAGTAGTTATAGAGAATAAGGTTATATAAAGTTATAAAGTCAGAATATAATTACAATAAAATAAAATACTAGTACTAGATAAGATAAAGTTAGTATATAAGATAAAGTAAAATAAGATAAAACTAAAAAGTAATTAAAGGTATATATACTATTAGGAAGTAGTTATAGATAAAATGCTTTAATCAAAGTATAAAATAAAGAAGGATTTATATATATAAGGAGCTAAAGGAGAATAGACTATAATAAGAACTTAAATATAAATAAAACTAAAGTTAAAGCTGTTTTAGTACTACTATATTTTATCACTATATTATAAAAACTATATTAATAAAGTATAATATTATTTTAATTCCATCATATAACGCTCTTTTTATATTATATATAAGGTATAATTTCTTTATAAACTTAAGAAAGTATAATATATCTATTTAGTTATAAGTGTATTTCTATTATAGATCTTCGTAGTTTTATAGCTTTAACCTATTTTAGAAACTATTAGAAATAAACAACGTTTACCTATAAGTAATAATACTTATATATATTACTTAGTATATTCATATATATAATATAGTTAGATAATCGAGTTATATATATAGCCCCTTACAGGGGCGAGCGTAATAGCCTTACCTATAAGATAAGCTATTAATTAGTATTAACGCATTTATAGCAGGTATAGCGATTATTTATGTCTATTACTTACTTAACGACGATACTATTTATGGCTAGGAGATAGTAGGAGAGGAATATAGAGGGATAAAAGAAGCTAATACTAACGACTATAAACAGGAATAGACCCTTAAGTACGAGGTATAAAGCGCGATTAATATAACAACAAACAGTTTTTTACGATATTAAAAAAAAATAAAAAAATATCGTTATAGCGTAGAAGAAACAAACAAATAGCTATAGAAAATAAAAAGCAGGCGTTTTATAGTTATTTTCGGATATCCACGGTTATTTAGTAGTATAGAGTAGGTTATATAATTAGCCCCGGCCCCCCCCCCCCCTTTAGGTGGGGGGGAGGGGCGAGCTTAGCGGCGTTGCCCGTAGGGCAACCTGCTAAGCTCGTGATTCTCGTGCACGTAAACTCAGGTAACCTTGGGGAACCTTAGGGGGAGTATTATAAGAAGCATTCTAATCCCAAGTTACGACTTGCTCAATATCAGGTATTTTTACCTGCACCCAACGTGTTTACATTATTCTCCAATCGTGTTTCTCAAACGTATAGTAGAAACAAGACCTGAGGTGCAATAGTGTATGGTCACGTGATCGCTTACTCACGTTGACCCCGCCAAACCATTGTTATGACCTACCTCCGACCAACCCGGCGTGTGGTGGTACTTACTGACGGACAGCATGACCCCGCCCCCATTTGTGAACTTTGAGGCTTGAGCCTCCTAATAAACTTCGCAGTGCTCCATCCGCTCGACTTCTCTTTCACCCATGCTCCAATTTATTCGCCCGACGTTATTCCACACCAAACGTCAATTCTTCACCACTTGCCGTTCATTGGCGTCCCAGTCCATCATCCCACCACCTCTCTCTCCAAAGTCTCCGTCCCATCGCAGAACCATGGCGTCAGCCGCCGCGTCCGCAGTGGCTCTAGTTGAAGCGGCTAAGAAGGCCGCCGCAGCTCGCGCAGTAGCCAACCACTTGCTTCCCAGCCACCGTCACGTCGGCATCGGCTCCGGCAGCACCGTCGTGCATGTCGTCGACGCCATCGCCGCCCAGGGCCCGTCCTTCTGGGGGAACATGACTTTCTACCCAACGGGGAGCCAGAGCAAAGGTCTCATCCGCGCCGTGGGGCTGCGCCTTTGCCACCTGGACGAGCGGCCGGTTGTCCCGGAGACGGGCCGGCTCGTGGAGCTGGACGTCGCTTTCGATGGGGCCGATGAGGTCGACGATGAGCTTAACTGCATCAAGGGAGGTGGCGCGTGTCTTCTCCAAGAGAAACTGGTTGCCGTGGCGGCAAAGAAATTTGTTGTCGTTGCTGGTACGAATAACAAACCCCTTTTTGCCCCTTGATTTCCTCGGCTCTCACATTTGGGTAGAAGTTGGATTGTGCAAGAAACCTGCTGACAAATGGCTAGACTACCGTAAACTATCACCACGTCTCTGCACCAAGTGGAAAGCCATTCCCATTGAAGTCCTTCCCATGGCCGCCCCAGATGTAGTCGACCGTCTAACGGCCTTGGGCGCCCTGCAGCCTACCGTTCGCCCTGGCACCCCAGGAAAGGCGGGTGAAGTCGTCACTGACAACGGCATGTGGATTATCGATGCCCCCTTTCCCCCTCTTCTGCTCGACAAAGAGCTGGCATCGGCAGGCATTACCACCGGCCGAGATGCTGGCGGGAACTGGGGCGTCAGCGCGCTGGCGGACGAGCTCCTACGGATTCCCGGTATTGTCGAAGTGGGGTTGTTCTACGGACTCGACGGAGCGCAGGCCGCAACTCTGGGCAAGTCGGGTCTAGCACAGAAACCTGTTGCTGCCTACTTTGGAATGGAAGATGGAAGTGTCCAGACTAAGGTGGTCGAGTAAGAATACGTTCGTGTAACTGGGATGAGCCATGAGATGTTTACAAAAAGGCCGCAGCAAAGAGTCAACGGTTGACTAATTAGAAGTATTACATAGAGTTCCTCGATATATACGCGGGGGCAAGCGTTCAGGGGAAGACTGTCAAGTTGTTAGGGACTTCCCAGTTCAGTTACCCTGCCTACCGATTAGGGGCTGACAATAACTTCACCCCATTCTTAGTGATGCTTCATCACATTGATCTCACCCTTTATTCAACATACCTATTGTTTTCTTTCCCCCATTCACCCATTCAATTTTCTTTTTGCTAATGGTGATACTCTTTGGAATATCCTTCTTACGATCTTTGCCCAACTTCCCGTCTAATTTTGAGTATCGTATATCCACCCACCAACACACGAAAATCGAGAGTCTCTACAGCACCACAAGAACTCCATCCCGAACTCGGAACTGATATGTGCTGGCGATGCTTCGACTCATAGCCTACCTCCTCCTCCTCCTAGCTGGACCATCCGCAGCCATGATGGCCGCCTGGCTTACGGATATGGGGCCACAGGTGGTCATCCAAAACCAGTCTTCCGGTGCTCTCCAATACAATTATTGCAGCAACAATACTGTCGAGCTGAACTTCCCCTCCAACTCACCTCTCGAGTTAAACACGAACCCGGCTCCGAAGCCAGGTACAAGTGTCGCTGGTGTCGGCTGGTTCGACGCTGTCACAACCTGGGTACGTTCTATTCCCACCCCTTCCCTCGACAGACGCCTGACTTTCCATACTTTCAGGCGTGCCTCTGGTATCAGGATAATGCCAATAGGCTTGTCTATGCCCGGTATGGGTGCAATCTCACCACAAGTGAATTCGACCTCCACGAGTCTGAAGTTCTCACCGAGTCTCCCGTGGCATTCCCCGCGGGCATAAGCCTTCATAACGAAACCGGCTTAACCGCCGAGCTCCTAGGGGCAGAGGAGGGTATCCGAGTCTACTTCCACGACAAGGACTCGTTCATTCACGAGCTGTCTTTTCAGAACCCCACTGGTTGGCGCTACGGCGGTTACGTTTCTTCGCAACCGGCAACCGGCCTCTCCCTCACGTCCTCTGTGTCAGGTGAGGGGGAAATTACCATCGTATCGCCCAAGGGCAGTGATTCGTTTGACGTGTTCATAAACCAAGGCGACGCCCCCGGAGTTTGGCAGTCCGGTGAGATTGCTTCACTCTCCTCCCCAGCCGTGACATCAAGCAGCCGCTAACGGTCATTCAGCTCTATCTTTGCAGGAAGAAGACGTGCTACCTACCTGGCCAGGCAACACAACTTCAGTCGCCCTCGCTGTAGATGCGGAATCCAAACGCTCTCTCTTCTACATCGGGACCGATTCGCTCCTCCACCAAATCACCTCTTCTTCGGGCGATCCAACGACGTGGACACTTGAGCCCCAACAGCCGGAATCGGTTTGGCCGAGAGCTTACACTCGGTCTGCTGACCTTGTACTCGCCTCTCTTCGCGGCACAGATTCCACCCGGCTGTATTATCAGAACTCGGTGGATGAATGGTCCGAGGTTCACTTTGACGGCGAAAACTGGGTTTCGGCGACCAAGATACGCCATGCCACCCTCCCCTCCGAGTCCGCGACTCCCGCTATCGTCCCTGAGCCAGAGACGAAAGGAAACACCTCCGAAGATCGCGAATTGGACAACGAATCGGACAACGAATCGGACAACGAATCGGACAACGAATCTGGTTTGTCTGCTTCTAAGAAAGCAGCCATCGGTGCCTCGGTCAGTATAGTGGCGGTGGTCCTTCTATCAGCCGGTGCAATTGTCCTCTGCCGCCACAGACGAGCACGACAGAAAGGCCGAGGGCGTGGGTCCCGCCGCACGTTTCGCAGCCCGGTATTCCCGCATGTGCGTCCGTATAGCGAGTTTGGGACCTTGACTTGGGATGAAGAGAACCCAGAGGAGCCTAAACAGGGCCGCAAGCGGGCATGGAGTTGTTGAGCCATTCACACAGCACGGTCGGTCTTCCTTGGTTGAGTGAAAAATGATGGAAGATGGGAATTCCTCATTTCCTTTCGATAGGATTTGCATGATTATGGTGGTTCTGGTCTCCTACTGGGTGGAGTGGAGTTGAGGAGACGTGCATAAGGTAGTTAGTGAAGCGGTTTTCAACTGACCTCGGAGACTGAAGAGACAAAGCAAATGAGGAGGAGCGAGTGATCAAGGGATGTTTTGAGCCTGGGCCTACTTACGCTCGATTGGACACTGGAATCACGACGGCACTGTGTGCTTAGTGGCTTTTTAGGGCTGCCGAGGCGGAAGAGTTCAACTGAAACTGCACCTTGGGTCACTGTATACAGTGCGTCAAACATTGTGCTTATTCTCAATATATTCTCCAGTTTTATCAGTGCGCATTCGCCTTTGACGGTCTCATCGTAAACTCAGTCAATTATAATATCAACAGCACGGAGCCCATGGCTGAAACACCGCATCCCCGGTCCATCCTTCGTGGCCATGGCGCCCAAGTACATGCCTTGGCCTTCGTCAGGAACAACAGCCGCTTAGCAAGCGGCGATGCAGTTGGCTTCGTCGTCCTCTGGGATCTCACCACACTTCGCCCAACAGTGGTATGGCGGCCGCACGAGAATGCCATACTTGGGATCCAGGGCTGGGGAGAAGATTGCATTATTACGTGAGACAACTTTTCTCCCTTACTGCTTGCTTCAGGGCACGGTGGTCCTAGATGAGTTCGTTGACTACTCACGCTGCTTGCGGTTGCAGACACGGACGCGACCATAAACTCGCTGTATGGAAGATCAGTTCCGAAAACGAGGCCGGCCTCAGCAGGGCGCTACCACTTGACAGCAATGCCCCGCCCCGACCTCAGCCCTGGCTCTTGCATCTTATCGAAGTGAACACTATGAACTTTTGCACCTTTGCTTCATGTCCACCTTTGGAGTCGACGGCACAGAGCAGCGAGCCGGAATTGCTCGTTGCGGTTCCGAACACCCTCGCCTCCGAATCTGTCAGTCTGTCCCAATCGCCTTCAATAATTTTCTACACTAGGCATCCAGACTTATCCGGCATCCTGTGACTCATCGAACTAACTCCGGCCTCATCGGGACTCTAGATTGATATATTCCATCTGCCATCCCAAACCCGCCGGGATACGGTCAAGAGCCCTGGGACAAATGGCATGGTCATGGCCTTGGCCCTGCTGCACGCTTACGATCGCCTAACTCTCGTAGCCGGCTATGAGAATGGTGTTGCGGCTGTCATGCAGCTGTCCAGTGATAGCAGCAGCGATAACGGCATTTGGACCGTTACCTACAAAGCCAAGGCTCATTCTGAACCCATCCTCTCTCTGGATGTCGCCCCGGACCATTCTTACTTCCTCACCTCGGCCGCCGATGCCATCGTTGCCAAGCACCCGGTACTCACTGCAAGTGCAGCCCAGACTAGTGCTCCGGCGTCCTCGGCAACAGCTACGGCTCATGATTATCCGATCAAAGTGACTAATACCAAGCATGCGGGCCAGCAAGGCCTCCGTCTCCGTGACGATGGCCGCATATTCGCCACTGGCGGCTGGGATGCTATGGTCCGCGTCTACTCGAGTAAGACTCTCAAGGAAGTTGCCGTTCTAAAGTGGCATCAGGTAGGCTGCTATGCAGTCGCTTTTGCCAACATCCTGTCATCTTCCGCCTCGTCGGCGCCTTTGCCTGGTGCCTCTGCTGAGAAGGAAGGGCCCGGCCAGGATGTGGGACCACGGACCGGCGAGCTCAGCGTTAAGGATAGACGCATTCAACACGCCAAAACAGCTCACTGGCTGGCAGCCGGTAGCAAGGACGGCAAAATCTCGCTCTGGGACGTATTCTGATTCTTTCGTCATTACACAAATAATCGTCAGTTACAACACAACCACCCCTCTGTCATTGGCACTGGCGACAAGAACGGCCCATGGCATGTTCTATTGCAACGCCTCAACCTACCGAACCAACAAATATCAAGTCTTTGCCCTTCATGGAACAAATCCAGTTGCGTTGCTGCGAAGGTTACGACGGTAATACGATAATCCCGCCGGCAAAGCAACCCAGGAAGGGAAAATCAAGCCCAAAGAAGACAGAGCATACCGGGGAAGTCGCTTGGGAACTCCGCGGAAGCATAACACGCCCAATCCCTCAAACACCAGGACCTGGTTTGATGGAGCGGATCCGCGGCAGCTGCACCACCCACTCCAACTCAGCTTCTGACACGCATCTGGATGGGCGACAGGCTGGAATGGTGTCGTGGTGGCATCTCACGGAATATAATCCTGGCCCTTCACAAAAATAAAGCCTACCGCATCTATATTGCGACGGCTAGGACTCAACAACTATACTCCGGAAGATCAACTCGTACATACAACAGACTACGAGCCAGCTTGCGCGCTGTTAAGGTTAAGAAACAGATTTAGCAACCAAGACGACAGACAGGTCGTTACGTAAGGTAGACAGCCAATGGGTGACTCACTATTTCGTACAAACATCGCCGCCGGTTGGATGACAAATAGCGTAAAAATTCGGGGAGGTCAATGTGGGGCTTCTGTATCTTATTATCTTATCAGCTTATCAACTTATCACACATTGCCTCGATCTTATCGTTCAAAATTTCCTATACCCCGCCGTCCTTGTTCCCCAAGTACTCCGTAATTACAGTTTGTACCGTTGCTCGCAACACCAAATTCTTCCATCAACGGTCGCTTCATTCGATTTTTTCTTCTTTTTTTTTGGCGTGGCTCTTTCGCCGGACTACGCGCCTGTACCTATTTTTTCCACAGACACACCATATTTCCAGCTCATCAGGCTCAGTGTCAGGCCCTTTAACAGCCATCACCATGGATGTTCGGCCGACGACCGCTGCGACAGTGCTCTGTCACAACTGCGGGGCTCCCATCGATGGCTCACTGGGCACTCTCTGCGGAGAATGTGTTCGGTTAACCCACGACATCAGTCAAGGTGTTCCGAGAGAAGCCGGTCTCGTCTTCTGTCGTGACTGCGACCGTTGGCTTCTTCCCCCCGCTACTTGGTAAGCAAGCCACCACCCCGCCTACCCACGTCCCCCTGCCCGGGATATCTTCCCACTGACGCTCCGGCTGCAGGATGGTTGCTGTGCCGGAATCTCGCGAACTCTTATCGATATGTCTCAAGAGGCTTCGAGGCCTATCTAAGGTCCGTGTTATTGACGCTGGGTTCATCTGGACCGAGCCCAACTCGAGGCGAATCAGGGTCAAGATCACAGTTCAGGATGAAGTCCAGACCGGCGTCCTTCTCCAGCAGTCTTTCGAGGTCATGTACGTCGTTTCAACGCAGCAGTGTCCGGATTGCAAAAAGTCTTATACCCACAACACGTGGAAAGCTTCCGTCCAGGTCCGGCAGAAAGTGAACCATAAGAGGACGTTCCTGAGTCTCGAACAACTGATCCTCAAACATGGCGCCCATCAAGATACACTGAACATCAAGGAGATGCACGAGGGATTGGATTTCTACTTCGCCGAGGTCAACAAGGCTATAAAATTCGTTGATTTCCTCACTTCGGTGGCCCCTGTGCGCATCAGGAAGTCACAGCAGCTAATTTCCCAGGTTTGTCGAGTTCCCCCTTCCCCCTTTTCAAAACCATACATACAGGGTGTAAAGCTGACCACCACCCAAAGGATGTGCACACGTCTACCAAGTCGGTCAAATTCTCCTTCGCCGCTGAGCTCGTGCCCATCTGCCGAGAGGATCTCGTTGCCCTACCGATCAAGCTTGCCAGGCAGCTCGGTAACATCTATCCCATAACCCTATGCCACAAAATTGGCACGTCGATCTACCTCGTCGACCCCAGTACGCTGCAGACAGCCGACGTCAGTTCCGCCATCTACTGGCGCGCACCATTCGCCGCGCTGGCGGACACGAGGCAACTGGTGGAATTCATCGTCATGGACATCGACCGGACAGGGCCGACGAAAGGGAAGTGGGCGCTAGCGGAAGCCACTGTTGCCAGGGCGGCCGACCTCGGCGTCAACAACACGACCTACTTCGTGCGGACGCACCTTGGCCATCTGCTGCAACCCGGAGACAGTGCGTTGGGCTACATGATCACGGGCACCAACTTCAACAATGCAGAGCTAGATGCGGTCGAGGAGTCGCACGCATACGGTTCCACGATACCGGACGTGATGCTTGTGAAGAAACATTATCCCAACAGGAGGAAGAACCGTCGCCGAAATTGGAAGCTCAAGAGGATGAACAAAGAGGAAGGAGAGCTGCTCCCCAAGCAGAACATCCAGGACCGCTCGCAGGAGGAATACGAACAGTTCCTACGCGATGTGGAGGATGATGATGAGTTGAGAGCGAATATGGCGCTATACAGGGCGCAGCAAAAGAAGGCGGACCCTGATGCCATGAGTATCGCGGAGACGGAGGATGGGGATGACGATGCACCCAAGATCAGCGTGGATGAGCTCCTGGAAGACATGGATGAGCTGGAGATTCGGGATTAAGCGTTCACATATCATGAGCAAAACGGGGTCATGAGGGTTTTACGGCCTTTGGGGAATGAATAAAAATTGGTTCAATATGATGCAACGTTTGATTCTTCGACGTATATCTGCATACACAGGTTTCTGATTTGAGGCCTAAATTGTTTTTTCCCTTTCTCTCTCAGCAGGAGATAATTGGAGAAACGTAACGGCAAAAACCATAACATCTATGCTCGGAGGCTATGCTGTTACAATATGCTAGTCTAACAACCAACTCGCTATCCATGTCAGAATCAGAAAATCTTGCTCAGAACCCGCGTCACATGTTCCGGCTGCTCAATCTTGTCCGACCTCTTCGCCAACGAAGCCTGCTTGAACGTCATGGAACGTTTAGCCTCCCAAACCACTCCCCTCTCTGCCACAGCGTCTCCTTCACCCTCTCCCTTACCGGCTCCCACCTCCGCCGCCGCCGCCGCCGCCGACCCGGACCTCTTCCTCTTCTTCGCCTCCTTCGTGGCCCGAACACCATCCAAAAACTTGGCGCGCTCCACATTCCTCACAAACTCCTTGTTCTCGCGCGTATCTCTGGAAATCTCAGCACGCATCCTGCTCGCCCTCTCGGCGTCCTCGGCGGCAATCTGCTCCGTCAAGTGCCGCCACTTGAAGCCCTTGAGGTAGACCATGTTCCAGACGTCGTCGCAGTAGTACGACCCCTTCTTCCCGCCGATGGGCCGCGCGTTGAGCATGTCGCAGGTGAGCTTGGCGTCCTTCTTGGAGACGAACTCGACCCAGCCTTCGGTGAAGAGGCGCTTCTTGTTGCCGCCGGCCTTGACGCGGCGGGTCCGCGCGGCGGGGTCCTCCGGCGCGAGGAAGATGCGGTTGATCTCGCCGCAGGGGGTGAGGAGGCTGCGGAGCTTCTGCGGTTTCATGTAGGGCGGGATGCGGGAGAGGTAGATGACGCCGGACTGGCGCATGGCCTTTTCGGTTGCGAGGAGGTTCTTCTGCGATATGCCCTTGGTTTTCTTGGTCGCGGCGGAAGAGGAGGAGGGGGCTTTTTCTCTTGATTGCGAGGTGGAAGTGGTAGAGGTTGGGTCTAGGGCGTCGGCATCGGCATCGGCGTCTTTGCGATCGGTTCCCTCTTTCTGTTTCTCCTCCTCTTCCTCCTCGCTCAGGTCGGCTCCCTCATCGTCATCCTCATTCTGTTCTAGTATTCTTCTCCTCTTGGAGCTCCGGCCGCCCTTCCGAATGTCATCAGCGTCCGAGTCGTAGCCTTGGCCTTGCTCGTCCTCGCTGTCGTCTATTTCGAGAAACTCATTTCGCTTCTCGGGGGCCATTTTGAATAGTTTCCTCAAAATTCGTAGAGCCTACTATCTTCTTGGGTATTTGAGAATAGTATCGAAACACTTCATTAATATTCGGACAACTGTTCCTTGGGGTATATGTCGCATAGGCTTGGAGTGTGCTGTGCGAAGTTGCACTCTGTATGATTGTTCAGGATCGACTACCGGTTGGCAGATTCCATCAAATTTTTGGTGGGTCTCAGGAACATGAACGAAACTGTCAATAGATAAGATAAGGATGTTATCTTATCTAGCGGTTCTTATCTCCCGTCCAGTGAACTGATAGCGGGGTGCTCTTGCGTCTTCGTTTGCCCCTCAATCGGCCTCTGATGTCAAGTGAAACACCAACCTTCTTGTCAAGACTTGCCACTGCTTACTCATTTTACTCTCTACTGCTTGAAGATTTCTGTTTCTCCTGTCTAACGACTATTACACGCGAAGCTTTGTGTGTTTCTCAAGCATAGACATCGCATTTTCAGCATATAGCCGGCCAGAATGTCCGTCGAGGTCCTCACGACCATCTCACCCACGACAAACGAACCCATCCTCACCAGGAATGGCGTCTCACAAGCCGAGTTGGACGAGCTCCCAAATGTTGCAACCGAAGCCTTCCAGACCTGGCGCAAGACACCACTCGCCGATCGTCAGGGCATAGTCAGGAAAGCCTTGAGGCTTCTGGCCGATAAGAAGGATGACCTCGCCGAAGAACTTGCCGTGCAGATGGGCCGCCCCGTTGCGTATGGCGGGGCAGAGGTTCTGACAGCCATCAAGCGTGCCGACTACCTCCTCAAGGTCAGCGACGAGGCACTACAAGATACCGACGGCGAGCCGGAAAAGGGATTCAAGCGCTTTATCCGGAAAGTTCCTGTCGGGCCGGTCCTCGTCATCTTTGCTTGGAACGTGCGTGTCTCAAACCCGACTCTACATGCTAATGCTCTTTTCTCCGGTTGATGAATTCTCGAAGAAAGTATTGACTCACATCCCCTTTATTCCAGTATCCTTACCTTATCTTGGTCAACTCGCTCATTCCAGCGCTGTTGGCGGGGAACACGGTCATCCTGAAACCGTCGCCACAAACACCCACCGTCGTCGAGCGAGTAGCTGAGGTTTTCGCCGAAGCCGGCCTGCCCACTGGTGTGCTCCAGTACTTCCACGCCGGCTCGCCGACGCAGATCGAGACCATCGTGCGCAACCTGAAAGTCAAGCTGGTGGCGTTCACGGGCTCGGTAGCCGGTGGGCTGGCGGTGCAGAAAGCCGCGGCGGACCGGATCGTGCACGTAGGGCTCGAGTTGGGAGGGAAAGACCCTGCCTACGTGCGGGCGGACGTGGACGTCGCATGGGCGGCGGGCGAGATCGTCGACGGGGCCGTGTTCAACTCGGGCCAGAGCTGCTGCGCTATCGAGCGGGTGTACGTGGACGAAGCGATTCACGACGACTTTGTCGCGGCGGCGCAGGAGGTGCTGCGCGGCTACCGACTGGGCAGCCCGTTCGACAAGGCGACGCAGGTGGGGCCGGTGGTCTCGCGGCGGGCGCGGGAGGCGATCGAGGCGCAGATCAAAGACGCGCTGGAGCGGGGCGCCCAGGATGCCACGCCGGAGAGCGAGACATTCGCGAACCTGCCTCCCAAGGGTAACTTTGTCAAGCCTACGCTGCTGACGGGCGTGGACCACGGGATGGCGGTGATGCGGGAGGAGACGTTCGGGCCGGTGATCCCCGTGATGAAGGTGCGGGGGGATGCCGAGGCGGTGCGGCTCATGAACGACAGCGAGTTTGGACTTACGGCCAGTATCTGGACCAAGGATACGGAGAAAGGATATGAGCTGGCGGAGGAGGTCGAGGCCGGCACAGTTTTCGTCAATAGGGCAGATTATCCCAGCCCGGTGAGTAGAGTGTCCCTTGGTTCCCTTACCAGTCGCCCCGGCCCCATCACCGCTCGCGGGAATGAGGAAATTCGTTGGAATGAGAACTAACGTGGGATGTTTCTCTTAGGACCTCGCGTGGACCGGGTGGAAGAACTCGGGCAAGGGCCAGACCCTGAGCAAGTTTGGGTTTGACGCGTTCGTGAAGCTCAAGAGCTACCACTTGAAAGACTATCCGAAATAATCGTATAGACATGGGACATGATATTACGCACAGCTAGCTGATTAAACAATTACCCGAAGACGTACGAATAGAAGGACGGACAAGAATTCCGCCTCGAAGCCAGTCATTTGGATATGAATTCATTTGTTCAAAGGCAGAAATTCCAATGCCATGCCCATTGGCATGAGAGAAAGCAGGCCGAGTGGCGGGAGAACATCCACAGCAAGGGATAGAAGATAATTTCCACGTGGACACGAAACTGACGACGGCCGGGACCAACCTATGTTATTATTATTTGATTAGAACAAAGACATCTCGATCATCTCTCCAAAGTCTAGGGCGCTTCTCTGCAAGGGGGGAAGCTGTCAGATTGGGGGCTTGGTCAGACGGGCCAATGATGAGGGCCAAGTGGCACAGGATCGAGAGATGAGATATGAGATGAAACAGACCTTCCTTGCAAAGTATTCCTGGCCCTCTAATGACAAAGACGACGGGGCAAATGAATAGCCATGCGCATGGACAGCCAATAGGGCCAAAGGGCCACATGAGATCGTACGGCGGAGCTCCCGTTTCAGAAGAGGGGCGTTCCAGTGCGGACAAAACACGTAGTTGGCTCTCATCTCAGGGTTCGGAGATTTCGTCGTCTTATTCTTGTCCATGCAGTAATAAGGTATGCGTTGTCAATTTTCCAAGCGGCTGAAGGGAGAATGCAACCTACCAGACGCGCCTCGCAGACTGCACTAATACCTTATCGTACTAGCATCTTGCCAGGGCGCTTGTTTCGCTACCCCTGGTTCCTGATCGACTGGAATGAGCGAATGAGAAATACCGCTGAGACACGCGGCGAGGAAGACCGCAGAAGAAAATAGTGGCAGAGCACCATCATTCAAACACAAGCTCATGTGTCGTGTGTTTGGATCACCCCGAAAGGGATAAGTTCCAGTCGCATCAGACGCTTGGACGATTTCCCCCCGTTGTCCGGAGACAGGCAGAGGAGAAAGGATAAGGTACCTTGGGCGGACGATGCGGACGCTGGTTGGTGGTTACTTTAGGTATTCGTACATTCTTTCTGTGGTTCCGCTTCGGGTTGGAATGCAGGGCGCGTGGAACGCATTGGTCTCGGCCGCAGGAATCTTGCGACATTTCCACGACCAGTTGAAAGCGTTCCAATGCTGAGATTGAGACTGTAGGGAGAAGTTCCTGGCGGTTCATGCTTCAAGGCCCATGTGGATGTGTAAGGTACCTTACCTTATGTGTAGGTATATCAACCATCGTCTACCCCGTTCGATCATCTTGATGTTCCTCTCTACCGCCCAGCGCCCAACTCCTCCGCCCACTGGATCTCTCTTTTCATCTCCCAACACAGTCACTCGTTACTTTTCTGGGCAATAAAACCCAACAAAGGGATTTTGAATTTGAGCAAACGGAGAAAACCAAAAGTCATTCTTTAAAAGAAGAAAAAAAGAAACAAAACAAAAACCTCCTCCTTTCATTCAATCGCCCGTTTGTAGCGGCCCGGACCCCAACATCCGATCATCAGCGGACCTCAACTCCACAGCCCCGGAGCACCCGACTCTCACTCACTCACGGTTCACCGATCGACCGACTTGGGGCCCTTGACCTTGAACATCAAGGCAGTGTTACGGTACACAACACAACCGTCCAGAAAAAAAGGAAAGAAAAAAGTCCAACAACTGCGAAAAGGAAACGGGTAGTCCAAAAACCCAGGGACAAAATAAACGGTCACCTCGCTCCATTCGAAGGATCTCTTCCCGCAGCGCCGCTCCCGAACACATCGCACCAACCAACCAACCAACCACCATCGTCCTATATTCTCGTTGCCCTTTCATACTTTGCAGTACTTAACCAAAACCGCCGACCCGCTTTCGTCCCCCTCGGAGGAAGCGACAGCCGTCGGAACATCACAACACTGCAAAGCTCACCAAGCGCCGTTCGCCTTGGCCGGTCCCCCGTCTCCCTAACCTTTTCGTCTCTCATCTTCAGCGGCACAGCTACTAGCTATATCTCACCTCTTCGCCCTATCCGCCACAACGAGCTCCACCAGTTGACCTCGTCTCTTTTTTTCCTTTTTTTCTTCCCCATTTTCTTTTCTTACCCGTGGCAAAGCATCGCAGGGCCGAAGCTCACACACCATCTTCGCTTCCCCTCACACCCTTTTCCTCTCCCGCTCTCCCACCATCAGACGCAGGACGGACGAATTACAGTAGTGTGTTGACGACTCCCATCATCGGTCATCCTCTATGCCGTGTTTGACAAGGCCACTCAGACGCACTGTCAAGATGCAGCTCGACCACAGCTTTCGCAACATCTACTCGCGGGTATACCGCATCATGGGTAAGGAGAAGAAGCAAGACACAAAACGGATCGAGATTGTAAGTTGAGACCCGTGCCTTGCGAATGACGGAACCCTAGAACTAACCCGTTCGTCTCCAGTCAGCACCATTCAATTTCCAGCATGTCAACGCCACACTAGCCGGTATCAGCCCTGAGCAGTAAGTGCTCCCACCCCCCACGCGTTGTGTCATGTCATTTTACTTACAAGGCAATCCCAGGGTCTCCGTCTTGAGGGAACAAGCAGCCGCCAGCCGCATCGGCATCGCGGACCCAGACCCGACAGAACTCGGCTACGCCCACGACGAAGGGTTCGACTCGGACGCCAGCTCGTCCTACTCCCCTCGCTACCGGTCATCCTCCGCCGCCGCCCTGGCCCGCACCTCGATGCTTCCCGAGTTGGAAGACTACGCCTACTACTACAACCGCCGGAGGGCGACCTCCGTTTCCTCCCCGAGGCGGTACACGAGGGGTCCCGGGTCGGTCTCCTCTACGTCGTCTAGGCGGTCCACCGTGTCGCGCCAGTCGGTTCGCCCCGGTTCACCCCTTTTGCCAGCTTCGGCTTCCACTTCGGCATCCCCGCGGCGGCGAACCGGTGTCCGGCAATCCGTTGGGCCAGGGCCCCTTCTGGGGATGTACGCCGCCGCTTCGAACCGGATCTAGATCTAGTTTCGGAGGCTTCGCTTCGACTGAGACACTTGACGTGTTTGTATGATATGATGTTAACTTGATACACTGATGGAAAGCGCCGGAGCAGGATTGGGACGGACGGGACGGGACGGTTCTGGGGATGGTTTTGGGTTTCACGCAGCAAAAGTCATGTGCTTGAAGGGAAATCAGAGGACACACAGGGCGCTGGCGTTTGGATGGCAAATAGGGGATACTATAGACTGCGGGAGAGAGCATCGGGTTTCTGGCGTTGCTTTTGATTTCGCATTTGGAGTCTGGGCATGCATAGATAAATAGGCGTTACTTAGACATGGGCAGGGCCCCGGGATGACCAGCAAGGCGCAGGCCAGGCGCGAGGTCGAGGTCGTGAACCCGCCGCACACGGCCACCGCCAAGTAATAATACAATTTGAAAGCGTTTGAGTTTCTCGAGTGCCAGCCCGGACGGCTTGAAGGTGGCCTGCGAAGGTTAAATGCTCCACGATCTTGGTCCAGAAACCCAGCGCAAAGTTCGACATCATGCAGTGCGTCGACAAACAGACAGTATGACATTGTCTTGGCCAAAGCCATCCAGGATTTAAGTAGTGTCGTCAGAACGGCCTCGGTAACGAGGGAGCCTGGCGAGAGAGCGATTGAAAAAGCAGCTTCGTACCCTGGTATTGCAATACCGTCCGACAATTTCAGATCATACGGTCCCTCCGGAGTTGATGAAGAGAGGAGGGGGCTCGACTGTACAATCCTGTGGCCCATTTGGCGCTTCGGCCAGCGCTTTGACGGGGTTGCCCTGGTGGCTTGTTGCTGTTCTGACGTCCCAATGGAGATGCTGGCAATCTGCAGTCGGGTTTCGGTGCTCATCACTACTCGGCACTTCGGCCGGTCCATATCTGTTCTGCATCCTTCCAGAAGTAGTAGACTGCTGAGTTCAAGTGCAAAATAAAATAGGGATCCTATAAAATACGGTACGGAGATGTGACTGAAGTTGGATGAACAATATCTGCCTCGATGACTAAGAGACAGATCGCGGCCAGTGGGTCGCAAGTACAGTACCTATTTCGGCAGATCGACACCGACAATGGTCGCATGGGAGGAACCGCCCCGAGATCCATTCGTCATGCTTCACATGCCGTCATATCCCGTATATTTCTTCCTCCATCCCTCACCACGTGCCAAATTACGTTACAGAGTAAGGTAATTACCTACTCCCACTTCGCAATTACCTAGTGCATAGTCCCTGAAATCCGGGTGACAAGAATGCCGTTATGCTAGCGTGAAGTGCCGGCCACGGGTCGCAACGGCGGGTGTTTACAACGATGAAAGAGAGCGAAATGAAGCCATACCCCATGTGCTATGCCAATTATCGTGATCGACAAAACAAACTCGGAGTCGACAAGAGTTGGGGCCCCAGAAAACAAAACCGATCGATCTTGATGGCGGACGGGGAAAGGGACGGGGACCGGAAGGGCCGGCAACTCATGGGGGGCGAAATAAACCAAGCGGACGTCGGGAAAACCTAGAATGCCGCTCCGTTGTCTCCGTTGTCTCCGTCTTCTCCGTTTACTCCGGTGACTAATATTGATATTCGGGCATGAGCATACATAATAATACTCCGTATTCACAAGAAGTGTCGCGGTTTATTTTCGTGGTGCCGTGTCGGGGTCCATGTGACTCTCTGTGACTCTACAACGTACTGAGCGTGGGAGGGAGGAGTGGGGCCTTCTGAAGAGGATTGGTAAGCCCCAAATTTCCAGGGCGGACGTGTAAGTACCTATACCTACGGTGTTATGGCACTGGTCGCGAGGCCTCGGTCTGTTTGTTAGAGGAAGATTATGCGTGTGAATTCAACATCTCAAGCACTTCATGACCAGACCCTGATATCTGGGTTCAAGCCAACGGATTTGATTGCAAGAGCCGCCTCAGGAGGGCACACACATTACCGTTGTATGCCCTCTGGACCGGGGACTTCGTGATTTATGCCCCCGGCAAGGAGAGAACGGCACGATAAATTACGGGCGGCGTGTCGCTCGGACCTAGCGAACCTTCGAGAAGCTCGCGCAGAGATTGTCAATCTGGAATCGTGTAATCGGCGATACCTACTTAATCTCTCGTGTGGGTTCTATTTCTGACTTGTGTTGACGACAGTACGGGGTAGGTAGCATGGTAGACCTCGGTTGAATATCTGGAGTTCAAAGGATCTGCCGATTGTCACGTCGCGATGTGCAGAGTAGGAAGTATCTCAATAAGAGGAAGCACCTCCAGCGAGGGAGCCAAAATTTTGGTAACCGGCTCCAAGAGCACGGTACCGATACTGGCTGGGGTTGTCTCCTTTGCTCCATTCCGGCATCCTTCCCACTGACAGTCACTGATAGCCCATTGGTCCGGTCTACTTCCCAGCCCGACGGGTGGGTTTCGGCCAGGCTAGAGCCCCTCAGCCAACGTCACAGGATGCAACACCATTCCCTACCAGGAATGGCGTGGCCGTTCGGCAGCTGCTCCCCGGCATTTTAGATGGGGACCGTCGCGTGAATTCCCTATGCGGGTGTGCCATCCCAGTTATGGTCATAGCCTACAGTCGGACGGATACAACGTACGAGTTTGACGTCGTCATCCATCTGACTCCCCATTGTAGCCTAGCATTGCTAGAGCCAGGTACCTATCCGTACTGAGAACCTTAACACCGAGCTGCCTCGGGTTGGATGACAGGACAGCGGGGTAGGTAATTGATAAGAAGAGGTGCAGTAATTGCGCGGTACCAGTACCGTGGAGGGGCCACGCTGCTGATGACACGCGGGGCAGCTTGATGAAGGAACGCTTTAACGCAGCCACTCTTGTTTTGCATATGGCATCGGGTCAAGTCGGGCCACGTCGCATGGGTTTGAAAAAGGCGCACAGTGATGAAGCTGGTAACGTGGTAGAGCTCGAGAAAAGAAAACGCATCGATGGTTACAACTCGCACATTTTGCCGATATTTATTTGTTTTGTTAGCCGTTCGTATCTCGGCTATTGGGAGCCGTAATCTGGAAAAGCAAAAGCAAAAGCGAAAAAGAAAAAAAAAAGAGAAAAAAAAAAGAGAAGAAGAAGAGGAAGAAGAAACAGATCGACTCGATGAAGGTACCAATTCACCTCGGAAAAAGCAAAGTCGAGTGGAGATGATTTGACTAATTAGAAAGAACTATGGAGTACTTGAAATGAGAGGAGTCTAATATGGAGGAAAAGGTACACGTACTTTAGTTTAATGTAGTGTTTAATTCGTACCTACTGACTGCGAGGGAAGTTCCGGGTCCACCCATGTATTGGTCTGTGACCTTTCCGGGTCCACGCAAAAAATTTCCCCTGGACCGGGAAGGAGCCCACCATGTACCACGAGTCAACGACTCGTTCCTTCCCTCCCGGGATCGATCCCGCTGCCTCGAGCCTTCCCTCTCTGAAGTTGTTGCTCATTCCTGCAGATATCTCCCCCCGAACATTTGCTTAGATTTTCTTTCTCCCTTCCATTGTTCATATCCCAGCATTTCCTCCACTTACCTTGCATTTCCCCTTCCCCTTTCCCCCCTTCTTTAGACTCATCACAGTCGTTCTTCCAACATAATCCGGTATCAATACCCTTTTTTCGAGATCGCGCGTTTGTTTGACGGCTTCGGGGCTGTCAGATGAACCTGCATTCGCTAATATTTCCCCCGTTCCCCGTAAGTCGCACCCACTCTTCCCTCGCATCTTATGATGATCGGGTGTCGTCAGATCATTTTGGCGGCGAAAACACACCACCTCTGGACTGTCCATTGTCGCCGTGCAATTCTCCCTTATCCACCTATTACAGACAACTGAGACTGACTATGTCCTCTCAGCCCCCTTCTCGTCCACCCGCCTAAATGCCCACCATCTTCTCCAACCTTCACCAGGCACTCTTCCGACAAGGAATTGCAAAGTCTCTAGGCCACGGTTACGCCCAGTCTCTCGTCGCTGTCACCCACCCGCATAACCTCAACGCCCAGAACCGACCTTCATTTGCCCGTCGCCACTCCACCCGCTTCGGCCGCTTCCAGTCTCTCCAACAGTTCCAGTCTGCCTTCAGCACCGACAAGACCGCCACCAACCTCTCGCTTGATCTTCGCAGCGAGAGGAATCTTGCCAAACATGGAGGGCTAGATGCCTACTTCGAGCACCTGCAGAAGAAGCAGGCTGCTGGCGAAGACGTAGAGAAGGAATGGACCCAGTTCGAGTTCCAGCGCCAGATCGAGTGGAAGCCGACTCCCGCTTCTGTCCTCACCAGCGATCTTGGCGGGCACCATGAGCTTCCGACAGAGAACAAGGCAGTCACCCAGGATGGAAGGGCGTCGCCGACCCCTTCGGCTGTTCCGACGGATGCCCAGGCTGCCCTGGCCCACATCGACGCCGCTCTTGAAAAGGAGCTCGAGGCGAGGAACTTTCAGCAGGCCTTGGAAGAGGCCCTCGAAGAGTCCCTTCGCTCTGGCACACCCATTGATCCCGTTGTTCTCTCTCGGACGCTGACGCCCGAAGCTGAACGATCTCGTAGCCCCGCCAACGTAGCCCGATCCGTCACCCCGCCTACTCTCGCCCGGCAGTCGCAGGCCTACGCCGATCATCTCCTCAAGCTTGCCGAGAATGGCCGCTGGGCGGAGATTCCGGCTGTGTTCGAGGCCATGTTGGTGGCTGGCGTCCGGCCTGCTGCCGGCGCATACAACGCGCTGCTCATGGCTCGGATCCAGCTTTGCGCCGACAGAAACGAGATCGTCACCAATATTCGCGATGTATACACCCACATGCTCCGCCAGAAGACCGCCCCCGACAGCGATACGTACAATATCCTCGTCGGCTTGCTCGCTTCGCGCTCTCTCGAGGTTGCCGCCTTGAAGAGGGATCTTGAGGCCAAGCGGGTCCGATTCGGCGGCATGGACGAACCTGGCAAGTTCATGCTCGCCTCGCACGAGTATGACTATGCCATCCTCTCCGAGGACGATCCCCTCGCCTGGGCCATGAAGATCTTCGAGAACTCGGTGTCCTCGTATCGCGCCGCCTACACGGCCGAGTCGTACACCCAGCTGATCACGGCCTGCGCCCGCGCTGGCCGTCCCTCCGACATGCTACGCCTCTACGAGCACATGGAGCTCAACCGGGTGACCCCCTACGCCGCCATCTTCCCCGCCATGATCACGTCATTCGCCGCCTGCGGTGATCTGATCAGCGCTGTGGAGTGCTACGACGAGTACCGCTCCCTCGCCATTACTCATGACAGCGGCGAGGAGTCCATCATGGACCGCCTGGACTCGGAAGTCTACGCAGCTGTCATCGGCGCCTATGTCATCTGTGACAAGGTGGAGGGTGCCATGAAGTTTTACGAGAAGATCGTCAATGAGTACGGCGCTCGTGCCGCCGACATCAAGGATGCCCTCATCAGCGCCGGCTTCGTCAAGGCTTTCGTCGACCGAGGCATCTTCCAAGACGCCCTGCAGTGGGCCCAGATCATCGAGGCGGCCAGCGACGCCCGGGTAACCGCCATGAACACCGTCGCCACTGGTGCCGCCGACCATGGCGATAAGCTCACGGCCATCGCTGCCTTTGCCAACGTCCCTACCGACGCTTCTCAGGTTGCCACCTCTGCCATGGCTTTGGTGGCCCTGAGTGTCCGGGAGGGCGATGTGGCCTCGGCTGCGAGGTACTGGCACGTTCTCGCTAGTCCCGATATGCAGGTTACGCCCGCTTTCATCGAGCCCACCGCCATGTTTGCCGTCGCCATGATCGGCTCCGGGCAGGTCGCCGAGGGCTTGGCGCAGTCCGAGGCCATGTTCCAGCGCATCCGCGCCGCGAGCCCGGACAGCGGTGACTGGATCGAGGAAGGCATCGAGTTCATCAACCGATACATGGTCTCCCGGGGCATTACCGATCCGCGCGAAATGGCCTCGCAGGTGTCCAGCGTGCCCCAGGCCTCGTTTGCCAACTCCCCGTTCACGCCGTCTGCCACTGTCTCTAGCTTTGAGGACACGTTCGACCCGTACGCGCACACCACCGATTTCAAGGGTTCGTCTATGATTTCGGACGAACTCGAGGGCAGCCATGGCCGTAAGGGTCCTCGTCTCAACGAGGCCCTGACACGGTTCCGGAACATGCGCCGCACTGGCCGTCATCCCCGGTACATCACCTACGCCAAGCTCATCTCAGCGGCAGCCCGTGAGAACAAGATGGATCTGTGCCATGAGATTCTGGCCATGGCTCGCACTGATGTGCCCCTACTGCCTCAGTATGCCATCGTCTGTTACGGCTGGTCCTCGATCCTCGACGCCATGGTCGGGGCCTGCCTGACCACGGGCGACCGCCATATGGCCGAGCAGTTCCACCAGGAACTTTTCGCCATGGGCTCGGCCCCTTCGGCCAACACTTTCGGTCTGTACATCACCACCCTAAAGGAGTCCACGAAGACCTTCGACGAAGCGACCGAGGCGGTCAAGATCTTCCACCGCGCCAAGGCTGAAGGAGTCGAGCCCAGCTCGTTCCTGTACAACGCGCTGATTGGCAAGCTCGGCAAGGCTCGCCGCATCGACGACTGCCTGTTCTACTTTGCCGAAATGCGGGCTCTGGACATCAAGCCCACGTCGGTCACGTACGGGACCATCGTCAACGCGCTCTGCCGTGTCAGCGATGAGAAGTTCGCGGAGCAGCTCTTCGACGAGATGGAGGCGATGCCCAACTACAAGGCGCGGCCGGCCCCCTACAACAGTATGATGCAGTTCTTCCTGACCACCAAGCGCGACAAGAGCAAAGTCTTGGACTACTACGGCCGCATGAAGGCGCGCGGCATTTCGCCGACGGCCCACACCTACAAGCTTCTCGTCGACACGCACGCCACCCTGGAACCGGTCGACCTCGCGGCGGCCGAGTCGGTACTGGAGGAGATTCGGGCCTCGGGACAGAAACCCGAGCCGGTGCATTACGCGTCGCTGATCCACGCGAAGGGCTGCGTGCTCCACGACTTGGAGGGCGCCCGGAAGGTGTTCGACTCTGTCATGCGGGACCACGCGGTTCCGGCGCATTCCAGCCTATTTCAGGCGCTGTTCGAGGCCATGGTCGCGAACCACCGTGTGGCGGAAACGGAGCCGGTGCTGGGCCTGATGCGCCGTCGCGGTATCGAGCTGACTCCGTACATCGCCAACACGCTGATTCACGGCTGGGCGGCGGAGAAGAACATTGACCGGGCCTATGCGATCTACAATGCCGTCGGCATGCACAAGCGCGAGCCTAGTACGTACGAGGCCATGACGCGGGCCTTCCTTGCTACGGGGGAGCGTGAGAAAGCCAAGGCCATCGTGGGCGAGATGCTCTCCCGGGGCTACCCCAGCGCCGTGGTTAACAAGGTGCTCGAGCTCCTGGGGGGCGGCGGCGGCGGAGACGATGTCATTGCCATGGCTTGAATGGCGGCTATACGTACCTCGGCCGGCCTCCTCAGTTGACTTTTCTTGAGCTGGCACTGCTGGGTCACCAGCAAAGCTCTACCAGATTTGTTTTTTCGACCGCATTTCCTTTGTTTTGGCCCTCGTCTGCCATATTTGATACCCCATGAGTAGAGTGTTTCAGCGGACCGCATAAAAGGGAGGCAAAGATTTCGGGGTGTCTTTTCTTGGCACGATGAGTGGCATGTTTGGTTTTTCTTTTCCATTATACTTTTTTTCTATTTTGCACAGAGCGCAGCGAAGGCGTCTGTCAGACGTATTTTGCTTCTCCTTTTCTGTTTTCCTTTTTTCCTTTTTTCCTTTTTTCCTTTTTTCCTTGTGTTACATATTGCGGGCTCTGTTTACCGCACTGGTGGTATTGGTTCGGCGTTTTGGCACTAAAAGACAAACAAAAGACATGGTTTTGGGGTGGCCGGGTATTTCGAAGAATGATATTGCTGGGGATTGAAAAAGGAATCTGATAGACACATCCCCACTACGCATTGGCGAGGGGCCTCGGAAGTAGGGCGCGAAGCATACAGAGGATCAATCAGTTCAAGGAAAGGAAATAGTTACGCGGGACCAGGGGAGACGCTATTCGGATTTCACCTAGACATGACAAGGCTGATGTTTGATCCTATTTGCTTGGTAATATACCGATGAGACTCGTCATACACTTTGTTGAACTTGAACCTTTCCCATCTCGAGTTGAAGAATCTGAACGTTTCCTATCTTGAGTTGATGAACTATGCGATTCACTTGCTGTCTCTCACAGCGCCTACCATGATGAGTGCTCGCAGTGAGCGGACATACAACAACCAGCGGGTTTAGCTCAGTTGGGAGAGCGTAGCACTGAAGATTCGCAGAGGTTCTCCACTGGAATCAGAATATGCTAAGGTCGTGTGTTCGATCCACACAAACCGCAGTTCTTTTTTTCTTTTGGTTCTTTTTTGTGGCCTTTTGAAATTTTGCCCGCTTCGCACGTGGGTCGCGAGGCGTCGTCGGTGAATAATGGGAAGTAGAAATTAGTCAGCAACCTTTTGTTACACACTGTCCTGTCTCACTGTGTCTTTAATTACCCCCGCGATGCCCTCCAACAATCTCCCCTGATATTCATGACGGTTTGTTTATCGTGGCCACATCCGTTGCTGCTTCTTCCAAGGTCCAACTTACGATTCTTCACTAGTCGACACCCAACACCAGGGCCCTCTCTTTTCTCTTCGCCATGGTCCTCTCCACGGATCCGCCTGTTGGGTCATCACCTCCCCCTGTGCAGCCGACAACGGCCGTGTCTGCACCCGGAAAAGTACTCCTCGCAGGAGGTTACCTGGTGCTGGACCGCGGGTACACTGGACTCGTTTTCGGGCTGAGTGCGCGCATCAGCGTTATCGCGGCTCCCATCACCACGGAACCGGGCGTCCACCTGGCTGAGATTGTGGTGCAGAGCCCGCAGTTCATCGACGCGACGTGGCGGTATGGCTTTCACTTGGCCGAGCAGGAGGGCGGCATAACCGTGACACAGCTGCACGTGTACGTATACCGTTGCTGTCATTGATTTCACTTCACATGCTCTCGGTATTCTTGACCCGTACTCACAAACTCTCACCAGTGGCTCCAAGATTTCACGCAACCCCTTCGTCGAGACAACCCTCACATACGCGCTCACCTACATCCACCACGTGAGCCGCGACGACCAAACCCACAGCCTGGCCTCGACTCAGCTCACCATCCTCGCCGACAACGATTACTACTCCCTCCCGTCCACCGCCACCCGCTCTACATCCGACGAACCCGCCGCCCCGAAAGGCCGTTTCGCCCGCTACCCGCACACCCTCTCCGAAGCCCACAAGACGGGCCTCGGCTCCTCCGCCGCCCTCGTCACCTCGCTCACCGCCGCCCTCCTCTCGCACTACCTCCCGACTTTGCTCTTCGACCCGGCCAGCGCGGCGGGGGAGCAGACGCTCCACAACCTCGCGCAGTCGGCCCACTGCGCCGCGCAGGGCAAGGTAGGGTCCGGGTTCGACGTCGCGGCCGCCGTGTTCGGGTCGTGTCGCTACCGCCGGTTTTCCCCCTCGCTGCTCTCCGACCTCCCTGCGCCCGGGTCTGCGGGGTTTGCGGCTGCGCTGGCGCGGCGGGTGGATGGCCATAAGGGGTGGGATACGGAGGTGAGGAAGGAGGGGGCGGTGATGCCGAAGGGGGTGGTGCTGCGCATGTGCGATGTGGATTGCGGGAGCCAGACGGTGGGGATGGTGAAGAAGGTCCTTGCGTGGCGGGCGGCGGAAGGGGAGGGGAGCAAGAAGCTGTGGGATGCGCTGCAAGAGAGGAATGAGGCTTTGGCGGACGTGTTGGGGAGGGGGGACACGGGGGAGATTCCGGGGGCTTTGGCTGCGGTGCGGGAGCTTGTGAGGGAGATGGGGACGGCGAGTGGGGTCCCTATCGAGCCGGAGAGCCAGACTGAATTGCTGGACGCCTTGGGGGAGGTGGATGGTGTTTTTGGAGGTGTTGTTCCCGGGGCGGGCGGGTTTGATGCCCTGGCTTTGCTTATGAGGGATGACGAGGAGACGGAGAGACGGGTGGAGGCGTTTCTGGAGGATTGGAGTCGGAAGAAGGACGCTAGGGTAAAGCTTCTTGCCGTCAAGGGTGAGGTGGAAGGTGTGAGGGCAGAAGATTTGAGCGTTTATGCCGGGTGGCTACCATGAGGAGGTATGTGGTGTTGAACTGTTGATCACATTTACATGGGACTATACAGCCGGTGTTGACTGAGATGTATTTCTGTAAACAAACAGAAGGGCATGCATGAAAAGATACCTCAAGAAAGGGCATTATCTTAGTGAGAATCATCCATGTCTTTTTGCCAATATTCACAACTTTTCAACCATGAAATCCGGCCATTTTATCACAAGTCTGTCGGATCCGTAGATCTTTGTACGGTGTGTGCTCGGTGTACCGGGATTGGAGAGTTTGGCCGTGCAGTGCATACACTGTAAAACACTGTGTAGATAAGAATCTTGTGTTATCGCGATAAGATAACCCACGGCCTCGAGCCTTTTTTTTTTTTTCTTCCATAGGGCAAAGTTGAACCCATCACCTGCTGAAGACCAGCACACGACGTCTCTTCCACGACACCCCTCTCCTCACAATGGCGGACGACGGTATGATCCTGAATTTCTCCCTTGGGGATGTTCCACTTAAGCCCCAGGTGAAGAAGATTCAGGGCGGGAAATGGCGGGATCGACTGAAGGCGCAGCGCAACGCCAACAGAGGCAGCGAATCCAACTCGTCCACATCTTCGCCGTCCCTCGACACAAAGTCGGCATCGTATACACCGCGTTCCGGTGGGCAGAACATCGAGGGTCAGTCGGACATCCAGGAGAGGCCGGCAAAGAGACTCCGTGCTGAGCCTCCCAAGCCCTCGGCCTACCAAACTGGCAAGCTGCCTCCGGGTAGCATCGTCATCGGGAAACGCGAAGGCGCCTCTCTGTCACAACCTCACCCTCACCCTCACCAACCGTCTCACCACCCTCGCCCCCCTAATGCCTCTGGTCACGTCACTTCAAGGCTCTTTACTTCCAATCCTACGGCGCGCACCGTCTTCGACGATCAACCCAAAACCGAAGAGGAGGAGCCAGCCGAACCGTCCAATGCCCCCCTCTCCGAAGGGGCGGCGAGTTTCCATGCTCTCGGCATCTCGCGGCGTCTAGCCCAGAAGCTGTCGGGCAAGGTCCAGCTCAAAGCACCGACGGCCATCCAGGCCAAGGCCATCCCGCAACTCATCACCGACGACAGCGACGCCTTCCTACAAGCGCAGACGGGCTCCGGCAAGACGTTGGCATACCTGCTGCCCATCCTGCAACGCATACTTTCCGTGGAGGGCCAGCTGCGCCGTGACTCGGGACTCTTCGCCATCATCATGGCGCCCACGCGCGAGCTCTGTCGCCAGATCGACGTGGTGCTGGCCAAGGTGTTGCCCCCCTGGCTCGTGAGCACCACGGTCATCGGCGGCGAGAGCAAGCACTCGGAGAAGAGCCGGATACGCAAGGGCGTCAACATCCTCATCGCCACGCCGGGCCGTCTGACCGATCACCTGCAGCACACCAAGGCCCTGGACGTCGGGACGGTGCGGTGGTTGGTCCTGGACGAAGGCGACAGGCTCATGGAGATGGGGTTCGAGGACGACCTGCGGGAGATTGTCGCCAAGATTCGCGAGAAGCCGCTCGATGGCAAAACGAAGAACGGCGTCTCCCTCGAGGGCTTGCCGAAGCGCCGCGTCACGGTGCTCTGCTCGGCGACGATGAAGATGGACGTGCAGAAGCTGGGGGAGATCAGTCTCAAGGACGCCGTGCACATCTCGACGTCGGAAGAAGACGAGGCGAAGGGCGAGGGCGGCGAGGGTGATCAGCAGGTCGTCTTCTCCGCGCCCGCGCAGCTGAAGCAGTCGTTCTACATTGTTCCGGCCAAGCTGCGCCTGGTGACGTTGATATCGCTCTTGAAAGCAACATTCCTCCGGCGCGGTTCTGTCATGAAAGCCATCGTCTTCATGTCGTGTGCCGATGCGGTTGATTTTCATTTCGATCTTCTCAAGCAACCTGCATCATCCAATGCCGAAGAGGGCCAGCATTCTACATCCAAACCTTCTTCCTCCTCCTCTTCCTCCTCCTCCTCCTCGACCTCTCCCCCATCTCTCACTGCCAACACCGTCGCCCCGGCCGCCTACGTCTCCTCGTCCGCCAATCCCAACGTCCTGCTCCACAGACTACACGGATCCCTCCCGCAACCCGTCCGCACCGCCACCCTCGGCGCCTATTCCCAATGCAGCGACTCTTGCATCCTGATCACAACGGATATATCGTCCCGAGGTCTCGACGTCCCCTCCGTCGAGCTCGTCATCGAATACGACCCTGCCTTCAGCTCCGACGACCACCTCCACCGGATAGGTCGTACCGCACGAGCCGGCCGACCGGGCAAAGCCGTCCTCTTCCTCCAACCGGGCTGCGAAGAAGGCTACGTCGAGCACCTCGCCTCCAGAGCGGGCGCGTCACACAAGGCGGAATCGTACGAAGGCGTCCTGCACAAGGGCCTCTCGCTGCACATGCCCTTCCCCGTCGCCCACACGGACGCGAAACCGATCGCCGAGGACAGCCGGTCCTTCTCGCAGCGGGCCGAGGCGCTGCAGCTGCACCTGGAGCAGAGGCTCCTCTCGCCCGGCGGGAAGAGCCTGCTCGAGGCCGCGAGGAAGGCGTTCCGGTCCCACGTGCGGGCGTACGCGACGCATGTCAAGGAAGAGAGGAAGTTCTTTGACATGCAGGAGCTGCATCTCGGCCACTTGGCGAAGAGTTATGCCCTGCGCGAGGCCCCGACCGGGGTGGGTAGGGGTGGTGCCAAGGAGGGGAAGAAGGCGGCGTTGAAGGAGGCGGCGAGGAAGAAGCGGAAGCATGGGGATGGGGAGGGTGGCGGCGGCGGCGGCGGTGGTGGTGGTGATAGGTTTGATGCGGAGGATGATGATGATGAGGAGGCTAGAGAGAGGGAGAGGAGGATGAGGATGAAGATGAAGTCGGTTATGGATGCTGCTGGGGAGTTTAATATTGGGTAGACGGTTTGTTTTACGTGGTTATCAGTGTTGTGAGTGAGGTGGGTGTATAAGCGAGCGGAACGAGAGATGACCATTTCTTTCCCCTGAGATGACGCATGGTATCTATTTGCTACCCAGGAATCCATCTGTCCCATCCCCCTAGCCTTATTTCTCGTGATATAGCGGATTATCGTTGCAAGTATAATCACTTACTCCCCCCCCCCCCCCTGAAAGTTCATACTATAACCTCCCGTCTTCTCGTCCTTTACCATCTGAAAGTTATTGGTGCTCAGTCCAAAAGGCTTCAGGATCCCATTCCCCAGCTAAAGGATTTTTCAGAAAAGACGAATGATTAGTGCCACGGATGTCAGGAAGCAGAGGGAGGTAACGTCAAAGAGGGCTCTCTACAACTTGACAACTCACCTCCTTGAGCTTGCCCCACATCTCAGCCGTCTCTGCCTCCTGGGCTGCCTTCGTACGGGGCGGCAGCGTCCTCAGCTGCGTCTTCACGAGCTTCGCATCAGCAGGCGTCAGATTCGGCATCTGCTCGAGCAGCTTGTAGTCCTCCTCGGCACCAGCCAGGTTCGCCCACCCCCCTTCCTCGCTCCGTGCCCTCGCCCTGCGCAGGAGAGCCTTGGCCCGGATCCGGAGTACGTCCTCCCGGCGTTTTTGTCTCGCCGCCTCTTCCGGATCTCCCTCCGTCTCGGGAGGGGCGGTGGCCGCTTTCCCGGCTCCGGCGGAGATGATCTCCTCTTCGACCTCTTCCTCTTCTTCCTTCGCTTTGGCTTTGGCTTTGGCTTTCGCGGCCTCGTCGGCTTGGAGGGCCTCTTCCTTCTCCAGACGGTCCAGGCCGTCGAGGGCCGAGGTGGCGGCCGAGATGGCGTCTTTCCACTGGGCGAGCTTCAGGTGACAGGCGGCGATGTTGGAGCGGAGGACGGCCAGTTCGTAGTCGAGGTAGTTGGGGCAGACGGCGACGGCATCGTCGTATTTGGATATCGCCTGTTCGTACTTGGCGGAGGCGAAGAGGGAGTTGGCTTCGGTTTTGTTGGCGTTGGACTCGGCTACGAGGGTCTGAGTAGGTCAATATAGTCAGTGTAGAGATCATGACGTTTAGAGAAAGAAAGGAAGGAGAGATGACTGAGCTGACAACAGTTGAAGATGGTTCGTATCATGTCGTTGTTGGAGGAATGGGCGCAATTATATCAAGCTGAGTGTTTCCCACGTACCGCTTCTTCTTCGGGAGAGAATTTAATTTGGGCTTCTCCTTCTCTTGATTCCGCATCTTTCTGGTTATCCAGAGAGCTGGGTCTCTTCCCCTCGGTTGGAAAAGTCATTTTGTGTCTAGACCCCCAATGACCACTCCTACACCTTGTGACGCCAGTGACGTTGGGAGCGGATGAGAGAGACGGACGTGGTGTGCGTAGAGTGCAGTGATGAGTAATACAAAAGTGAACTCCTCCGATAAGAGGGTATCTGGTATAGTATGTTATCAGTCTATGTTTATATCGAAAAGCCCTCTTACAAGGATAACGACCCCTCCTCCGCGTTTACCTCGGACTCGGCATCAAGATCCGACTTCAATTGAGGTCTTGATACTCCTTGATACTCAGCAGACAACGTCCACCGTTACATCCCGCCTCCTCTTCCCCAAATAGAACCACGTTGCGTGACTTCAGTCTTTATCTTAAGATCATATAAGTTTATAAGTGCTGGTCCACTATTGAAACGAAGGCCCCTTGAACTCTGAGAATCAGAACCCATAACTTATCTTTCACCTTCACTCGATAGTATATCTTTAGATCTCTCTCGCCGGCTGCCTACATAACTCTCACAATGGCACCTCGTACCGAGTAAGTCAGTCTGTCTCTACAAAAAAAAAAAAAGAAGAAAAAGAAGAAAAAGAAGAAAAAAACACCCCATAAGGGGCCAGAAGGCCGGCTGACAGAACCCTCAGCTTCCCACCCGTCAGGGCCTGCCTGTTCGACATGGACGGCCTCCTCCTGGACACAGAAGACATCTACACCAAATGCGTCAACGTCATCCTCGACCGCCACGGCAAACCCCAACTCCCCTGGTCCGTCAAAGCCCGCCTACAAGGCCGCCCCGGCCCGGCCGCCAACGCCATCTTCCACAATTGGGCCCAGCTCCCCATCCCGCCGGAACAGTTCACCGCAGACCTGTCCGCCATCCAAGCCGCGCATTTCCCATCCTCACAGCCCCTGCCGGGCGTCGTGCGGCTCCTCGCCGACCTAGGCCGGACCCGGTACTGGGCAGCCAAAAACCAGCAAGACAGCAAAACGACGACGACGACGACGACGACAACAACGACAACAACCGCCACGCAACCGAACCACGTCCACATCGCCCTAGCCACCTCCTCCCACTCCCAAAACTTCCACCTCAAAACCGCCCACCTGACCTCCCTCTTCTCCGTCTTCCCCACCCACCGCCGCGTCCTGGGCGACGACCCCCGCATCCCCGCCGGCCGCGGTAAGCCCCACCCGGACATCTTCCTCCTGGCCCTGCGCACCATCAACGACTCCCTGCCTGCCCACGAACCGCCCATCCGGCCGGACGAGTGCCTCGTCTTCGAGGACTCGGTGCCGGGCGTCGAGGCCGGACGCCGCGCCGGCATGCGCGTCGTCTGGTGTCCCCACCCCATGCTCGCCCGCGAGTACGCCGGGAGGGAGGCCGACGTGCTGGCCGGGCGCATCGGCGAGGCGGGTGACGATGCGGACCCGAATCAGGTGGGGGAGGTGGACGATGGGTGGGCCGAATACCTGCCTTCCCTGGAGGCCTTTTCGTACGAGAAGTATGGGGTTGTGGTGCCGCCTATTGAGGTGGAGACCGAGGAGTGTATGAGGGACCGGGTGGAGGACGCCGAGGTTGTAATCCACGCCAACTAGGGAGGGTAAAAGAAACATGTGTAGAGAGATGGTTGCAGTATTCGCACAAAATTATGGCTTGGCGAGAGCAGAGTGTGATGTGGTGATGGATGGATTGGAAAAACAGAACATGGCGTCGGCCACTTCTTTATTTATCTTCAAAAATGAAAGCCCGACTCAAATGACGACGGCATCGATTACAAGCTCAAAGAATATCCTGCGAGGAAAACGGGTTGGGGCGATTCGGCGGCCCATACCAGTTCTGACACGGTTGGTTCGGTCCTCCCAGTCCGCGGTCGATTATGGGGTCTGCTGCTGTCGTCCTTGCCCTCGTCGCCGCCGCCGCCGTCGTCGTCGTCGCAGTTGCAGTCCACCCCCATACCCGCTCGAGTTCGGCCGTGACGGTCCCCGGGTCCCAGCCGCTCGCCTTGTGAATTCGTTCCAGAATGTCAATGACCTCTTCTTGCTCCCGTGGGTTTGTCAACACGGGTCCGGCCACGGCCATGCACCGGGTGGCCACAGACGCTACGCCCCGGTCCTGGCAGTGTGCCGCGAGCCCACACACCTGTTGGGCATGGTGGAGCTGCAGTACACGCATCTCCTCAGACGCTCTGGCCGGTTCCACGGGGTTCGTCCGGGCCAGAAGACACTGGGCGGTGTGGTAAACGAGGCGGCCAATGACGGCGACGGGGTTTATCAGCCTGGTTCGGGGTCGGTCTGTCGTTAGCGAGACAAGCTACGATCGAAAGCGACAAAAGGGCAAGAACAAAAAGCAAAAGCAAAAGCACAGCAAGGGGAAACCCACCAGATATGGGGGAAGGATGATCTAGGCTCGGACTGCGACGGGTAGAGATAGCCAAACGGGCGCATGGTGCGAGGGCAGCTGGTGTTCCACCTATCGCACAGTCTCTTGAGCTCATGCCACTGACGGAGTCTGTTGGTGACACGGACCTGCTCATCATGCGGATTCCCTTCGGGGAACTTGGGCGTGGCAGCCCGGAAGTTGGCGACCTTGGCGACGATGTAGAAGATGCGTTGGGCCCATTCCTCCTCTTGCCCGGACGCCCCCGTTTCCGCTGTCGCCGCCACCGCGCCATTAAGCTCGCGTTGTGTGTCCGGGAAGGCAGAGAAATCCACACCCACATCCACGTCGAGACCCCAGTGGTCTGGGTCCCATGAGGTCTGCCAATCAAAGGCCAGGCAGCTGAGGACTTCCATGCCGACGTCGAGCCAAAAGCAGGCGGCGCCCATCCCGGTCGAGCGTGCGTCCCAGCCGCATTCCCGTATGAGAGCGCGGGCGCCGGTGATGTGGTTCATACAAACAGCCTGGCCCGGTTTCTCGGACATGATCTCGTAGGCATTGAGCACGACGGCGGTGGTGGCGCATTCGGCCGTGTTCCGGTCCGGGTTCTGCAGGCTGCGGAGCAGCTGGGTGGTGGCGGTGTCGTAGTAGTAGTGCAAGACCTTGTCGTGCTGGACGTCTGGGTGGGTAAGCGCCAGGTGCTTGACGCCGCAGGCCAGCAGGGCGTTGAGGAGCATGGGTGATTTGAGCGAGAGGTAAGGGATCAGGCGGCTGAAGTGCTTCCCCTTGTCGAGGGCGTCCATCCACACGGCTACTTCTTGGACGAAGATTTGCATGTAAAGCATCTCGTCGGCCGAGTTGAGGTGGTCCCGCTCACCGGCCACGGCCTTTTCGCTGGCGGGGGGAGTCATCATGCCGTCCCCGGCGACGTGGCCGTGACGCTGGACGACCCCTCTGCCTCTGAACGTTGGAGGCTGTCCAGTTGACAGCGGGGGTGCTATGGAGGCAGGGTTCGAGGGGCCGCTACTTCGATGAGCATGTTGTTGTGGTTGTTGTGATATTGAGGCGGCCTCCTGTGGGAAGGCAGTGAACTGGTGGTCTTGCAGGGGGTAACCGTAGGGCCCCGTGTGAGATGAGGGCTGCGGTGTGGGAAACGAAGGCTCGTTCTGGGGGGGAGGACAACGCGGCTCGGAAGTGAACATCTGAGACGAGTAGCCGTGCATGGGAGTAATGGCTGGAAGTGGAAGTGAAGGCATGAGAGGAAAGTTGTTGGCAGTGGAGTCCGGTGAAGGGTTGGAATCCGCGGGTTGGTGGTTATACTGTGTGTTGAGGTATGAGGAGGGGTGATGTTGATGTTGCTGCTGCTGCTGCTGCTGCTGCTGTCCGGGACTGGCGTTGACCTGTCGACCACGAGATGTCGAAGCATCTGGATCGGGTGGTAGGTGAGCATACCTCCTCAGACCACCCACGTAACCCGAGGCGATATGCCTAGATTCGTCGCGGAAACGCACTATCACTCAAGGTTAGTGAGCCTCGTCCTATATAATAATGGACAGACTACAGACCACATGCAGACAGACTTAGTCCGAGTTGAACATAGGCATAGGGGGGTCTCTACTCGTAAGGCTTCAACGTACCGGACCAGTCAGCGGATCGGGGAAGCGAAGGCGGCGGTTGGCCGACCTGTAAGTCTATGAAGTTGACTCGCAGCCCGCGCTTGCATTGTCTGTTGCTTTTGAGACAATGTAGACAGTCAGGGAACGCCTCGTCGCATTTAAGATGGCGTTTTCTGCATGTTAGACAACCTGTCCGCACTCGTTTGGATTTGGAGGGAGTAGTGGAGGGAGTGGTGGTGACAGTGGCAGCGGCAGCGGCAGCTTTCTGGGAAGGTGAGGTGCAGCGAAGATCGCGAGTCGGGATCAGAGACATGACGCCGCTGCCGCTGCCTCTGCGGCTGCCCTGCCGATTCGGAATGTGAGAGCTAGGAAGGTTCATGATAGTAAACTGGGCAGTCGGTTGAGGTGAGACTGGCCAAGATATATCACCCCGACGGCCAGAGATGAGAGGCATGCATCAGCCGCGCCAAAGTCGGGGTTGAGCCGATGGTTGAGCTGAGGATATGATCGAGGTGTAAGGATGAGAATGAGTGCCGAGTGGTAGTTCGCGTAGTTCGTGACGGTGCGTAAGTTGTAACAGATTGAATCAAAGTGCAATGCTGATGACGGAGCAGAGTAAATTACGACTTCTGAAGCCTGGTTTTAGTCGGGCCTCATGTCGACGTGGGCTATACAATAGCCTTTTTCTTTCGTTTTCCTTCCCTGTCCATGAGGGTGACGATGGTGATGATGAAGAGTTGAAGAGTTGGAGAGTTGTTGGAGGGAAGGTCCAGTCTAAGGTACTACCTCAGGTACAGTCTACGAGACATGAAGTACAGAGTCCGTACTGTGACCCCTTGTCCATCAAGGTGCTCGGGGCCTGGTTTCTCCGGTCGATCTGATAACCGGAAAGTGCATCCCAGATTGAGATTCCCCTCCTTCTTTTTCCCCTTCCTTTTTTTCCCGCGGCCCCGGAACAATGAGACTCGGAAACTCGGAACTTTAGTCATCAGCAGATCTTCACCGACTTCACCGAAAGCCTCGGCCAAGATTCCATCCCGTACCTTTTCATCTTCACCTTCACCTTCACCTTCACCTTGACCTTTCATCAGCCTCAAAACTCCGCCGCAGAAATCATCACAGCACTTCTTTATAAGAACACTGGCCTTCCCCAGCCAATTGCCTTCTCTTTGCTTCGCAGTTCTTTTCCCCTTCGTCTCGAGCACTCCAATCCGTCACATTTCATGATTTCCCGTACTCCCCGAGCCGCGACACCTCGCGCGCGTGTTTCGTCCTGCTTAACCTCACAGCCCTCATCCTCATTTCCATTTTCATTTTCATTTTCATTGTCATCGCGAATCTCCACTTCAACCTCATCTCTACCAAGGGGCACCATTACCCCCGCCATCCTATCCCGTCAGCCTCCACTCCCATCCCTCACCATGTCTTGTTCCTTGTCTACGACCGCCCCCTCGTCCGCCTGCGCTTCACCATCCTCCCCCCGCCGCTCCCCCCGCGGCTCCTCCCGTCTCACCCACGAAACCCTCCCGTCCTCCTCCATCAAAGTCCTCCGCTCAGTCGACGCCCTCCGCGCCTGGCGCAACCCCCTCCGCCAAGACCACCGCACCGTGGCCCTCGTCCCGACCATGGGCGCCTTACACCAAGGCCACCTCGCCCTGATCCGCGCCGCCGCCGCCGAGTGCCACCACGTCGTCGTCTCCCTCTTCCTCAACCCGGCCCAGTTCGGCCGCAACGAGGACCTCTCCTCCTACCCGTCCACCTGGGACGCCGACGCCGCCCGCCTCGCCACCCTCGACCGCGCCCTCGCCGACGACGCCGCCAACCTGGGCCGCCTCTCCGCCGTCTTCGCCCCCTCCGTCCACGACATGTACCCCGAGGGCTTCCCCGGCCAGGACGTCGCCTCCGACGGCAGCTTCGTCACCATCACCCCGTTGGCCCGCCTCCTCGAGGGCGCCTCCCGCCCCACCTTCTTCCGCGGCGTCGCCACCGTCTGCACCAAGCTCTTCAACGCCGTCCAGCCCGACCGCGTCTACTTTGGCCAGAAGGACGCCCAGCAGGCCGTCCTCATCCGCCGTCTCGTCCGCGACTTCCTCGTCCCCACCCACGTCGTCGTCGTCCCCACCGTGCGCGAACCCGACGGCCTCGCCCTCAGCTCCCGCAACGTCTACCTGGGCCCCCGCCGCAGGAACGTCGCCCCCGTGCTGCACCATGCCCTCCGCGCCGCAGAACGCGCCTATGAAACCCACGCCTCGCGCCACAGGGACGCCATCCTGCGCCCCGCGAGGGACCACGCCTCCTCGGTCCTCGCTGCGCAGACCGCCCTCCCTCCGAGCCAGAGGGCCTTGTTCGAGGTGGATTATCTGTCCCTCTCGGACCCGGACACCATGGAGGAGCTGGAGACGGTCGACCCGACAAGAGGCGCCATCCTCAGCGGCGCCATCAAGATGTTGCCCGCCGAGGATCCCCAGCCGGGAGAGGACCTCGGTCACAGCGGCGGGCCGGCCGTGAGGCTCATCGATAATATCATCCTGAAGCCAGCCACAACCGCATAAACCATAAGAATCAACCAAGCCCATTCGAGATGATAGACATCTTTGTCTTGATATGGATGAGTACCTAAGAGTTGGATGCATTCGCATTATCATAATATAGAGTCTAGACATGTACGGATATTATTACATGACAAAAAATAACATAAACCCAAACCCAAACCCAAACCCAAACCCCCCCCCCCCCCCCCCCCCCCCCCCCTCCCCCCTCTCAAACCGCTATAAATGCGACCGTGGTTCTAGTGACCGCCGCCTCCTCCCTTCCTTCGCCGTCTTCTGGAACTGCTCCGCCTCCTCCCCGCCCAGTCCAGGCGGCGCCGCAACCCCCTTCTTCTTCCCCTTCTTCAAATCCGGCTTCTTGGCCGCCTCGAACAGCGCCCCGCCGAGCTTGTCCGCCAGCCGCAGCACGCGCGTGCTGACCGTCGCGCCGTCGCGCCTGTTCTTGCCCTCGCGCCGGCTCGACGCGATCTTCTCGGTAAAGTCCCACAGCCGGCCCGCCGCCACCAGCGCCCCCGTCTCCGGGTCGCGCGACGGCCGCCAGTCCGCCGCCAGCCTGAGCCGCGGCGGGACCTTGGGGTCTCTGGATCGGACCACTTGGACGATGCCTTCCTCCTCGAACCGCTGGTACGAGTTCTTGAGCGTCTCTTTGTTGACGGATTCGAAGTAGCTGAGGTCGCCTTGGTGGTAGAGAGTTTTGCCGAGCTGGAAAGAAATTAGTATTATTGTTCGTGAAGAGGCGGATGCTGCTGTCCAGGAGAAAAGAAAAAGAAAAAGAAAAAGAAAAAGAAAAAAACTCACCAGTTGCGCGGTGCTCTGGGCCTTGGCCACCTCAATCCAAATATCTCCCGTCTCGCCCAGCGGCGGCGCAAGTCCCACCAGAGACACGGCAGCGAGCCAGCTAGCCTCGATAAAAGGCCAAATCAAAAAGCAATAAAAGTCGTAATTCTCCCGTCCAGCCGCCCGTTCGTGGGGCGACAACCCAATCTTCACCACGTTGCCGTCCGCGTCCCGTTCCGCGTAGATGACCTTGTCCTCCTCCAGACCCCGCAGGCTCTTGGCCATGTTCGCCTCCAGGCCTTCGCTGGGGAATATGAACTCCCCGCGGAAGAGCGACGAGAGGAACCGGATCTGGTCCGTCAGCTCCCCCGGGGCGATGTCCTGTATGGCCGGCCCGCCGCCCTGCTTGACCTTGGTGTACATGGCGGCGCTGACGAGGGCCTCGGAGATGAACAGGTGGATGGTCATGTTGCGGTAGAACGACAGCTGGAACCGGTCGACGGCGTAGTAGGTCGGCTCCGGCAGGCCCGTCACCACGCCGACCAGGTCCCTGCCCAGGACCTCCAGCCCGCGCTCGACAATCTCCGACAGCGGCGTGTTGCTCGCGTGGGCCACGCGGCCCCCCTTGGCGCGGACCCGGTCGGTGAGCCACTGCACGCGCCGCTCCAGCTCGGCTTTGCCCACGCCGCGTCCGCGCAGCGTGAGGAGGACCGTGCCGATCAGCGCGGTGGGCATGACGACCGAGACGGCATTGATGTCCGCCAGGACCTGGTACCCGAGCGTCCGCAAGAGCCGGTGGCGCAGCGCCAGGTTCCCCGGGTCCTTGACGTCGAGGCTCAGGCCCTGGGGCGGGTTCCGGGAGATGCGGGTCATCTGGCCGTCGATAAAGCTCCGCAGACTCCACGGCTCGTGGAAACGGACGTCGACCCTCCCGAGACGAAGAGAGAGGACGGACGAGCCGCCGGTCAAAAAGTCGGCCAGGTTCTCCTTCTTTTTGGGCACGCCGAGCAGCTCGGTGACGTAGCCTTCCGTCTCGATGACCTTGTCGTACTGCGTGCTGACGGGGCAGATGATGCAGTCGTCGGTGCGGCCCGCGAGGACGCTGTCGAGGACGAACTTGAGGATGCCGAACTTGGGCGGCAGGAGCTTGCCCGTCCGGGACCGCGTCCCCTCGATGAAGCAGTCAAAGTTGAAGCCCTGCTGGAGCAGGGTGTCGATGTACACCTGCACGACGGTGGTGTAGAGGACGTCGTCGCCGAAGGACCTCCGGATCCACATGGCGCCGGCGTGCTGCAAGAAGGCGCCCACGACGGGGAAGTTGAGGTTGTCGCCCGCGACGAAGACGGGCAGGCTCAGGCCCAGGCGGTAGCAGATGAGCTGGAGGGAGACGTAGTCGGCGTGCGAGCGGTGGCAGGGGAGGAAGACGATGCTCTGCTTCTTGCGCTGGGCCTCCTCGGCGACCTTGCGCAGGCGCAGCACCTCCTCGCTAGAGACGTGGATGCCCTGGTGGTAGGCGCGCAGCAGGAGCTGGCTCGTGATGTAGTAGGCGCAGCGGATGAAGGTCTTGCTCTCGAACTTGCATATCATGTCGTCCGCCATCTTGGCCGCCAGTTCTTGGACGCCCGACTCGATGGCGGTGCGACGCTGGGCGCGCTTGACGAGGTAGTCTTTGTCCTTCCTGTCGAAAAAGCCTTCGTTTGTTTCCACGGCGATGCGCTTGTCGGCGAGTTCGGCGATTTTGTCGAGTAACAGCGGGGACGAGAGGACGGTCTCTTTCATGTGGTCGGTGAACCCGGGATAGAAGATGGGCTGGCCGATGAAGTTGTCGTAGGCGCGCCAGCCCGTGCCCGAGACGTAGAGCGAGACATCGCGAAGGAACCTGTGAAGCAGGATTGAAGGTCAGTCAAATGGCGTGTGCAAGAGAAGGAGCAGGGGCTAGAAGTAAGTTAGTAGCACTACAGTAGCTGGACAGACGCACTGGAGAGGTTCGGAACGGAAGCGAGCCATGTTCTTCATGAGAGGCTCCTCCTTGTCCTTTGACGGGGGTTCGAGGTAGCCGCTTGGCTGAAGGGTGATCTGATCGCCGAGGATCTGAAGATCCGGCGCCGTCTTGCTGGTCTGGGTCTGGTCGCTGTGTTCGGTCATTTTCGGGGAACGCGCCTCGCGCAGGTTGGACTGGACTGGACTTTCGAACTGGGTTTCATTCAATTGGTGATCGGTGTCGGTGTCGGTGTCGGTGTCGGTCTATGGCCTGCCCGTCCCCGTCTTCTGGCGCAAGGGAGAGGTGGAGGGGTACAGACGCAGACAACAGACCACAGACCACAGCCAGGAGACATCGGGAGATGCCAGTTGGCCGTCAATTGCCGACGCCCCGCTTCGGTGAGCCGAGCTCGCAGTGACGTCGGAGATTTTCCGTACTGTGTGGGTAAGTTGATGTACTGTTTTCCCTTCTAAGGTACCTTATGTAAGCCAGTTGCTTGTACTCCGTATAGATGCCTCGTTACTCATACGGCGGTACAGAGTACGGAATAGGTGAGGTAGGTACCTACGTCCCTGCATCATTCCCATTCAATTCCAATTTCCCCCCCAACACCAACAACGATCTCTCTCACCACAAACACAAACACGAACACAAACACAAATTCCCCTCTCAAACATGGCGCAGCCGCCGTCAACCACAAAATCTCTCCTCGCCCGGGCCCACTCCCCCGACTCCGCCTCCCGCATCTTCGACGACAAAATCCAATACCGCTCCTTCTACCTCCGCCCTTCCTCCCCCCCTCCGCCCGACGCCCGCGAAGCCCGCCGCAAAGCCCGCAGAGACCGCGCCCTCACCCGCTCCAAGCAGAAGCCCGCGCCCCTCTCCGCCCGCGCCCGCCGCCGCCTTGGCCTGTACGACCTGCCCCGAGACCGCCAGCGCTACGCCCTCTACGAGCCCCTCCTCGGCCTCTGGCAGGGCTACGTCCGCGAGCTGCTCGGCAACGAGCTCTACACGGGAGGCCAGGCCGCCGCCGCCAAGCTGAGCGCCGGCGAAATGCACGGCGCCGAGGTCGAGGTCGTTCGCAGCTCGTGCCCCAGCCGCGTCGGCATCCGCGGTATTGTCGTCAAGGATGCACGCTTCGTCTTCGAGATTGTCACCCCGCGGGACCGCGTCAAGGTTGTGCCCAAGGAGGGGACCATGTTTCGGGTCGAGGTGCTATTGGAGGATCCTCCCGAGTTGCGCGGGGAGGGGCAGAACCAGGGACAGCAGGGACGAGAAGGACAGGAGCAGAAGATGCCCGAGTCTGCGGTACCAGGCGACGATGCGACCACGACGAGGACATCCCGCCCGCGGAAATTCGTCTTTGAGATTCTGGGGGACCAGTTCCTCCATCGAGGCGCTGATCGAGCGAACAAGAAATTCAAGACGCATTTCTTGAAGAACGTGTGAAAGGACTAGAGTTGTAATCACCGACTTGCTTGGCGAGAGAGCGAGAGACTTGGTGCGCTCATCTGTGCCCTTTGACGACTCGTTCTCCTCCTTGAGAACATCCCAGCCAGCGCTCCTCCCTGCAACACCCGTACCACAACCGGCTATAAGACCACTACTTCACATGAGATGGTGAGTTTTCTCTCTCTCTCTCTCTCTCACTCTCTCTCTCCCCCCCCTCCCTGATCTCCCTTGTCTCCATGGAGCCATTCTCCTGACAATTCATAACGCGCCTCATCAGCGAATCGCCAGCATACTATCTACCCGACAACCAGGCTCAAAAATTCCTGGTCAAACCCATTCACGCCGCACCATGAAACGGCCGAGGCGCCCCGGGGTTGATCTGCGGAACTTGCCTCCGCCAAGGCATTGGAAATCCACCCGAAATGAGACGCCTGCCCAGGAAGAACGGCAGGTGCCCTCTTCGATGAGACGGAGATAATTGTTCAGGGTTCGGATATGTATGAGGAAGGACACAACCAATAACACCAGCAATCAAATGAAGGACGGGATGATATCCGGTATGTCGCTGTCCTTGTCGTCCGGAGGCTTGGATCTAGGTTCCTGCTTTATTGTTGGCCTACGCGGGTTGTCACGCTCCCTGCGCTTTTTGAACCTTGTAAATATGTCTTCATCTTCGTCTTCGCCATCCTCATCGTCGTCTTCACCATCGGCATTTATGTTCCGGGGGATAGGAAGTGGTTGCGTGACAGCGGGTTGGGCCGCCGTAGAGGGGGTTCTCGTCAGGCTGGATGCCGAACTTGACTCTGTCTTGACCAGTGTTGGGTTGCCTTTTGTTTTGTTGGTTTTGGAAGATGTCGAGGTGAATGGCAACGATGACCTGACTGGCGTTGAGGGAGGGGGTCTCGCGGCGGCAAACGTCCCGGCGGCAGAGGCCCCGGCGACTCGGCCCGTAGCAGAGGATGTGACCTGACTAGAAGAAATGCGTAAAACTGACTGATCAAGATCGTCGTCGTCGTCGTCGTCGTCGTCATCGTCGTCGTCGTCATCGTCGTCTTCGTCTTCTGTAACCACGTCCTCCTTTTTCACGGCTCGCTTCGTCCCTCGACAGGGAGAACGCTCCATCCTCCTGAAGGGCACCGGGTAAGCTGCCGACCGGCGTGCAGACGACGATCTGATGCCAGGATTCCTCGGGGCATTCCTCGCAAAAGCCATAAGCGACACCTCCCTCCTCCGAGGACTCTCCATAAGCCCCTGAAGAGAGGTCCCTCGCCAAGGGACGTCCTCTTCGTTGTCGTCTTCATCATCGGTCACACCCGCGTCCAAGCCAGCATCTGCCTTGGCCCTTTTCAGGGCCTCCCGCTGCATCTTCCTCCGCAGGACCTCCTCTTGCCGCTTCCGTGCCAGCTCGGTCAGGGAACCGACGACGGGACGAGAGATGTTGGCGATGGTGTCGGCGTTTTGCGAACTGGCGTGGTTCTTGAGACGCTGGTACTCGGCGGCATGGAGGTGAGCGGTGAACTTGCCCGCGATGACGAAGAACTCGTCCTCGACCATGCGATATTGGTCGTCGTTCTCGAGTCCTTCTATCATGAAGCTACAAAGCTGTTAGCAGTTCCCGACGCGACGCCGTGGCGTTTCTTTGCCAAGTGTTCTGATAGTACCGACCTCTCAGCGAGGGGTTCCGGGGGTGGAGAGGTAGAAGGAGACCGACCTAGGAGTGGTGTGAGTGGCAAACCAGCCCAGATTTTCTTCAGTCTTCAGGTTTCACTTCTGTGGTCACTTACTTCGCCCTAGGGAGGCTATCTTGTTCCTCGCAGATCTTGGTACGCCAGAGTCCCTTCGTGTTCGAGGGACTACGGGCGTTCGGGTCCGACTTCTGGATGATGCATTCGCGATGGCGGACAGCTCCGGGGTGAATGGTGAAGGGGGAACGGTTGGGCTTTTAGCGGGCGGTTCACTCTTGACTATTGCTGTTGTATCCAACAGCCAAGGGAGACGTCTGGGCATGATAGTACCAGTGAAGGAGGCAAGCGCCAAGAGGTTTATATGTTTACACGTAGATGGTCAGGATAAAGTATAGCGAGTTAAGAATTATGTAGCGTACCTATGTACTTACACCTCGGTGAGAGTTCAAGCACCTCCCGAGCGTATGGCTTATGTAAGCCTACATGCATTTGATACTCGTCACGTTTCTGGAGCTGACTAAGGCTTCTCAACTCTGCAACCTCTTGACTGTCTCGTGACTTTCAGTGCACTCACATCGCCATGATCCCGTCCATCACCACCATCACCACCATCACCACACCATCACCTTATAACGCGACAGATACCAGGAAATGATGAACACCAACATGTCAGATTCTCGAGGCCCTATGGTACTCATGAGTCCATACAAGCCAAGCCGCCTTTGGCAGGCAAAAGACCAAACGTCAAGTCAGTAATAACGACACCCTAGGACGCCCCAACTTTGATGATATAAATTCCCCAGACTCAACAACACAGGCATGACGGTCATCGGTCATCTCATCTCATCTGAACAGCTTCCTCTCCTCCAAAAGGCCCATGTAGAGTACGCATATGCGGATCACAGACCAAACAGATCAACAGACGCCTCATGGTCAACCACAACACCAGATCCCAAAGAGCAAACAAAATACATCCCCAGACCAAACACAAATCACCGTCCCAGACTGCTCCCCACACTACTGCCGATACTGCTCATCTTCTCGCTCACCTTGCTCGACACCTTGTCCCCCCACCCGCCCATCCACTTGGGCGTCTTGAGCCGCATGCGCATCCGCCCCTCGACCGCCATGTTGACCACGTTGATGACCGCAAACGCCGTGCTGCCCAGGGCGCGGAACAGCGCCAGCGACGCCACCGACCAGAGGATGAACCGCAGGTAGTAGTTCTCGCCGATGCCCGTCTGCGAGTACGCCTCCGACACCGCCATGGCCAGGATGCCGTTGGCGATCATCCAGCTGACCACCACGTACGTCCGCACGCTGCGGTAGTAGTCCTCCTGCATCTGCGCCTCGCTGGCCGAGGGAGCCGCCACCTCGACCCGGTCGCGCAGGTTCCGCAGCGCCTCGTCGTACCCCGAGTCGATGTCCAGCTGCTCCGACGGGATCTCCAGCTCCACCGTCGACGACCCCTGCCGGCCCACCGCGCCGCCCAGGTCCGTCCTCATCACGTTGTCGCCCTTGGTGCCCCACGTCACGTCGTGCGTGTTGCAGAACGCGTACACCTGCAGCGTGCAGATGCTGAACGGCAGCAGCATGAAGTACTGCGCCGACGACGTGATCAGGTGCCACGGCTCCAGGTACATCAGCGACATGACGATGTACAGCCCGACCGTCGACAGCACCGACACGATCAGGTTCGTGAACACGTTGTTGCCCATCGCCACGTCGGCGTCGCCCCTGGTCAGCTGCCACACCACGATCCACACCGTCGCGAACGACGTGTAGATCATGATGACCGTGAAGATGATCATCGACGTCAGATACAGCCGGCTCGCGCCCTGCGGCCGGTTGCCCAGCGACAGGATGAACTGCGTGGCGATGAGCAGCGCGCACGCGTACCGCAGGATCGTGAAGATGTGCTGTCCGATGCCGTGTCCGAAGGGGTCGATGCGCGGGTCGGCGAGACCGCCCGCCACGAAGTAGAAGGTCAGGTAAAAATTGGCGAGCGAGAAGAAGGTGAAGAGCACCTGCAGGAACTGGTAGAAAAACTCGACGTGGAGGAGAAACTTGCGCCACAGCGTGTGATCCGTCACCCAGATCTGCTTGAAGTGGACAAGCGAGTAGACGGCCGCGAAGAAGGCTCCGTTGAGCCAGCGACGACGTTGCGAGATGAACTCGGGGACAGAGTCTGTCTGCGTTAGTGGACGAATCCCAAAAAATGAAAGGGAAAAAGGACAGAGACAAAGGAGAGAGAAACACTCACCAGGCACGTCCGTCTCGCCCGTACATCCCTTGACATACTTCAACACCCACCTGTCCCCCCTCTTGGCCACCAGCTCCCAGCACAGGATACGATCCTCGGCGAGGTACATGTTGGCAGTAAAAACATCCGCATGCTGCCCATGCAGCGTCTCTCCCTTGAAGTACTGGCTCAACGGACCGTGGCCCGTCTCGTCATTCTGCAGCGCGTGGAACCGGTACGCGCTCAGCGCCCCCGGCAACACGGTGATGTACCCAAACACCGACTCCAGCGGCTTGTCGAGGATGTTCGACATCTTGTACTCAAAGTTCTGCGACGCCACCAGCGGGTTCAGGAGGTTCTTCCCGCAATTGTGGACCACCGTGCGATCTGCGAGTTGATAGAAGCCCCCTGAGACCTCGATGGTGCGGTATTCGCCCTCGCCGGCCTCCTCGACGTCGAAGGCCCGTACGTCGCGGTCGTGTCGTATAAGCGAGGATAGATCCAGCCGCTTGCGGGGGAGCAGGAGGTGATGCTGAAACTTCTCCGTCCCCTTACCCATGTAGAATCGCCATGTGGGCTCACGATGCCCGGGCTCAAGGTACTCTTCCACGTCCGAGCAATGGATCCCGCAGGAGGTAGCCAACTTGTGGGCGTCCTCTACGATCTTCTTGTGCTGGTAGGTAGTCTGTGCGAAGCCGTATACCGCCGTGCGAGCCTGTAGCCATCCGTCGGATTCCACGAGGCCTGCGAGAACAGCTAGCCGTGTATCCTCGTTGGCGTTCATGTAGCAGTCGGGAATGCCACGGGCCTTGTCACCGAGCAGGCCAAGGTCTTCCAAGCCTGCGCGGACAGGATTCCAGGTCTCGTTCGGTTTGCTAGTGGCGGAATCGATGCTGAAAATGAAGCAGTCCTTCATACCCGTAGTCGTCCGGCCGTGGGTGCTGGTGGTCGAGCCCGCTGCCGCCGTCTGGAGGCACTCGGCAACATGCAAGGGTGCAGCTCCCTCCGGCCTAGTACTGTTCAGGCGGTCGACGTATGCCTGGACGTAGACTTTGAGCTCCAGGTCCGTGGTGCCGATGTCGGTATTTTTCCCCATCCCATCACCGAGCCAGAACCCGAGCCAGTAAGGGTCGATAGGGACAGAGGCTTGCGGCCCTTGGTACGGCTGGAACCTCAGAGGGGCCCGATATAGGCTCAGCTTCCTGTTCTCCTGGGGCGTGGAAGCCGTGCAAGACGCCAGATACTCATTCATCGTCATCGTGAATAGCTCCATATCCTTGACGGCACAGGGGTCGACAATTCGAGACTGATCCCCAGCCAGCAGCTCATGAGCGAGCTTGGCTTGCTCTCTTGTCTTGAACTCGATACTGACTGGCCGAATCCCCTTGCAGTTCGGATTTTGGCACGTCCTGTTGCCATGGCGCTTGGAGAGCTGGTCCCGAACGGCCTGAAACGTCCCCATATGGTCGTCTTCAACGACCGCAGACTTATGGGATGAGGCCTGGGACGCTTTGAGGGGAGACGAGGGCGCAGGCTCGGGAGTCTGGCGATATGTCGCATCCGAGGCGCGAGTGGGCGACGAAAGGGTGATAGATCCAAGCTTCCTGTTGCGGTAGGCGTCGAGGTCGATGATGATATCGTCAGAGTCTCGCTCCTCCTTCTTGAGCTCCGTCCGCTCGCAGCGCGTATACCACATGACACCGAGACCTTGGGAATGGAGGCAGGGCTTCACGCTGTGAGCCACCAGTGTCATGATATGGTCCGGTGTACAGGTAAAGGACATCTTGTTCGAGGCGTTCCACTCCGTGTATATGACCTTCTTCATATGGGACGAGGTCTGAATGGCCCCAGCAGCCAGGCATTGCACGGGGTTGTCCTGGTGGTCGAAGAGCCGGTCCCCTACAGCGATGTCTCGGATGGCCTTGGGGCCTTGGGCAGTGCGGACGATCGTGTCCGGATCCAGGCATTTTCCTTTCATCGCCTTGATCTCGCCGCAGGCGCCCGCCACGTTCGAGTCGGTGTCGAAGGCCTTCCACAGGTGGTACAGCGACGTGGTGCCGGGCCGCGTGCCGACGTCGAGCAGGATGCACACGTTGGGGTTGAGGGCCTTGCCAAAGGCGTTGAAGAACCAGCGGTGCGAGTTGAGCTTGCGCTGGTTCTTCTCCTTGAGGCAGAAGATGATCTGGCACGGGACGATGCCCTTCTCGGCGCCCTTGAACTTGAGGTCCGAGTCCAGCGACACCTGCGTCGTGTACTCGTACACGTGCGCCTGCACCGCCTTCTGGTTGACGTAGTTCTTCGCGATGCCGTCCTGGTACACGCCCATGGCCGCCAGCGCGTCCAGCGTGCGCGGGTGGATCTTCTCGCGGCCGTCCGACACGATGCACACCACAATCTTCTGCCAGCCCAGCTCGCCCCACGTGCGCGACTTGGTGCGGCTGCAGAAGTGGCTGATGTTCTTCATCACCGCGTACATGGTGCGCGTGAAGTTGACCTCGTCCTCGTTGTACATGGTGACGCAGATGAAAAGCTCCGTCTCGCGCGCCGTGCGCCCGATGCTTTGTCTGAGCTTGTACCCGCGGTCGACGAAGTCGTCGGGGTCGCAGGTGACGGCCGTGTACCGCATGTGCGTGAACTCGACCTCGTCGCGCCGGGGCAGGAAGCTGTAGAGAATGGTCGGGATCTTGCACTCGAGCACCAGCTCGCCGTTGATCAGCTGCACTTCTCTCCTCGACATCTGCGGCGCCCTGACGCCACGGCGCTCCTGCTTGCCGTCCGGCGCTGGGCCGTAGTGCTGGTGGACCTTCTCCCCGGCCTCCTCGGGCTCGCCCCCGTCGCCCAGGGTGTCCTGGGACTGGTACGAGTGTCTCATGGGCCGGCTGTCCCCAAGGTCGGTTTCGGGACCAAAGACGTCGTCCGGGTCGTTATCCAGGGGGATGGAAACCGTGACGTCGTCGGCGAAGGTAGTGTTCGAATGGCGAGCTCCGGGGTTGGAAAATAGCGGGGCCGGAGGGAGAGGTCGCCTCGGGCTACCTCCGTATCGCGATGACGGGGTCCCCGGTCTAGGACTCCCGTTGATGTCGGACGGCTCGTATATGCTGGCTGCAGGGGGTGGGCGTCCGTAGTCGCTGGACATGCGGCTCCATGGGCGCGGCGGTGATCCGGCGGTACCTCGACCCTGGAAAGGAACATAAGTAGAGTCTGGAGGGGGGATGCTCGGCGGATCGGTGATTCCCGAGTGCCGGTCCGAGAAGCGAGAGTGATCCGACATGATGGACGGCTGGTACGATCGGCGGTGGCCGGAATATTCCCTATTGAGATGAGATGATAAGCTTGCGTCTCCCTCTTCGGTGCCTGCATCAGCGACTGCTGTTCTTGTGAGTGGGCAGCTGGTGGACTTCTTCTGCAGGTTACTTTTCCTTGCAGAAGGGCCTTCCGGGATGGTGGGCAGGCCGTCTCTCGGCTCTGCAACCCGATCATGGTCAGAAAGCCGGGTGTACTTCCTCTGCAACTTGACAGTGGAAGTCCGGGCTTGTTTCTTCAACGGAGACTCGGCTTTCACCGGAGAGGACTGCGGTTCAGACGAACATCTGCTGAGACCTGCCGCCCTGGAAGGCATTGGCCGTGGACCGAGGACCTGCCTACCAGCCGATGGCAAGTGGGCTGCCTCCTCCTGTCTCTTGAGGGTTTCAAAATGCTCTGGCGTCGAGATGGATGGACTTCCTTCCTTCTTGACTGCCAGAGGCTGAGGGTAGGGACTTGCCGAGTAGGGTGCTCGTGCTCCGCCACCATCTGCGACTGACACAGATGATTGCGGAACATTCTGCGCCGCTGCTGCGGGTGACGGGGAAGAAGTGATGCTGTGAGAGTGAGACTGAGACTGAGACTTGGGGACATACGGTCGATTGTCCAAATGATCCTCCTCCACCGAAGTTAACAATCGAATGGCAGCCGGGTTGGACGATTGGCCGTTTGGTGTAGAGTCGTTGTGGTCGTGGTCGTCATAGGCGGGGAGGTGGTATTCGGGATAACGAGACGGGGTGCTTGGCCGGTCCATGATGGGCCGCGTTGTGGTGTTATGTATGGATTGGTGTCTCTGTTTTGGTCCGGCAAACAGAAGGGAGAGGAATGTGGAACGTTGGGCAACGTCGTTGAGGTGGAACAAGATAACAAGATCGTAGGCGGTGCTACGTACGGCTTGCGCCGCAGTATCCTGACTCACAGGGTTTCCTGGTATCACTGCGCGAGGGATATCGTAGGGATAACGTCGATTGAGGTGCGTATGGATATGAGGAGGTCTCTCAGGAATGTGTAGTTGAGGAGAATGGAGCTAGTGAAGTGGAAGTGGGATGAATGGATGAGCGTGGAAAAAGTTGTTTGCAAGGTAATGGCGTTGGGAGAGGTGGGAGCTGGGAGCTGGGTGCTCGAGGAAGCAAGTACGTACTGTTTTGCTTATTCGTGTGTTGACCCGGCAACCATGGAGCTTGGGCCACCCAGCTGTTTCACGAATCTGTCACTTCCCTTTAAAGTGGAGATTTGCGGGAACCAAGTCGGACCGGCGCTTAAGGTCAGTAACCTGGTAAAAGTAGGTACCTAAGGTACCTTACTCGGCACGAACATATCGCCCTATCACGCGCTCATTACGGGGCTAGGTGAAGGACACATCACCGAAACACACCGAGGAGGCCCTTCGATGTCTGGGTAAGGAGGTGGGCACCAAGGGATGAATGTAATGCCAACGCACTACCATCCATGCGATTATTAACTCTATATTCTGTGTATTCGCAAGGGAATTAATGAGCATCCTGCTTCTTTCAATTCCATCATGGCCACAACATATATCCATACCCATCCAAAGTACGCCCAGCTTGCAAGTCACATCTTCCAAAGTTCACGCCACCGCCTCTCATCCGTCCTCAACGGCCCGTCAAACCGTCCGAACCGAGCCGGTCGGCCCTCGTTCGCCTCAGGGAGGCAGATCCACTCCCTCACGCAATCGGGCGTCTCCTCCTTGAGGTGGCTGATGCACACGAGCGCCTGATCCGGCGACAAGCCCGTCGCCCGAACCTCCCCTTGCTTGGCCACCTCGCTATCCACAACCTTGCCGGCCGCGTCGTGCGTCTTCTCCTCCCCGCGGACCAGGAACAGCATGCACTTGTCGCGGACTTTCTCGTCCATGCCGCCAAAGGCCTCGTCCAGGACCACCACGTCCGGATGCTTGATGATGGCCCGCAGGAACAGCGCCACCCGCTGCGCGCTGAAGGAGAGCCGTCCGAAAAGATGATCGTCCGCCCACCGGAGCGAATCTGCCCAATCGTCCGCACCTCTCCTTCCCACGGCGACTCTTTCGTCGTGGTGGTAATTCGGGTTCAGCTCGGGTGCGAACCAGCGCAGCGCGGCCTCCACCTTGGCGCGGGCGGCGTCATCCAGTTTCGGCACGCCCTTGAACGTGTCGGCCCACGCGTTCTCGAGCACCTGCCGCACCGACAAGTAGGTCGGCATGTGTTGGTGCACTTCCGGGCTGGAATGGCCGATCCGCCTCTGGACGTCCCAGAACGTGAGCGGCCGCTGGCCCGAGCCGGGTTCCGGGAGCCTGCTCCTGCCGAACAGCCTGATGGGCAGCGAGTAGGTCTGGGGGTGGTCGGAGCAGAGAAGCGATACCAGCGTCGTCTTTCCCGACCCGTTCGGCCCGAAGCAGCCCCACCGTTCTCCCCTGCGGACGGTCCAGACGAGGCCGGTCTTGGGCGCCGGCCCTGACGGGGTGTCCTGTGTCCAGTTGCCCAGCGCAATCTTGTCCCCGTATCGGACCTGGACGCCGTCCATCTCCACCAGAGCTTCACCTTCGGCTTCGCGACCGGGAAGGTCCCGCGTCCCTGCCATCTCTTCGACGGTATGCTGCTGCCTGGCCCCTTCCTCGCTGCCCAGCGCTTCGCCAGCTACGCCCTCGCTCGTAAGCACCCTCCCCATCTCCGCCAGCGCGCGAACCGGCAGCTTCTCGTCCTCCGCCAGAGCCCCCCTCCACACACCGGTCGCGTACTTGCGCAGCCCCTCCATCACGACGTCCTTCTCCCCCATGGATCCCACCTGGCAGTCGCTCCGCAGGTACACCAGGTGCGTGATCCACTCCGGGATCGGATCCTGCGGGCGGGCCGCCAGCACCAGTCTCGGCGCAGCCCGTTCCGCCATGGACCGCAGGAGCTCGCTCAGCGACGCCACCGTCGGCGGGTCGAGACCCATGAACGGCTCGTCGAGCAGCAGCACCTCCGGGGTCCTCAGCAACGCCCTCGCGATCCGCGCCCTGCGGCCCTGGCCGTTGCTGAGGAACGCGACGGGCAGGTCGAGCAGCGGGCCGAGGCGCAGGTCCGACACGACCCTGTCCAGGAGGCCCGGAGGCAGCTCGTGCTCGACTTCGGCCGGGGATTGGAGGGGGTTCAGGTCCGTGTTGCCTAGTAAAAAGTCGCGGAGCGAAAAGTCGGTGTCCTCGCGGAGAGACTCGTACCGCGCGGCGAGGTAGGCGCTCGTAGCCGGTCCGGAGAGGCCGCCGACCTGCTCGCCGTCGAATCCGACATAGCGAATGGCCTGGGACGGGGTGCGGAGGCGGTCGGGTACTTGGTCGGTAGAGAGATAGGGCCATGAGCGGGCGTGAGGTGGGATGGAAAGGTGTTGGCCACGGAGGGCCTGGAGGAATGTCGTTTTGCCCGACAGGGAGGGGCCGATGATGCACCAACGGCGGGGTGATTCCGTAGAGTTGGAAGGGATCTCAATGTTCAGATCTTTAAAGAACGGTGGATTCGGGTGAGAGGACGCCGAGTTGGGATGGTGGCGGTAGAAAGTCCCGTTGACGATCCGGAGAATGGGAGGGATCGGGGGCCTGGATGGAGGACGCATTGTGGGCAATCGGTCCTCCCAAAGGGCGGCAACACTAGGTTAGTTGCTCTGAGAGTTATTTCGAGTCCATTGCGAGTTTCCGGAAGGAATGGATGGATGGATGCGTTGAGAATGCGTTGAGAAGGGTGGGTGTGAAAGCTGTAATTAATGAATTAATGAAAATGAATTTATTTTATGTATTATTACCAAGTACTCGTAAATCCGGGGAAAGCTACAACAGTTGGGTAGCTCCGATTTCGGCTTCGGCTCCACGATGGATATGTACTCCGTCAGCAGCCCTGTCGCGTGTTGCCCCCGGAACGCGGCAGCTAAATCCCGGGAAACCTTATGTAATCGGCCCAAGCCAAGGCATCAGAATCGCGACGCAAGCTTCCAACAGCTCCCACTCCCTACCAGGTACGCAAGTCGGTTCCTCAGCCTTGTCGTTACCAGCAACCAAACCCAACGCTTCACAAAGTCTCCCATTACCATCACCCACATCGAATAGTCTGACCTTTCTTTCTGTCCGAGAATCCGTCCAAGTCTTTTCAAGTCTTTTACTCAGAAAACACTTCGCCAAACATGGCTGTACGTCACTTTCGCACGAACCTCGTCTCCCACTCCTCCTTCCCATCATCATGAGCACTTAACACACATCTAATGCACAACCAAAACAGATGCGAATCGTCCCCGGGAGCGCAAACCCCGCAACCTTCACAGCAGGCAACGCCGCCCCCTCGGTGCCAGGCCTCCACGACACCCTCCGCACCGGCCTCGGCCCCTCCCCCCTCTCCTCCTCCCTCCACCACAGCAGCAGCAGCAGCACCAACAACACCAACTCCGCCAGCGCGACGACGCCCTCCGCCGAGCTGACCAGCGCCCACCCCCTCGAAGCCCGCCTCAAGAACTGGGAAGCCACGCAGGAGGCCCTGCGCATGGAGACCCTCCGCCGGACCTACGGCGCCGCCGAGCCCATCCGCCGTCAGATGGAGCTCAAGATCACCCGCAACGGCGTCTGGCGCCCCGCCGCCCTCGGAGGCGGCTCCCACGCCATGTCGCACCACGAGGAGATCTTGCGCGGCCGCGACGACAGCATCACGTGGGAGGACGTCTTCACCGGCGACGAGGCCGGCTGCGCTGGGGCCGGCAATGCTGCGCTGACGGGCATGCATGAGGAGATGGAGCGGAAGCTGCGGATGTAAAAGCTTCACCAATGAGAATGTGGTGGGGTGTAATTCTTCTGTCGAGGAAACGATGGGACGGGTAAAGGACAGGCAACACGAGAGGGTGGCTAAGGCGGAGGTGACATGGCGGTTGAGGCTCCTCGCCAGGAAATGTCACATGAGACCATAAGAAACCACAATCGGCCAACGCTGACCGTCCATTAGCCGCCTAGCCACGGACTTTGCCTGCTTGTTGCTAAACTCGAAATACTCATGGCTTAACCGGTTATGCTCTTTATCCACAGGCATTGATACTGGGCTCAAGACGACTAGAACCTACTAGAACCTATGCACGATATAAAGGGAGCCTACTGTGCATCGTACCAAGAAGAAAGAAACAGCAGCAGTGAGGGGAACAATACAAATCGTAAATGACGGATCAGCAGACCCGAGCGTAGCAATGAGAAATAAAAGATAACGCCGCCCCCGAGCCCATCCGTATGTCCCTCTGTGCCTCTCGTCCCAAGCCCAACCCCCGAAAGGTATTCCATCCGCGGCAGCTTCGGCAGCTTCGGCAGCTTCGGAGTGATGTAAAATAACCCAAACTTGAAACCCCTGCACGGCGGAAACGGACGCAAAATGTCCGCTGGGAAATGAACCAATGAACCTAGTCGTTGGGCATACCTGATAGCAGTCAGGAATACCTAGGTTGTTTTCGAGAGGTCTGCTCCCAGTTTCTCCTTCAGCATTGACCTTCGATGCCAGCCAATCCATGTAAATCCATGTAGTCCAACAATATCCCCCAAGGTAGGAAAAGAGAAAAGAGAAAGAGTGACAAGGGGCCGCCGGGATGGGCGCCCGGATGCTTTGCAATGTGTGGAGGGGGCAAAAGAAAAGAAATGACCAGAGAAAAAAGAGAATACGAATAAAAAGAAAAGAAAAAATCCCCAACCCGCAAGAGAGCAACGACCTCATGAAGGAGAAACTACGCCGATGCGCCATCTGGCCTGTAAAGCCGACCATAAAACAAAGAAGCGGGCCCAAAGAAAGGGCGAAGGGGCGGCTTGGGCCAGATCATAGAATTATACAGCAGCCGCTCCCTTGGCTCCGATTGCGTCCGGCTCCCGATGCAGACTTATTGCCTCCCTTGGGCTCCTCTTCGTCGATAGTATCGGCGGGACGGACGGTCATGTGCACGACATTGGCGGCGTCGGCGCTGAAGTGGTATTCTGGGAGGGAGGGAAAGTGTCAGCACTCTACAGCATTGCCTTGAAAGGAACACGAACCGCTCGTTCTTCCAGTTGGAAGAGAAATAAATGAGGGAAGTGTAGGAGAAGAGCAGAGGAAAGAAAGGGGGAAAGAGGAAGAAAGAAAGAGGGAAAAAAAGAGGGAAAAAAAAAGAGGGAAAAAAAAAGAGGGGAAAAAAAAGAGGGGAAAAAAAAGAACATACTATTCAGCGGCTCCTTGTCGTCTAACAACTTTCCAAAGTGGATGAGTCGGATACTGCTCGGGCTCGCGGGCTTGGGATCCCACTCCTCCCTCCATTCCCGCAAAATCAGCTCCTTGAGGGTGTACACGCTGATGGTGAAAGGGTCGTTCCTGCCATCAGCCGTCTTGCCGGGCACGTTGACGTTGCGTTTCGCGAGGTACCGCTCATCGATGCGGTAAGGATGGCGGGCGCCGGTGGTGAGCAGCAGGGTGATGTTGCATACGAGCACGTCGGACGGCTGGACGCTCTGGACATGCTCGACCGAGGGTCCGATGGCCATAGACTCGGGCGTATCGGTCTTGGTGGGCGGTCGGGGCACAGCAGCAGCAGCGGCAGTTTCTTCATCGGCGGTCGTCGCCCTCTCTTTGCCCTTATCGGTAGGTTCAATCACGTCTTCGCCGCCCCCTGGGGGTGAGGAGGATGAAGCGCCCGGCTTTGTCGTGTCGAGGGGGGGTATCGTCGTGGGACCCGCATCGTGCGTCGTTGTCGTCGTCGTTGTCGTTGTCGGCGGTGAGGACGAGACGGGTGGGTCGGCGCTCGGGGCGGTAGCGGTCGGTTGGGAAAGTTGGGTCATGGGGACGGCGTCGCCTAGTTGGCCGTGGCGGTTATTTCCTTCGGGGGGTGGTGAGGAAGCTTGACCGCCGCTTATTTCGGTTGTGCGACAATCCGAGTCGGTCATGACGGTTGCGCCGACTCCGATTTTGAGGCCGCAAGATACCCCTTGGGAGGCACGAGAGAAGCGGGAAACCGGAGGGCGCTGGGTCGTTCGGATATGCGGGATTCGTCAGGCGTCGACGAAGGAGTAGCCCCCGCGTGATCAATGACGATGACGGTGGTGACAGTGACGATGGAGGATGGGAAAACAAAAGGAAAAGGAAAAGGAAAATAAAAGAAAAAAGAAAAAGAAAAGACGAAAGGGACGACTTGGTTTCGGAACCTACGGCCTTCCGCGGGTGGCAAGGATTCGATTGGCGACTGTTGCTGGCCGTGGCCGTTTTGGAATGAACCCAGTCAAAGTCACCGCATATGACGGCAACGACGGGTACCTTATGCAAGAGAAAAAGAACAAACCCCCGCCTGTAACGAGGCTGTCGAAACGAACGAAAAGGTCAAAAGGAGATGGAAAACGGTACGTCAAGGGGAGATGACCAGTGGTGATGATGCATCCAAGATGCCAACCTGGGGAAGTTGGTTCAGTGGTCAGTGGTTCGAAACGTCCTTCCCGTTGTTGGTTGGCCCGGGATACAGCACTGGGCGGGGGTTAAGTTAAGTACCTTACGATGTACATGCATACCTTGGTGTACCTTGAGGATTTGGCGTACAACGTAGATGGGCTTGGACTTGAACTGGGTCGAGACAGCAGCGACCTGGAGCAAGCTGTGAGGGTGGGACACGGCTGCTTGAAGTGGGGAGGCAATACTCGGATGCAGTAACGACCGTACCTGTACAGCGACAAAGTGCGAAGTACCAAGTACGGGGAACTCTCACCAGATCTCTCTAAGGTACCTTTATGCAGGACAGACAGGTTCTATGTACTTCACTATACTTCATACTTCCCGCATAGCTCCATAATCTGTACCTGTCATCTTTTCGCTACGTCCACTCTATTGCCAATGCTCTGATGACCGCAAACATCAATGATGGAAATCACCAATGTCTCTCTTTCCACCTTATGTACCCTAACATTTTATTTTATTTTATTGTATTTTATTTTATTTTATTTTATTTTATTTTATTTTATTTTATTTTATTTTATTTTATTTTATTTTATTTTATTTTATTTTATTTTATTTTATTT